GTCGGACTTTGTTTTCTGCTTCTGTTACTGTTTCTGTATCTGTATCTCCATCTGTAAACCCATCTGTATCTTATTTTTGCAACTAGCGAATACTGTGTCAGTCTCGCTCGCACTTTGGGGCCATAGTCGCTCTCGACTCGCACATAGATCGACTCTAATTTGGCCAGAGTCTTAATTCAAGTTTATAACTAAATATGCGCCAAGTAGGTACAGATCATTGTGGGAGGGCCGAGGGGTGGTGAAGGGGGGGGTTCTCGCTATAGCCAAAGCTCTGGCTAACCTCGATTGCGTTTGCCACATTTTTAACAACTTCACCCACATTCAAAATTCGTTTTGGCTTTGGCCGACAACAACAGCAAAAACCAGTTCGGTTCGGTTCGCTTTTTTTTTTTTTTTTGGTTGGGGGGGCTTTGCCATCAAATTCCGCCACTTTTGGCCATATCCAAATGCCCATCTAGCCATTCTGTTATTGCCTTCTCTCTTCTGTTTCACCCAAATGTCTCTAAGCCCTAGAACCGTAATATTATATCAAACAGAAGTCTTCACCCTGACCTTATAGAGCATACCCCTTATTTAACTTAATCATTAACAAGCCGTTCATTTTAGCCCATTTAAGGAAATAACTCATTTTAAATGTATTTAACCGTTTTATGATCTTTTTTCCCCCTCTAATTAGTACGTCTTAAACTATATCTCCAAAAACGGAACAAAGTTTTTATGTTTACGACTTTTAAATGTTATATTTTATAAAAGTAAAATATTCTAACATTTTGTTAACCGATTTCACTCCTCTTATACATAAATATAATATTCAAATATATATATTATTATATATATATTAACTCTCAAGACCTCTTCATAATTTACTACAGGCAATTAATTGCTGATTTTTCAAAAATTGCTTTCTATCATTAAAAAACAGTAATGGGAAAGATATGTTTTGTCATTTACTTAGTTACTAAGGAATATTTTTAACGTGAAATCAGTGAAAACAAATACTCGATTGTCTCAACATATGGTTGCAAAAGGCAAACAATGGCCCCCGTTACTAGGTTAATTGGATTGGAGCTACTCGGATTTCCAGAGCACTTGTTGCCATTATTGCCATTTTCATTTTCAGTACCATTGACTCCAAGTCAAGCGGAAGTCGTTGTATGTATTTCAGTTTTCCAGATATGCATTTCGGTTAGCAATCGTCATCGACAATCGCTAATTCTGAGTGATCTCATCGGTGCTGCAGCACTCTATCGAGATTGCCTATCATCAGGGTCGCTCGAAGTTTTTCCCACACACACACAACAGAGCAATAAACTTTGGGCCAAGAGTAGCAAAAAGAAAAAAGCAGCGAATAAGAACGCCTTCTATGGGCATTATGAAAATACCGTTAAAAAGATCAAAAGACCTCCGAGCAGGTGAGTCAAACTCCTCGAATCTCAGAGAGGGGATCGATAGATCGATCATTGTTTGTTACCTGTTACCCCTGTGCTCCGTGCTCCGTGCTCCGTTGTGCAGAAATCATTTGCAAGCGAATCGATCGATCTATCATTGCCAAAGCCATATAAGCAGTATGATTGTGGGTAGGAAGTCATCGCCATTGGAGAACCTTGAACCCAAAGAGACAAAGCCGCCGATGGAACGGCGTTTGAAATATGATTTTGTATGAGCCGCGGACAGTTTTGTGATTTTGATTGAGCTCCCAGTTAGCTGCTTTTTTTTGTGTGTGTGTGTGTGGGGCCAATCGATGGCAATCAGCGGCAAAAAATTAACAATAGCCAAACAAAATAACAGTTGAAACGGCGGCAAATCCGCTTATCGAACTTCTTTCTGTTTTATAAAAAACCTTCATCTTTTTTACTCTGAAGGAATAATAAATGCGTCAATACAATTGCAAACATTTCGGGAACATAAATGCCTATTTTTTTTATTTTGACTTGCAACTGTTTTTTTTTTTTTTTTTTTTGTTGTAGCATTTTGCACATGTTTGTTCTATTGAATTGCGACTGTTATTTTTTTTTTTTTTTGTTGATTTTTTTGCAATATCATTTTAAAAATTATTCGACCCCTGCTTTAATTTTTGCACGCTTTAAGTTTGTTTTATTTAATTTGCCTTTTGCGGAAGCAAAAAATAGTTTTTGCACTTGTCTGCGTTGCTCTGCCTCTGTCGACGTCGACTGCGACTGCGACGCCCGCGCTTACGTCTTCGACTGTTACGGTACAAATAATGCGACAGAGTTTCTTTCTGTTGTTGCAGTTTATTTCAGCTTTTTTCCGTTTTTTGCAATTGCTTTTAGTAGTCATGTAATGTTATTAACGCCATATTGACATACATTTTGTGCACAAGCAAAAGTGCAGAAAAAATAGCGAAAAATCTAAGCTAATTACGTGACGTTACGTACTACCTGTAATAACGCCCTCTCTGTGTTCAAACGCCATACCATATACAGTTGAACTTCCCTAACTCAAACTTTACCTCCTCGAAATTCGTTTAATGGCAATTAAGTGAATAATTACAATAGTAACTCAATAACTCAAAGTCTAGAGCTGAACAAAAATGTGTACGGTTTAGTGGTTTGAGATATAGAGGTTCGACTACAGTTCTTCTTCTTCCGCCTCCTTACTGTATTCTGACTCGTATTCTTCTTCTTCTTGTTACACTACCGCATCAGCGTCACGTATTTGCCATACGAAGAAGGCGTGGCCGGATTGAGTGAAGTGAGTGAAGTGGGCGGTGGGCGGTAGGTTACAGGTCGACCCACTTTCCATCTCTTTTTGTCTCAAGGCTCCATATGGTTAAGGAGAAGAACAAGAGTCATGTTAATTGCTCCGACACTTGACTTCGAAGAGGCGGATGCGGATGTGGATGTCAGTTCACTGGGTTAGATGGATAAGAAACTGAGTTGGACGAAGTAATATCTTCAATTGTTATAAGGTTTTTATCTAAGGAGAAAAGAGATTTTATCTTCACTTCTCTATTCAGAGCCATTAAACTGGCCTAATCCTTTATTTTAACTGTTGCTAGGTTAGGTGACCTCGATCTGGAACATTTAATTATAACCACTATATCGTTTTGTGATTTCGCATGGCATTAAAAGTTAGGTAAAAAAAAGGTCGATGAGTTTTTTACGGTGTCCCAATATCGATTTATCAATAGCAACCTGCACTTGCACTTGCTCCACCAACGAAAAGCAGCAACAACAAGTGGCACGTGCCTTCCGCTGCTGATGCAAGAAAGTTTTGATGTCATAATAACCGTTTTCACAGCGGTCCACCCCCTCTTTCTCTTTCTCTCTCTTTCTCCTTCGCCCCAGTCAACTGTCGAATTTCGAAAGTGAAAATGTGATGCTGCTGCGATTATCAAATATGCATGTGCGTCCGTCTGTCGCGCGCCACTCTGCATGCATTATTCAGATTCAGATTCGGATTCAGATTCGGATGCAGAAGAGGAAGAAGCCAAACAAACACTGGAGTGCTGCTGCACTCAACGCACGCTCACCCATAAGCCCACAGTTATGGTCAAGAAAATGGGTACAGAGGTTGTGTTCACGCAATACACGTTTCACTTTTTACTTCGTAACCGGCAGTTGTTAAGACAATAAACGTTAGGAATAACTATGCGAGTGACACGTTTTTACTCAAGATAAATTAAAACCTTTATATCCATACTGTGCATAAAATGTGAGACTTCTAAAATATAGTTGCTACATTTTGGCCCTCCACTGTATGTTGGCTATAGGTTCGGTTCTAGGCTGGTGGCCAAAGTGAAACCAAGGCCCAAACAAACTTCGTGGGTAGCGCGTCAGTCCAGGAGGAGCGAGAGAGACGGCAACATGGCGACTTAGAAAGAGACGGGCGGTCGAGATGCATTTAACGCCTCTGGGTTGCCGAAATGGGTTGTGGGCGTCGCTGCTTTACCTTGCAAGCGGCATGATAAGAGCCCCAAAGAAGAAGAAGAAGAAGCCAAAGAGGCAGATGCCGAAAGGGTGAAGTTGAGATTGGTAGCAGATCGACGTGTGAATGCCCTCTCCCAGAAACTAATCTATTAACGTATTATAGTCTTTAGTAAGGATATTAGTTTTTTAAAACCTAGAAGCCTAGAAGCTTCCCTCTGATATGCACACTCGCATTTATTTTAAGATCTCAATTTGGGTTCCTTTGGGATATGTACACAAGTGCAAACGTCAGCGGAGCGTCGTTGTCGTCACAGCGGTTGCGGCAATTTCTGTGTTGCCCTTATTTGGGGTTAGGGTATTATGGTAAGGTGAAACAATAAACACCAAATAAAGCATTTGTCAGATATCCATAAAAGAAGAGAGGCGGTGTGGAAGAAGCAGAAATAATAATATTGTTTAAATATTAAATTATTACAACAAAGTGTGCATAAATTAATATGGAATGATGCAAATGGAAATGCATGACACGTCGAGACGCGATTGCAGTTGTTGTTTTCGCCCCGAAATGGAATTAAAGCTTAAGTTTTTTGGGGCCCAGGGAGCTCGGATTGCGGATGACATAACCTCAAACGGCAAATGTGCCAGCGGCTGAAACACAGGGAACATGTGGGAAGTTGTGATAAATTTTCGTTTTCAGATAAAAAGTGGGGATCGTATAACCCTGTTTAAGCTAGTGTAGTTATCACAGCAGAGGTCATTTTAAGCTCCTCCAGGAAGGGGGAACCCTATGTCCTAAAATACCGTTCACCCCAGAAAAAAAGGGGGCAAAAAATAGAAGAAATAGATAAAGCATTGTCGCGACGTTGATCGTTCAACGCCCATTGCAGGTTGCAATCCACGAAATTCGGGGGATACCCGGGGGGACAGCCTAAAAATGCCGTGCTAAATTCTTTAGGAGCGTAAAAATAAACCGTTTCTAGTTTTGTATTTTTGACTTTCACTTGGCGGCACTCTGCCGAAATATTTGCCGTGCTCATTGAGAATTCCGCATCATCTTGTGCTAATGCTAATGCTAATGCTAATGCCTTTTTCCCGTCCATCTCCTTGCAGCACGCGAATTATGTGAGGCAAGCGGCTGAGGATTATCTGGCGCGGCGGCAGGCCCGAAACAAATCGATGACCCGCTCCATGACCTCTGGCCTGGCGGGTCCAATCCTGGCCCTGGGCAACGTCCACTACCTTCCGGCCGCCAAAAGTGGCACCTTCTTCGCTCGCGACAACGTTTCCAACTTCATAACCTGGTGCAGGTAAGTAGCAGAACCCTCTTGCCAATTGCCAATCCAAATCCAAATATGTAATATCAATATTACTTAATACTCACTTCGCAGAAAGAGCCTTAAGATCATTGAGTGCCTGCTGTTCGAAACGGACGATCTAATCATGCGCAAAAACGAGAAGCACGTGATCCTCTGTCTTTTGGAGGTGGCACGTCGGGGCGCCAAGTTCGGTAAGATCCTTGAGAAAACCTTTAAGAGCGAATATTATTTTGAACCTGTGAAATCCCGTTGCGCCTTTTAGGAATGCTGGCTCCCATGCTGGTGCAGATGGAGCGACAAATCGATCGGGAGATCGCCGCCGACATCAAGGCCAATGGGATTGGCTCCTCGGAGAGCGGCACCCAAACGGAGGCACTAAACGCCGGAAGTAGTTCGACCACAACGACGACAATAACGACCACTACTACGGTGGAGACGGATCTGTACGATGACAGTGACGATTCGGAGACGGAGGACGAAGTCGACGAGAATCCCGTGCTGATGTACGGCCCTCAGCCGCAGATCATCACCAACGATCTGAAGAGCCTCGATGAGATGGTGAGTGGTAGAGAAACCATTAACTTTATCGTAGAACCTAAACCTAAAATATTAAAAGATATCTTATGGTGCAGAGCCTTAGCCTGGCTTCTTTTCTGAAATCGCATTTGAAAGAGCCAACTTGGTTTCCGATATCGGATCTTTCCGCTTTTGGTTTTCCATTTTCCCGCAGGGCTTTCCGTCTCAGTTTGCGTTCCTTTGGTGTCCCACTCCCAATGTCCACTTTGGGTTTTCTCTTTTATATTTAGTTTTTTTTTTTTTTTTTTTTTTTTCCTTTGCTGGCTCAGCTCACGATTTTGTTTGTTATTGTTTTGCTTGGGCTGCTGTTGTTGCTGTTGCTGTAGTTTTCTCATGTCCATTTTTAGCCATGGCTAAGTTTCCAGTTACGAAAAAAACGGACCGAAAACAGTACCAAAACAAATCAGAAGCAATTGAAACTGGGACTTTTGTTTTTTTTTTTTTTGTTTTTGGGTGTTATGAGGGTTTCCCAGATTTGCCTTCTGCCATGTTGAGATGTAAAATTAATTTGACAAGATGACGACGTGCCAACAACAATTACAACAATTGCAATTGTCAATGTAATTGCAAGTGTGACGACGACAGCAGCAGCAGCAGCAACAAAGGATGGGGATCGGAGGATTGGTTAGGCGCAATGGAAAATCATTGACGGCCAAACTAATGAAAGCCATGCAAACATTTCCTCACGCCGCCAGCAACATTGACAACAGCAACATGAGCAGCAGCAACAATGTTCGACAGCTGGGGGATGGATGGTCGCTGGATGGATGGGACATAGACCTGGACATGGACATGGACCTCTCCTTCTTCTCCACCACCAGCTCCACCAAAAAATCCACTCCGAGGCAGCCAATCAATTTGTGCAGCAGCAACAGCAACAGCAACTTCAGCGCCAGCAACAGCAGCAGCCAAATCAGCAAATAGCCTCAACAACTTGTCGAAAATCAAATGATGTGCCACCAACAGCAGAAACGAAAAAAAGAAAAAGAAATGAAAAGAAAAAGCCACGATCATTTGTCGACTCCAAAAGTCTGGAGCTGCAGAGCTGTGGAGCTGTGGAGCTGTAGAGCTGCTGGCACGTCCGCATCGCATCGCATCGCCGCTGTCTGTCTTTTCGGTCTCCAGTTGCTGTTGGTTGGTTGGTTGGTTAGTTGGTTGGTTAGTTGGTTGGTTAGTTGGTGGCATGCGATTTATGGTTAGGCCAGGATCACATCGCTATCCTCATCGCAATCCATGGCCAGCTAATCTCGTATGCGTCAGAGTCACGCCGATCCCCGATCTCTGGCAGATCGCTGGCTGGATTGCTTGGCCCCCCCATCCGAAAGATTTATTGTCATGTCGGTTCCAGCTTGGAGCCACCGTGGAGCCACCGTGGAGCTGGAGCTGAAGCTGAAGCTGGAGTTTGGATTGCAGCTCCACCTAAGCACGCATCCCATCCCATCCCATTCCATCCCATCCGAGAAGGAGTTGCAAAAGTTCAAAGGTGCCAATGCGTTGCTACTCAGCTCCGAGCTGCCACAAACTACAGTAGCAATGGGTTCGTTCGACTCACAGTCGGAGAGCCCAAGATGCCGGTGGAGAAGCAAAGATCGAGGTGGAGATGGAGATGAAGGCTGGAGCCAGGGCCAGAGTCAGAATCACACTGGGCCAAACGGCCAGACACCCACGCTTTCCAAAAACCAAAAAAAAAAAAAAAAAAACGCCCTAAAAGCATAAAATTTAAATATAGATAATGGGTCAAAAATCAAATAGCGATTATAAAAGAATTTTCCAATGCAGATGGTTTTAAATTTGGGTTCTAAACACCTTCTTGCTAAGAGATCATTTCGAGTAACCAAGCACTTGAACTTCATTTTTGTGAGTGCAGAATCAGACCCAAAGACAGGCCAGGCCAAGTCGTCATTTGTTTGTCTGCCGCCGCCCGCTGGGACGGACTGCTGATGGTGGAGCCGATGGTCTGACTGGTCTTGCCATGGATCCCATGGCTCCCTAGGGCAAGGGTAGCCCCTCAAAGCCCCCCCCCAAATGCCCCTCTATCTGCCTGATCCGCCTCCCCTGCGAATCATTTGTTTGTTGGACAATGGCAGCGCGTGAATTTATGCAGTGAAAAACTATTTGGTGACCCCGATGCTCGATGCTCGATGCTCGTCGCTCTGCTCCTTCTGCTCCTTCCCCTCCTACCAATTTTTTTTATTTTTTTGGGCGAACTGCAACTACAAACTGCCACTGCAGAAGTCAGAGAGTTAGGAAGTCGGGGAACTGATCGGGTCAGACTTATGCAATGCTAAGGGTCAACGAAGGGGGACGGAAGCTGGGGATTGGACACTGGGAGTCAAGAGTTTTTGGCTGCAGATCCGAAGAAGTTCGTACAGTGAGAACAGTGTCTAACCACTTTTTGCACTTAGTAAGCCATTGACTTAAATAGTAAGACAAATAAATGCTTAATTATACAATTCATTTCACTTCCTATACCTGTCATCATTACGCGTTTATATGGTCATTTGTTGAAATGTATTCATCTTACAAATAACTATTATGGCGAAGATCTCTATAATTAAATGGGTTTAAGAGATAATAAAATCACTTCTAACGACCGGTCCTAATGATTCATGATCATTAGCAGGTGCTAGAGCGTAGAAATTAACGTTTTGGTATAATACCTATTCTTAAACATGTTACTGTTTAATTGTTTATAGGTCAGGGACCTGGTGGAGAAGTGCACTTGCCCCTCGCAGTTTCCGATGGTCCGAGTGTCCGAGGGCAAATATCGCATTGGCGACACCAAAGTTCTCATCTTTGTGCGGGTAAGTTCTTGAACATTTTGGGGGCATTGGCTTGGGTGAATAATTTTCCATGGGCTTTGTTTGCAGATCCTTCGTTCCCATGTGATGGTTCGTGTTGGCGGTGGCTGGGATACCTTGTCCCATTATCTGGACAAACACGATCCCTGCCGCTGCCGCGCCCAACATCGCAGCTCCGTGGCCGCCCGCCTTGTGCCCCGCCAGTCGCCGAATCACAATCCCAACAACGGCATCGAGCTCCACAAGGCACAGGTGATATTCGAGAGGTGAGTGTCTCTTGTGTCCTAGACCGATAAACAAATTGTGAACGATGTACTTTTCGACTTTAAGATCACCGCCAGCAGCTCGTCGCGTTTTCAACAGCCCCAATTGCAATGGAGGATCCGAAACGGTTGCGGGAATGGGATCAGGATCAGCCGGCGGAGTGGGATTGTCGGCGGGATCAGGAGTTGTAAGCGGGGCACCGCCTCCGCCAACCCAGAACGGACACAATCTGTCGCCCAATTCGGGGAAGTACCGCAGTCGCAGTCCAACGCCGCAGCGCAAGTTTCTCAATCAGCAGACAAACGCAGGAGCCAGTTCATCCGCAACGGGATGCAACCAGGCAATCCCCACAGAATCTTCCAGCGGCGGCCAGTTGCTCGGATCGCCCAGCTTGGCCAGGAGATCGATGTCGCCAAGTCCGCGCCGCCTCATCGATATGCGCAAGAAACAGAGCTCCTTGGATTCCTACAGCAGTGGCCCGAAATCGCTGCCCGGCTACAGTTCCTCCATTGAGGAGGCAAATGGAGGAGGACCTGCCGGCGGATCAGCAGCAGCAGGAGGGACCGGAGGTTCGGCGGGCACCGCCGCAGCAGAGCAAGGTGGCGCCAACAAATTCGAAAATATCAGCGACAACGGCAGCGAGATCAGCGACGAGGGCTACCGCAGCCTGGGGGTCATCCAATCAAGTGCCCAGAAACGCGAGTCCCTGCACAGTCAGGCCTCCATCGAGGATGCTGAAAGCAATGGTGAGTTCTAGAGTCCACTCCAGATTGGCTACCATTTATTTAGGGTAGAGAAAACCCGATGATTGATCTTGAGTGTCTAAAACCCCATTCATTCGCAGCGCGTCTCGATCAAACCTCCAGTGACTCGCAGATCTCGCCCTCCGAGGAGCCGGCGGAGAAAACAGCCGTGGATATTCTGGAAGAGGAGGATCTTAACGGCCGGGAGGACCGTGAGGAGGAGCAAGAGGACTACTCCGTGTGCGATGGCCCGCAATCCCTGCCAGCGATTCTCAGCGTGGCCCACAAGCTGAACAATAAATTTGAGCAATCCGGGGTCTTCATAACCGACGACGAAATAACCGTGGACATGGCCAAGACCGGGGATCAATCTGTGGCTCCATCTGCAGCTGGAATACCAACTGCCAGCCTCAGCAAGATACCACGCTCTCCGCTGGCGCAACGTCGTCGCAGGAGCATCGACAATAGTACATGTGGTGGGGCCGGCGGAAGTCTGCAGGACTTGAGCAGTCGATCCGGATTGCCGGCTCCGGCTTTTAGCCGGAAACAGCCGGTTTACCGATCCGTGCGAGCGCGCAACTCCGCCGGAGGAGGAGCCCCGCCCCCTCCGGTGGCACCACCCCGATCACGCCAAGCCACCCAATTGCCCATGGTGCGGGATGTGACAAACACGTGGAGTGGACGAGCCTCAGGGGCTCCAAAGAGGAGGCCTCCCTGCACCGCCGACACTTTTGTGGCGCCCAACAATGGATCGGGACCCGTACCCTTTGAGCGAAACAGCAAGGCACGCTCCTCGCAAATCCTCTACGACAGCAACGGCCGACGGGTGAGGAGCGGAGCACCAGGATGCACCAGTTCCCTGACCACGTCGCCCGTCAAGAATCACGCCTCCTCGCCGCTGGCCCAACAGCTTTTGGAGGCGGCAAGCAGCGCAAAGAACGATGCTCAGATTCTGGAGAAGATGAAGTCCCTTCTCTCACGCTATGCGGCTGGTAATCAAGCCAAGGGAGCCGCCGGATCTGGGCCAGCACAGAACAAGATGATCAACAGCAATGGCAAGAAGACACCGGTATACGAGGACTTCACCACGGCCTGGGTGCACAGCAACGGAAATCTGGAGCGATCCGAGAGCTGTTCTCCGCCAGCCAAGGCTCGATCCAAGCGGAGTTCGGCCGCCAGTTCGTGTGAGAGCAATAACTCAAATGCGGGGACCGGAGGAGCTGCCGCTGCAGCTGGAGCAGGATCCGCCAGTGTGGTGTCGCCCAGGCGGGAAAGGGGCATGTCCAAGATCCCGGCCCCAGTGCGCCATCATACAGAGCTTTACTAGCAGCGCCGGAGGACGCCAAGCGTCCAGATCCGTTTCAAAGCCAAGTCGAGGGTTTTCTGAAAAGCCTCCAAGCGAGTGTAAACGCATTAAGTGCAGTGGAGAGAAGTCTATTGGGGATTGGGGGAAGAACATAGATAAGATAGAGTTAAAGCCGAGCTGGAATTGCCTGCTGCTGCTGCTTCGGAGTGGGTGTGTGCGTGGAGAGCAGAGAATGGATGAGGAATCGGAAGAAGAATCAGGAAAACCTTTGAACCATTAAGCCCAAAAGAAGTCCGTTAAGTTATTAGGAATCTGATCGTGAGCCATACAAATCTGAAGAACCGTATTAGAATCAAAATGGAAAATGATAATCCTTCCCAGGGGACAGCTATAGCTATAGGAAACTCAAATCAGAATCAGAATCAGGATCGTGGAAAACGTCGAGTGAAGATAGCAAACTGAAACTGCCTCAAGGACAGACAGGTCAGAATCCCTAGCAGCCAGAGACCCCTAAGCATATCCCTCTTAAAAACAGCTCTCTACTCGTCTATGAGTAACTCTTTCTTAAGCTCAACTATAGAGAACCCCCTGTAACCTTTCCCTATAACCAATAAATATACTACGTTTATAAGCAAGTTCCGATTTCCTTAAACTTTATATTTCCAAACGAGTCAGTTACAATTTTTGGGACTTTATTAAATAAGTGCATTTTCATATTTCAATTAACTAATAAGCATTTGATTTGTATTTAAAAGTAGCATATAAACGTAGTTATTTTACGACCTTATGGCACCCAGTTAGCTTCAATCTGTGCTGATCTAGGGTAATGAATATAAACCATTTATACAATCCAAATTTGAGACTCGAGTAAAAATTTTAAATACATTTTTTGTCTAGGCCTAGAACAGAAATTTTAAATCTACACTAAAGCCACAAGCAAAACAATATCGAATATATCTATTGAAAAACACACACGATTGCACACATATAGAGGAAGCCAGACATAGTTTTCTAGAAATTTTTAAAGTAAAGCCAGCAAATTCTTCAGATATGATTCGTAGCGAAGCAAAAAATATTTATTTTTGTACGCTTGATCGAGGAACTGGGCGGAGATCGTGGGATCTGGGAAGAAGAATAGCTTTTAGACGACTCGAATTTTGCAGTTTAGCTATATATATATACAAGGAATGTGTAGACTCGGTTAGGGATATAGCAAGCATAGGTAGGAAATGAAGCGACCGCCCAAGCAAACAGCTCCGATAAGTGGGTGCTCCTTGGTCTGGGAATGCGAAAATCACGCTCTTCAAAGCTACAAACCTTCAACACCACCAAAAATACACACACACACCACAGGGAATAGAAAGAAGAAGTTTAGTTCGAATTTAATCAGACGAATAATAATTGAAATTCGAAAGCTACTTCCCTAGCATACTTATATGAAACATACAAAATAGACACAAAACAAGAGAAACGGTCACAAAAAATAAATAACTGAGAAACTATAGCTTTTGACGCGACAAAAAGGGTATCGTTAAAAAATTAACGTCATCTTAGATTGAACGAACGAACCATAGCATAATTTTCAGAACCCTTACAACATCTACAACTATTAAGATATATCTTGTATGATTATTATTCTTTTTTTTTTCATTAGCTTTAGCAGTGTTAACATATAGTTTATTACATCGTACCTATAATCATAACTATATAGATTGTAAATTGTGTTTGTCTAATTGCCCCCATGTTGTATAGTTCTTATGTACTCGTAAAATCGGCCTTAATATTCACTCTGTCGATACCTTATATCAGTTTACTATATTTTTTTCTTGTGTATAATTTCTATATTGAATTTAAGTTGCGTTTTTCAGCTTTTTATTGTGCACCAAATGATACCAATTTATGTGAAGATTCGAAGGGCGAATAAGATCGCAAAATAATTAATGATTAATTGTTTAACAATTAAATTGTTTCAAGACACACACACACACACACATACATAGACAAAGAACACACATACACACATGCACACCTGACCCGTGGTGTAATTACAATTATAGAAAATTAAGTAACTTGGCCGATTTGCATGCCAAATAATTGATAGAAAATCAATTGAAGGAGATTGCATCACGGGTTCTCGAGCGCTGGCCATGATGAACATCACATTGCATCGCATATAATATGTATGTATTCGGATATATATATCGCAAAACATATAAAGTGTATTTTAAATACAACTTAAGTGTAATAATCAATTCATTTCAAAAGCAAACTAACTATTACAAATGGAATAGATTAGACCGCAAGGGTGTACTCTAAGCAAACCAGCAGCATAATTGATTTAAATCACAAGAATTTAATTAATAAAAACCTATATACAAATATATAAAGAACAAACAAAGCGTTCGTTTAACTTAATGCCCACGCAGGGCTTTTATTTATCCACATATATAAATTGTGCTGGAATCGAAGCAGTGCCTAAGTATTTAGCAATACATATAGTCGGTTGGGTGGGGGGTTATCATATATCTAGAGATCGCCGAGAGAGTCCAAGCCGCCGCCCATCTCCTTGCCCATCTTGGCCTTATCCTGACTTTCGGTCCAGGCTTTGGCAATCATTTGCTTCGTCTTCGTATCACCATCGTTGTACATCTTCTTCATGATGTTCACCAACGCAGATTCGGGATTCTCGCTGTCCTTGGACATTTCGGTGTCCTGTTTTTGCTTCAGTCGCTTCTGAATGGCGGTTAGGACATCCCAGTTCTCGCCCTCCTTAACCTTCTTTAGGTAGATGGCAACCATGTCGGTTTTGATCTTGCGGTAGCTCTTCTCCACATCGATTCCGTGAAGCAGGTTGTTAACGGTCAGGCCGAAATCCTTGCCTTGCAGATCTCGAACATGGAGTTGCAGCGAGTTCGGCGTATAGTTGACCGTCACATTCTCCTCCGTACATCCCTGTACGCCATTTAAAGTGATGAAAAGCTTAACGAACTTGGCGCTTTGGTCCCAACCATAGTCGGTCAGCTCATGCAGATATCTGAAACACCCGGAGATTGATACGAGTTATATTACAGGTAAACACAATATGATGAGTATATGGCATCCATTGTGCTTCTCGGGACCCTAGAATCCTTGGAGGCCACTTAAGTTAAAAGGAGAAGGTCTGTGAGCACCTCGTGGCTGTTGGATTCCATGGACTCCCATGTTTCAAAGCAGCCAGCTGATTACCTTTTCGCTTCGGTGGATCCAGCCGCCTTTCGTTCCTCTGCAATGCGGGCCTTCATCTCCAGGTTGACGATCTCCCGCTCCGCCTCTGCTTTTGCCGTGGTCAGCACGGCTTTTACGCGGGCGCTTTTGGCCTGCTCCAAAAAGGCTGCAAGCTCGGCCACATCGATCTTTAGCTGTTATCCAAGCGAAATAATAGGTAATCAGGGAAAATGTAAGTTCGGTGTCATTAGGACTTACCTGTTCCAGGGACATATTGTCTGGATTCGCAATGGCAGTTGATTTATTTCGTAAAAGCGCAGAAATTTCGAGCAACTTCAATGACGCCGGCGCCGAGCGCTGAATGTACTAAAATAACACTAACGCGTGGCGAACGCAACCACCACATTCCAGAAAATACGTTTTATAGTATTTTTGGTATATTTTAAAAGGCTACTCGCCTTCCGATATAGAATGATATAAATTGTCTTGTATAACCACTTATTTCTACATTAAAAGAAACATGTTTATATTCTGAAATTTCACGGTGAAATAAATTAAACGTCTGTTGAAATTTCACGGTGAAATTTCTACAGATTTTCAATATTTGTATTTAGTTATATCGACGTTTGACTTATCATGCAGTTTTTGAACAGTATTATTGCTTATTGTTCAGTCTAAACACTTCTCCCCGATAGCCCCAACCGGAAAAATATTTAAAAATTGATACTTCCGCCGGAAAAGCGGTTTCCCGCCAAACAATATGACCAGCTGAAAAACACAGTGTGTCGTTATTCTTTTCGCAAAATCGACAAGCACACTGGATGATAATTTTTTTGATAGTCTCGCAAAAACCATCGATGGAACCGGCTGGAACTGAACCATCGATAATAAACTGGATCCGAATGGTTTGATACCACCTCTTGCTCCCGCGGAACGCCGACTATAATCTAGACAATTCGACCGAGTGGCCAGTAAATGCGCTCAGACCAGGGTATCCACCTCCAAATATCGGACGCTGCGCCACAGCCAGAATTCCGGGACTCAAAGGCGGCGCAGCAGGCTCTACTAACGGGATTTCGGCTTGAGGAAACACATCCAGGTGAGTAGGCCTTGCCGGATAGGACTTTGGCAGCCATAAGGCATATGGTTCATTAGGCACCCACACTCTCCACTGTTCGGGACAAAAGATTTATTCACTTTGGCGTAGTACAAAATTTAACAGATTTCTTTCAATATTATCAGTTATTTTTAGGCAATCATCACAAATATAGATGCCATACTAAGCTGATGGTCAGGTATAGTGATTTGCTAGAGGAACCAGTAAAAAGTGCCGGAGAATGGCCGATCGCGTCCTGTGCCAAGAATTGGCAGCGCCCGGGAATCACTATCGCCGCCCAAAATCAGGAATGGGAAGTCCCAGTACGGCTTATGCCAACGGGGGAGGATCCTGGCGAGGAGCTCCCAGGCCACACCAGAAGCCAAAGCAGAGCCCGCAACTATACTGCAATAGTCCGGCGGTCAAGCCCGGTGCTGAAGAGCAGCCAGCGAAGCCGACAGGATCCGAAGTAGTGGGCTTACCCGCCACCCCGCGAACAAATAAGCAGCAGGCGCGCAATAAAAGCGAAGGTAAGTTGTTTGATCTTTTGGCCATATCTTTCATGCATCATAATCCTTGATTCGCCTCGTAGAAGCCATCACTGATCTCCTTGTGCGAATACCGGACATTACCCAGCTGTTCGACATACATAGCCGAATTGGCAACGGAACCTTCAGCACGGTTTTGCTGGCAACATTGCGAAGGGAATCGCATCTGCCGGACAGTCTGCGTCGCAAATATGCCATCAAACATCATATACCCACTAGCCATCCGGACAGGATAATGAAGGAGCTACAGTGCATGACCAAAATGGGGTAGGTCCTTAGGTTAGCCCTTAACGTATGTGTGTCCCTCGTTGTATATGTGTACACCCACGCACGCTCTTTCGTCCTCCTCGCCTGCGTCAAACGCCGTTAAACGACGTCAGCCGGTGGTAGACGCTCCATCTACGTCATTGCAATTTATATTTCGCCGCACGAACGAGCGAGATGGCGTTCGTTTATTGCACTTTCACACGCCATTCACGTGCCCATTTACAGTTACATTGAGGCCCTCTCTACACGGCCAAATATTACTGTTTGGCTTATACACGATTACATTTTATATTGTTTTGGGAAATTTGATACCCAATTTGTTTGCGTAAACGGCATCTTCTTTTGGGCAGATCAAATTTTTTTTTGCATATTATATAAAATATGAAATCAAACATCTTATAAATGTTATATAGTTTTTTTTTTCTGTGTAGCTGTAATGTTTGTTTACAACCTGGACACCCATCACACATGCGTGGTTTCGAGTACAGACACTCGCATATCCTGCAATGCCAGTCGTCTGCTATCGATTTCCCTACCCCTCTCTAGTCGATTAGATTAGGCGTAGTTCGAATGCGAATCGAAATCGAATTAATACCGGCTCGAACCGGAGGAGTTAGGGTATCGTCATCTTTTCCAAATGAAACAAAACAAAAACAAAAAAAAAAAAAAACAATAGAAGAGAAAAGAGAGAGTGGGCAGTTTCTGTGTGGGCGACCGTTGCGTGTTTGACATTAGCCGGCTGCCCCCTGATTACCCATCTTTTGCCGCCCGAAGACCCATTTGGCCCGCTGCGATTTTGTGTCTATTCGAAGCAATTTGCGCAAATTCCGTAGGCCCAATTGCGTCACAGCCGACGATAATTATGACTGGGCCACGCCGAGTGCTTCCTCACGTATGCCGTACTCCGATCCGTTCCGTTTTGCCCATCGCCCAGTCCGCAAATCGAATCTTTCTATATCGCCGCCCATCGCTCACCGCTCATGAATACGCTGAGCAGCAGCTGGCTAGAAAATTGGCTAATCTCACAAGCTTGGTAGCTCTCAGAGAAACATATTCCTTAACGAAGGCCTGACAACAGATATTTTGTTAGGATACAAGATAGTTTGGTTTGTTAAGATCAATTTTAGCCTGACGCTATTGTGCAAAATTAGTTTTTAGGGAATACGGATATCCAAATAAGATTTGAACTTAATATTAAAAAAATATTTGGTTTGAAAATGTGAGCAACACTGATTGTGATTCTGATTGTGACGTTGAATCACTTATCTTTCCCTCACACACACACGCGCAGTTTCAGAGTGGGCGGAAAGCAGCCCAGCGGGAAAGTGGGAAGTAGGTTTTTAGAGTACTGGAAAACCTACTTCTTTTGGCAGGCGTAGGGGTAGGGATAGATGAAAACCTACTTCTTTTAGCAGGCGTAGGTAAGGGATAGAAAATTTCCGACCGCTAAATGGGGTGGGTTTCTGAATATGACCATAAGTTACAACGAAGTTGTGACTAATTATTGTCTTTCTTCGGAATGTTGTTATAAATTATGTTATGATGCACGGTCACATCAGTATAAAATTTCGTGCAAAAAGTGTAAAAAGTGAAAGAATGTTGTGTTAATCTTAAAAAACAAGATAAAGGTAAGTTATAACATAAATATTTTTGTTTGTATGTCCTTATTTCAGCGTTACGGATATGGTGAACATAGGCATTTTTCCAAAAACTACATTTTAGCCGCCGGAGGCGTTTGTCAAGTAAGTATGTAAGTTTTTCATTTAAATTTATTTTTCAATTTTAAAAGAACAAACAATGTTTTTTTTAGAGTTTGTAATAGATTCGACTTCAATGATTCTGGCCCTTGTGTTAATATTAACGGCAAATCTGAACAAGCGCAAGCGGACATTTCGATTTCGTCATTTGAAGAACTCGGCCATTTGGACTCCGACGGCGAAGCCAATCCAGAAGCATTTGTAAGTACTCACTACATTTTTAATAAGTTTCAACAGCCCTGTGTCCCCATGCTTTTTACTATGTTTATTACTTATTTTTCTAAATTTCTCCATTTTTCCCATTACTTTTTATATATTTATTACTTGTATTAATATGTAATATATTAACATATTATGGTTTTTATTTTCAGAGTCACTCAGAAACGACAATTACAGTCTTCCCCAATATCAAGATGATCTGCGTTCACCGTTCACTAAGGCAAAAAATAAAACATACAACAATATTTATGATAAAGGCCCTTGGACTGTAAATAGATTAATAAATGCATATACCAAATTAAAAAGTATTGTTTTTTTATTGCTTGTGGAAATTCTGTAAAGTGGGAAGGCCAAAAACCAGTGGATTTTATCCTGCATTCAGCAGCAAGAAATCCACTGGTTTTTTCAGTACAAAAACCAGTGGATTTTGCCCTGCATTCAGCAGCTGTAGGTCCATAGGATTTTGCCCTGCTTTCAGCAGCCAGAGCATCCACAGGATTTTGCCCTGCATTCAGCAGCTGTAGGTCCACTGGATTTTTCCCTTTACCCCTTCATTTTTGTGTCACCCCGTGTATTTTGAAAGGAGAGACGGCAAAAATGTAAGGGGTAAAGGGGTTTTTCCACATTCCGCTTGTATGAAGAAAGCACAGGAAAATAGTATATTTTCCACACCTTTTTTCCCGCTGGGAGGCGAAAGTGTGTGTGTGTGTGTGTGTGTGTGTGTGCCAAATGTGTAGGCGTCTCTTTTGTTCTTGTTTACCCACAGGGAACTAAACCCAAAATTCAACAAGGAAAAGTTGGCTTGGATTAAACCGATTGTCTTTGTTAACCACAGCACAATTTGTTGAATCAGACCAGGCATAAAATAGTTCAACTTATTAATATTTTTTCCACAAATATGTTTTGAAATTTTTTGAAAGCCTAAACAAAACTATTAAACTAATCTGTTGCCTTCCCGCTCTGTTTCGTTTTGCAGGGGAACTCAGAACGTGGTGGGCATCCACTGTTGCATTCGCTGCGATGCCTCCGCCGCCTTCGTTATGCCCTACATGGCCCACGATCGATTCCACGACTTCTACACACGGATGGACGTGCCCGAGATCCGACTCTATATGCGCAATCTACTGGTGGCTCTTCGCCATGTCCACAAGTTCGATGTGATCCATCGTGACGTGAAGCCGAGCAACTTTCTCTACAATCGTCGCCGGCGCGAGTTTCTCCTGGTGGATTTCGGCCTGGCCCAGCATGTTAACCCACCGGTAACGGGAGCTTCTGCGGGATCCGCTAGCACCGGCGGCGTTTCGGCCAGCAGCAACAACAGCAAACGACCCCGAGAACAAGAGTCGACGGAGGCAGTGCAGCAAAGTACTCCAGCGGATGCTGGTTTGGGTGGTGCTGTTAAGCGAATGCGCCTGCACGAGGAATCCAATAAGATGCCCCTAAAGCCTGTCAACGATATAGCCCAAAGCGAATTGCAGTCGCCGGCTGTGGATGGCTCCAATCCCGTCCAGCAGCAGCAGCAGCAGCAGCAACCAGCTCAACAGCAGCAGCAGCAGCCAGCTCAAGCACAGGTGGATCAAACGCCAAACGCCGCATCCGGCAGCAAGTACAATACGAATCGAAATGCCTCGGGAGCGGCGGCCAATAATGCCAAGTGCTTCTGCTTTGCCAACCCCTCGGTTTGTCTCAACTGTCTGATGAAAAAGGAGGTGCATGCATCCAGGGCAGGAACACCTGGCTATCGGCCGCCGGAGGTTTTGCTCAAGTATCCGGATCAAACCACCGCCGTGGACATCTGGGCGGCAGGTGTGATTTTCCTCTCGATCATGTCGTCAGTGTATCCGTTTTTCAAGGCCCCCAACGATTTCATTGCTCTGGCCGAGATTGTCACCATTTTTGGAGATCAAGCCATCAGGAAGACGGCTTTGGCTTTGGATCGCATGATTACTTTGAGCCAAAGGTCCAGACCGCTGAATCTAAGGAAGCTGTGCCTCCGTTTTCGCCACCGCTCCGTTTTCAGTGATGCCAAGCTACTGAAGAGCCACCAGTCCGTGGATGGCAACTGTGAGGTTTGCCGGAACTGCGATCAGTACTTTTTCAACTGTCTCTGCGAGGATAGCGAATATTTAACGGAGCCCTTGGATGCCTATGAATGCTTTCCGGCCAGTGCATACGATTTACTCCATCGTTTGTTGGAGATTAATCCCCATAAGCGCATTACTGCCGACGATGCATTGAAGCATCCGTTTTTCACGGCTGCCGAAGAAGCATCCGAGCAGCAGGATCAGGAGGCAAATGGAACACCACGCAAGGTGCGAAGGCATAGATATCAGAATCACAAAACGGTTTCCGTCACTCCGGAGCAACTGAAGCAGCAAGTGGCCCTCGATCTACAGCAGACGGCCATCAACAAAATGTGAAACTAGTCCTCATTCATACATTTGTACATAGAAATTACCCTAATCACATATCACGATTGTATATAAACTTCAAAAAACAAAACATCCGAGCACCTCTCATAAGCACCCCAAAAAAAAAAAAAAAAAGAACGTCCAGTGTACTATATCCAAGTGCCCGGCTCGGCCACGCCTACTTACCTCAAGCTGCAGGAAGAAGAAACACCAAATGAAGCACCCTCAACCCACACATATTTATATAGAAACGTATCAATCATGAACAATAGGAAAGGAATACCAAAAATATAAGAAGAAAGTACATGGAGTACATATTATATATGAAATGGCCGAAAGGCACGAATGGCACGAATGTTAAGCGCGAAGGAAACCCAAGTGCATGGCCACTGCTCAGTGGCAATTCTGCACTGCATGTTGTATAGTTCGAATAGTCTTAACTTACCTAAAAATAATAATCTATTGTATTTATATATCTGGAAATCATGTGAGCAGAGACATATATAAAAGTGAAAATATATTTATACCATGAAGTATGAATACCAGTTTTAATGTGTGGGGAGATGTTTTACCGGAAAGTGACCTTTCTAAAATTTTCAGAAAATGGGTTTGAAAAAAAGTGGCATACCTCTAAAAGTTTGTTGTATAACAAATTGCAACATTGGTAAAAATTTTGATTTTTGGGTCGATTTTTTTAAGTTTTTACGATGTAACATGGATTTGCGGAAAAGTGAACACAACTTTTTGTACATTTTTTCCAAACCGAAATCTGGATTTATAAAATAAATTTTGTTAAATGAAGGTACATTTTTATCGAAGTTAAAAAACATTAACAAATTGGCAAAGATCACTCACCTGTATTTTGTTTAATTTTTGTAGTTTTAAGTCATGGATTCCATCAATTGATTTTTTGATATATTGATTAAACATGCATTAAATTATTATCACTTAAAAAAAAAAACAAAAAATAATCCCTTGCTCATTAAAAAAAAGGATCAACCGCGCACAATTATTAACACATTAAAAAATATAACACCAAATAAGGTCATTCGCTTTAGAAACCACCACCCATACTTTCGCACATATTTACATGTGTGGGAGGGACGCCACACAGACACCTGTTGTCCTTCTGCTAGAAGTAAGAAGAAGAGAACTTTGCCAAATTGCAGAAATTCACCGATTTTGCCCGTTAAAACATTAAATAATGAACCGAATTAATAACTCCAGCCCGCACTCAACTGTAATCCACACTTTGTACACATTCTAAATACTTTTCTCAGCCAATCCATTCAGCAATCAAATTAATTTTAATTTTTTGGCGGCACTTCGATTTCATGTGTGTTTGCCGAACCTCACGGACGAAGAAAATGAAAGCTCGCTTAAAGAACTTTGAGATGTAGAAGAGAAGTGTTGAGCCAAACCAAGATAACGGGAACAAAAGCTCCGCTCCCGTTTTGATCTCCTGTTGACCATCCGCTAGCAGAAATAAGAAAAGAACTTCGCCAAAAGGCATAAATCCACCGATTTTGTCCGTTAAAACGTTGTAACGTGATATATTGATGAAACATGCATTAAATTATTTTCACTAAAGAAAAACAATAAAAAATGTTGTCTTGTTCATTATAGAAAAAAATAGGATCTACCGCGCACAATTATTAACACATTAAAAAATATAACACCAAATAAAGTCATTCGCTCTAGAAACCACCACCCATACTTTCGCACATATTCACATGTGTGGGAGGGACGCCACACAGACACCTGTTGTCCTTCCGCTAGAAGTAAGAAGAAGAAAACTTTGCCAAATTGCAGAAATTCAACGATTTTGCACGTTAAAACATTAAATAATGAACCGAATTGATAACTCCAGCCCGGACTCAACTGTAATCCACACTTTGTACACATTCTAAATACTTTTCTTAGCCAATCCGTCCAGCAATCAAATTAATTTTAATTTTTTGGCGGCATTTCGATTTCATGTGTGTTTCCCGAAGCTCACGGACGAAGAAAATGAAAGCTCGCTTACTTTGAGATGTAGAAGAGAAGTTTTAAGCCAAACGACGATAGCGGGAACAAAAGCTCCGCTCCCGTTCTGATCTTTTCGACTTTCGCTCTTTCGATTTTCTCTTTAATAGAAATTATTTTCTGTGCTACAATTAAAAAACTGATAAGTATTTTTTGAGTAAATTTTGAAATATTTTTATATTCGTAATTATATTTATGAATTTGGTTAGTTTTATTGTTTTTTGGTTACAATACCAGAAGGCAATAAGCGAAATGAAAAACTTTGAATGTAATTAAAGAAAAAAAGTATATTTATAAGAAGTAATAGAGTTTCAAGGGTACAAAAAGATAGTCTACATTAAAGAAAAGGTTCCCATCTTAGCTCCCTCCACTCTTTTTATGTGTTTGGGAAGGTTAATTTAGTGGCATCTGTCCTCTGGTGCCACTTCTTCTTGTGTTTATGCACATTTTAATAAGCAATATAGTTTTCAGGATGGGCCTTGGGACAGAAAGGAGTCCAGCCCCCAAAGGCCTTAAAAACTAAGCTAGATTAAGAGTTGGGCTCGTTATTCCAGCTATGTCTCCATCTTCTCAGCTTTCTTGCGTTTCGTTTTAGACGTGGTGGGAGAGTCTGTAGCATCAGTGTCCTCTGGAACCTCTTCAACCCGAATCCTTTTGCCGCCAGCCGCCTCCTCCTTTGAGGGCTGGGTTTCCATGGTTCTTTTCTTTGGCTTCACGAAGCTGCCACGTCCTGCGGCGCGTTCCGCTTCTTCGATGCTGTAAGGCTCTATTTCAAGCGCCTTGAGACGCCTTTTATGTACCTTAGTACGGAAATGCGCCTGCATGGCTGTGTCGTCTATAAAATACTTTGCACAATGGACGCAATAGAACTGTGCGAATCCCGGCTTATCGAGATCCACGTTTTGATTGATCAGTTCACCGCTTCTAGTTTGCAAATCGTTATCAATCTGGTCAAGATCTCGACGGCGATTTCGCACACGCCATCTTCGTTGAAGATGGGTATCTCCATAGTGCATCTTCTTGCGCTTTGTTACCATTCCCATTTTGCTGGCTTATGTTTATACTCAGTACCGAACCAACAAAATAAACGTTTGTTTTGGCACGTGTTTCGCTTGCCAGGTACTAATTGGTTGCAGTTGGCTCTACAAAGATCTTGGAAGGTCTGAAATTATTGACATAGATAATTTGTGATACAATTTACTTATTTTCAGCTTAAAGCATACCTTTTTTGACCAACAAAAGAGTTTTTTTACTTTTAAATAAATCTAATGCGCACAAACACTGGTCTACAGGTCTTAGATATGGTAGGATAAGCGATAGTCGTGAATTATCGATATATTTATAAAATCAAAGAAAGTCAGCTGTTAAAAAAATACTAATAAATTTATGTTCTACAACAAATACATATATGTCGATAACTGAACTACCATATACTTAATTTTAATTTGCCAAAAACCCTCATAATACAGTATTTAACTTTTTGTCATTTTTTAGTGCTTTTTTGCTAGACTACATTTTTGAATAAAAAAACATATGTTCCCAATTAAATTCATCAACAAATTGAATTCATCAACAACCGTGCGAACAAGTTGTCTGCGGGCGGACGTCGAGCGCATTTTGTTTTGTTTTTATTTATTTCCGCAGGAAGTAAAGTAAGCCTGTCTAGAAATATAAACAAGTAGCTAACATCTCAAACCGATAAAGTGCATTTGATTGAAAGTTTAAGAGTGGGAGAGCGCACAAACACAAACGCACACACATGTGCGATTGGATAACACTGTGAAATAGATCGGGTTTTACACTTGCAGAAAAGCGAATAAAGCAATTATCGTAATTGTTTTTGTTTTTTTAGGGAGATGCTGCACGCGGCCATCTCTGTTGCTATCTCTTCAATCCCAAGAGCTTAGCATATGTTGCTTTGATGTGTGTGTGTGTGTGCAATTTAATGCAAAAATCAAGAACAGCAATAAAGTAATAAACAGAAACTGTGATTGCAATAAAGGGGTTAAAAGTAAGAGAAGTGGAGGTCCGGGACAGCAGCAGCAACCATTGTTGTTTTATTGGCATTTATTATATTGAGTATCTGTTTTTAGCCACACATTCCATTGAATTCGTTGCTTAAACCGGCATAACAGCATTACGTTAGACCTAAAGCAACAGCGAATTGCCGCCATATCCAGTAAGTACAACAAAAGGGCCAAGAAGAAAAACATAAAAACTAGAATAAAAACAAAACAAAAGCTTAAATACCCTTATCGATAATCAGCGATTGCATACCGATTGTGATTATCAGTGCCAATCGCTTATCAGTCAATTATACAATTACAAGCATAATTAATTACATTTGAGTGTGTGAGTGCTTTGATTGATATACGAATTCAGATCAACAAACTCTCTCTCTCTCCATCCCGCTCTTTGCGTCTGTTTCTTACTATGATATAACATCTCCCCCGCCCCCTAAAAGCACACGCACTAAACGAAAATAATCACTCTCGCTCCCCAGTTGGTTTTTTTTAATATATGCCAGTCACGATTTGACATTTTGCGTACACCAAAAAATAGGTTTCAAACTCTTTTACCAATAACACCATTCAAAAATGTCAAGCAAAAGTAGAATAGGTATCAATATTAACTCGTAAATAAATGGTTGCACATAATAAGGATGCAACAACAATAAGCTTAGTTTACATCCCAGTTCAAACAGATGTTTTTTTTCGTGTGCACCGACAATGCGAGAGCAGGTTGAAGTTGCTAATGCAGGCGACTAAAAGCAAGAGTGTTAGAGAGAGTGAGAGAGAGACCCCCAACCGGTTTCATCTGTTAGATTCAGTTATTCAGTTTGTCAGAGGCTCTTGCAAAGGGGCTTTATTTCCATCCTTAGCATCCCCCAAGATGGACCAAATTATGAATTTCAATGTGCAAGGTATTTAACTAGAAATCCCCCTGAAAATGTTTTTGGCCCCGCCCTTGTTTAATGGATATTGCAAAATCCAAAACCATGCTGCATCCAAGAGTAGTAATTATGTATTGTATGTTCTCTTTTAGTGGCTTATTTTGAAAGTCTCTGGCTTCCGTATCGATCTTTGGCTGCCTATAAATACCGTAAAACAAAGCTAATTTTCCTTTCGTTTGGGCCAAAAACGAAATAAGGCAAACCGAGCAACAGTCAGTTAACCAGTTGTGCCGGTCCAGTTCAGTTGGATTATTGAGTCCATCACTCCAAGGCTATAGCATTCCATTCCGTACCAGATCACATAAAGGGGTTTTTAACTGTAAGATTAAGCTCGTCACTGCACTTGTGACTAGATATTTTCATAAAGATTTCGCCGCTCAAAGCAAGAAGAATTCCAGAGAAACGGGTTTTCTATCACGATTGTTTCTAAGACTCGGTTGTGGTTTTGTTCTTGCCTTTTACAGAGGAGATTAATTATAGAAATTTAAAACAACAAAAAAAAGAAGGGAGGAGTACGTGTTTAAACGTTTCAATGGAATTTGCGCGTGTGTTTGCTTGAGTTTTACCCGCAGTATCACAAATTTCCATTATTAATATCGTAAAAAAATATATTAAACGAAACTGGTTGGAAATGAAAAGCATAAACTTAATCCAAGGAAGTAGTACAATATTTTTGATTTATTTTTAAATGAACTACCGTTATGTCCATGTCCTTGAACCCCTATTAGTATGCCTTTTTGTCCCCAGACCGCACTTTTTGCGCTATCAGCTGCATGCCACAAGTGACTTGAACATACATATTTCCTTGATTACTTTGTAATGTGGTGGTTGGTCGCACCGCCTTATCACTGAACTACGATATGAACTGAACATTCGAGTGCGGTGAGCCGCAGAGACAAACAAAAGAAAATGAACTAAAAACAAAAAAGAAGCAACGACTGAAGTTCCCAACTAGATTCGTCTGTTTTAATTCGGGTTTGCAGTGTTCCCATTTGCAGAAGTGGAACAGCAGTTGTAGGAGCTGTAAGCGTGCTCCATTACAATCCAGGTTAGGGCAAGGTCAGCCGTGTGATTGGCGGCAGCTGGGAGGGAAAGTGGGCGGCGGCTTCCTCCTATCCGGTGGTTGGGAACGCGCGGCGCGGAGTTATGTCTGGAATTTTTCATTTCAACTCGCCCATTTCGCATTTGGCATTCCCTTCGCAGATGTGAAAGGGAAAGGGCGGAGGTCTGATTGTTAAGAAATAGACTTTCTAATTGAAATGGTGATTCGAATGGGATGGAGATTGGCCAGCAGCTGACCCAAAGCCATTTGAAGCAACACTCAGATGAACGATTGCGGTCGAAATTTAAGTTGAAACAATTCAAGGGTAGCTCAATAAATTCCATTGTTTAAAAACAGCAACATTAAAATGGGTATTTTTTTCTAAATAAACAGTGATATTATTCATAGAGTTAATAAATATTTTATATCAATAAAATAGAGTGGATTTTACTTTTTACAACTACCATTTTGACCGCAGTTGTAGCCATTCAAATCTTTTATATGTAAATTGTGTATTGTTCATTTGCGAGCGGCAAAGATTTTATGCGACTTTCACTCGATTCCCTTGCAGTCATTAATCACAGATCCACACAAAAGTAGAGCCAGCAGCCATGGACCACGCCCATCACAGTGCAGCCGGTGTAGGTGGGTTTATTTTGGATACATCCGAATGAACCATATCTTAATATCTTATCCACAAATCCATAGATCACTCGATGATGCACCACGACCATGCAGGCATGCACCACGACCACAGCGGAATGGGAACCACTCCCTCGCCTTCTGATCCTGCGTCCCTGTTCGATTTGGTTCCCGAAACCAGCGACCTGCATGCGGGTCACGCGGGTCACGGAGGTCACAATCATGGCGGCGGTTCCGGCACGGGAATGGAGCACATGATGCCCATGGCGGTAAGAAAACTTGTGTTGGATCTCTTTTGAGGCTAAAAAACCACCTCTGAGACTTGAAAGGGGACATTCCGTTGCTTCTAACTGGCAATCCGTTTTGGTCATCTCCACAGTTCCACTTTGGGTACGACGAGACGATCTTGTTCTCCTGGTGGCACATCGAAACGGTGGCCGGTCTGGTGGGCTCCATGATCGCCATCTTTCTGCTGGCTCTGATGTACGAGGGCCTGAAGTACTACCGCGAGTATCTGTTCTGGAAGACGTACAACCTGTTGGAGTACCGACCGGTCACGGGACCGCAGAGGAATCCGGAGGCACCACGGATTCCCTCGCCAGCGGCAGCAGCTCCCTCGCCCGTGCAGTGAGTTATCCGGAATTGTTTTTTTTGGATTATCCAATACCCGTAAAGGGGGCGGATCCTGGTAGCCTCCTAAGTTACTGCATGCTTATTGCCACTCACCCCGCTTTTTAGCTTTGTAACTTTTGTATATCCGTACCTTTTTGTATATATTAATCATTATATGCTTTCTTCTTTCTTCTCGTTTCGTTTTCGTTCTGCCGTTCTACCCGTTAAATCGTTCAAATCGTATTAAATCGTACAAATCGTTACCGCTACCGCCTCATAACCTGATCCATCAAATATATATATATATATCTGCATATCATGACTACGTCGGTCTCTTCATTTGTAAATTGATCCATCACGAAATCGATCCAAATTCATAACGCTCTGCCTCGCCTCGCCTCGTAAATTAATATAAATATATTTATCTTGTGATTCACGCGACCGTAAATGAAATTGAATTGTATTGTAACTCAACTCAAATCTGATTCTGTATCCGCATCCGCGAAACGCATCCGCAATCGTGTGGTGTCCCTCCTGGCACGCTTCGAACGATCAATCCTATTTTTTAGATACGTGGGCGAAGTTGTGCACAAGCAACCGTAAGTATCGCTCCATTTCCCACCCACCCACTTGCCCACCCACCCAGTCTACTATATATATATTTCCCAGTCTCTGTATAATTTCTATGCCTCACTTAAGTTTGCGTTAAATAACTACTTTGTTGGCCATCCGATATGTCCGTCCGCCTGCGAGTTAATGGGAAAAATCCCGGCAGCAGCTGTGCCCGGTGTCCCATTTCATAGTAATTTTGTACAGATATATCCCCAGATATCTGGAGAAGATATGGTATTACACACTCGGTTACACACCTGTAAACAGCACACCTCGTAGTTCGAATGGAAAATTATTAATTAGCCTATAACCTAACAGTAGTTTAGTTAATTGGTAGCTTGAACTAACGATGAACCTTAGAGCAGGACAACCCCAACCCCAAGGACACCCAGATCCCAGAGCCAAAGGATCAGCAGCATAAATAGTACTGTACTGTCTCTCGTTTTTTGCCATTTTGTTCTGTTTTGATTTTCGTCACGTTCTGTTGTCCTGCTAATTTTTTTGTTTTGATCCTGATCTCGATCTTATTTTTGCCGTGAGCTAATGCAACTCTTCTGATGAACAGACCTTCGATGCTGTCGACCAACCACCTGCTCCAGACGCTGCTGCACGTGCTCCAGGTGACCCTGTCCTTCCTGCTCATGCTGATCTTCATGACCTACAACGTGTGGCTCTGCCTGATGGTCGTCCTCGGCGCCGCCGTCGGTTACTTCCTCTTCTGCTGGAAGAAATCGGTCATCGTGGACGTCACCGAGCACTGCCACTAACAGAGGACCTCCTCAGGAAGCCTCCTCAGCCGTCGATGTCTCACGGAGACGGAAGCGGAAGCCGAGGAGGAGGAGCAGCAGCACCTGTCCATCTGAACGGAAGGCGGCGGCTGCTTGGTTGGTTGGTTCTAAGCTGGAATTCCCGGAAGCTCTCATCCCCACTGGAAACAACACAAAAAACACAAAAAATTGCTTTCTCGAGGTATTGAGCTTTGACTAAATCCTTAGCTGGCGATACGCGATGCAGGGCCAGCTTTGTGTACATATAAAGATGGAAAACTTAATCAGGAACTGCATCGTTTACACTCATCTAAAAAAAAATAAAAATACCATTTCAAGCCGAAAGTGTGCAGAATGCAAGAGAACAAATTGAGCGACTGGCGAGAAAAAACTGTAGAGTTAAGCGAAGCAAGTAATAACTTTTTGTTGTTAGTACCAAAAGCAAATATTTTTTTTACCATTACACTATTGTACACCATTTTGTATCCTTATTATACGATTATGATTATTATTATTTGGTAATAAACCAATATTTTTTTATATTTCACATTTGTTTGTTAACCCCCCCACAAAAGACATTTTTGTTAAAGTTGGCTTCCATGTGAAATGTTGAAAGAGCCACAAAGTGCTGTAGGGTTTATTTATGTGCTTCAACAGTGCGTTTCGCAGGCGTAATTCGGTTACGGAAAAGATACATAGATACATATTAGACCCCAACGAATTCCAGTCTTGAAGGTTGGCATTGATTTGTGTTGCATTTACGTGTTGTTCGAACAACTGAATTAACTTTAGGCTCGAAAATTGTCAATCACTTTGTTGTCCAATTATTTTGAATGTGTTTTTTGTGACTTCAAACAACGAACATCTGTGTTTAATAAACGAAATGATCGCAGAAACAGGCGTCACTCAATTTTTGCTCAACTTTAAAATGGCGCTGTAAATTGCTTTCCCCAGTAAATGATCACCACCCACTCTACCCACTTGGTATAAGGCTTCCAAAGCTACTGCCTTAGTGTCCCGAAACGCACTGTATTCAGCATATAGGTCCACCTACTCCAGCGGCGGGCATAAATACATAGATGTTGTAGATATTAAAGTTAATGCAAATACATACAGTAAAACGGCAACAAATTTATAACTATTATTACTATAAAATCTACTTATACATTATTAAATATACAAAGAGAATATTGTTACAACTCAAATGAAACCACGAACAGCTTTTGCAATGGGAAGTACTGGGAAAGTTGGGATAAATAAAAGGTTAAACTGTTTTTCACATACGCAAAATTAGAGATCGTTATCTGCAAGATTAAAAGAATACATTTTGCCTCTTTGGATCACTTATTTTTACCCAGAAAAGATCTTAAGTGCAAACATAATGAAAACACAATTGGGTTTCTTTTTGGGAAATTACTTTGATTTTTATTAAAAAATTATTGCGAGTCTCTCAATAGAATGTTATATCCTTACTCATACGGTAATTCATAATTAAAAACATCTTTACATGACTACAGGCGATCGATCAAATTTTATTGATTGGTTACACTAAACTTAATTCTGCATTCGTAACTTGTTTAACTCTTGCTTGCCCGATAGGAATTTAATTCGATTGATTAATTGGCTAGGTGATTGGTTAACACCAAGAAGGTTGGGATGGTGGAGGGTGGGGTGATGGATTAGTGGATGGGATCTGGGATGGGGAGGCATTTTTAGAGGCCAAGTGAAGGCAGAAAGGCGGAAAATGGAGCTCAGCCTGCGAGAACAAGAAACTAAAGCGGCCCATACAGACATTCATAAATGTGTAGGGTTTGGTTGGTTGGTTTAAGGTTTAATTGGTTCAATATTTAACTGACAACTCGCGCGATTTCAATTTTGATCTCGATATTCAGATGGATCGCATGGGATCGGATGGGTGGAGCAATGGATAGTGGAGTTATATATAAATTTGTATATAATATAGTTATAAGTAGATGAGAGAAATTGAAATTCACCTCGTTTTGTATTATGCCTATAATACAGTTCTACACGAGTATCTCTTTCTGCCATCTCTTTCACTCTTCTCTCTCTCTTTCTCCGATCACTGATCGTTCGTTGATCGCCGATTGAAGATCGTTGTGGTTTCTGGAGTATGGAGTTTGGAGTATGGATTCTCGGATTTAGGATTGCTCATGGGAAGCCGCCTTGTCTGTCGTGAAGAAACATTTATGTGGGGAGTTGTGGCATAGAAGTTACCTGGTTGGTTCTTCTTTCTATACATATATATCTATATATAGTATATAGTATATATATCTCCGCCTCTCCTTACAACAAACACATCCCCTTCATTCTATCAACACACTTCTGGGTTCCGGTTCCAGATGGCAGCTCCTGTAATATTTTTCAGAGGATAAGTGTGAGTGAAGTGAGCCGGAAAAAGAGTTCGGGGCGATAGACAAGTGAATAGCGCAGCTTAGACTAAGTTCGAGCTGATCGTGTACTTAGATATTGGTTCAGAGTTCATCTGAGTGTGTGTGTGGTTTCATTATTTGTATCTTTGGTGTGTGTGTGGCACGAACAGTACGAAACATACGAACATCTACGAGGGGATCACTTATGTAGCTCTGGACAGACGGCTAATCGGTGTCACATCGCAAAAACACACGCTTAACAACATACAAAATATCAAATATTTTTGGGGTTCAGGGGTCAGGGGGTCAGGGGGTCAGTCACAATTTACCTGTTCGTGAAGAGGAGGGGGAACATGAACATACATACACTTGTGTATGGGTTTTAGGAACTCGATTCGAACTCGCAACTCGGAATTCGAACTCGAAACATCTCGCCCTCTCTTTCTGTGCTCTGTTTGCTTGCTGTCTCCCTCTGTTCTGCCTATGCTTTTTTTTTTTTTTTTTTTTTTTTTTTTTGCTTTTATTATAGTTTAATTCGATTTAGCAATTCAATTACCTCGTGGTTCTTTCGTGGGTGTCTTGGAAACTTGGCTTGAAGATTTCGCTGGGGTTAGTTACTTGTTTTTTTTTATTTTAAGAAATACGATAGTGCAGGGGCGGGAATGGGAGGGGCGGTACACCACAACAATGAGAGGAGGATACAACAAAAAAAAAAAATTATTATGTAGAGCTACGCCGGCAAGCCGACGACCTAGATGATCCCTTTCCAAAGAAAGCTCTCTTCTGCAATGAATGGGTTCTTTTTGAAATGGATTCTGTATTGTGGATCTTCAAATAGGGGTAACTATATATGTATATATATCTAAGCTTCATCCTTGGAAGGGGCTTATCGGTTGGTTGGTTGATCAAATGTACCTGCAATCTGTCACTGATCAGAAGCTGAGTTGTCACGTTATCCCCTTTTCGGATATACAAGGTTAGGCAAGGTACCTCGACTACGTACCTCTGCACCTCTCGAACTCGAAACCCTTTCAACCCAGCAACCCAGTTGCCAATCGAAGCCAAATAAGCACATGCAGTACCGAGTCTCTTTCTCTAAGTCACTAAATATTCTATATACGAGTAGAGTATATGTACATTTATCATTATCAATTATCGTTTATGGTTTATGGCGTGTGGTGTGTGTGGGGTGTGCGGGCGGGGATTGCATGAAATGCGTGGATCTGTTTCTGTTTGGGTTAGTTAAGCGCATAGAGATAACAGTAAGGCTTGGTAAATACCTGTTTCAGTCACTGTCCCACTCACAACTGCAAGGGAAACAACGCCCAATGAACTCTCCAAATCGGCCTAATTCCCTGACTATCTTTTGATCACAACGATTTATGTATATGGGCAGGAACAGGATTGGAAACTGTCATAATCGCTTTCGAAATAATAAACTAACCATCCAAATGTCAACTGATATTATTATGATGAAAAACAAAACGTCGGTCTCACAATATAATTGATCTATTAACAATAAACCACAAATCAGCTAAATAAACTTTGAATAGATTGCTATCTCCCAATATTACCAATATTCATATATTTTAAAGCTAGGTTTCCATATATGTATGACAAAATAAAATAAATATTTCCAATGCTTTTAGGACTTGTTAACTAACATAAGATTAAGAAATTCGTTTATTTAATAGCTTTCAATACTGAAATAGTAAACAGTTCCTTAGTTCGTCTGTTTCCGTCCGTTTAGAAGGACCTCTCAACTTCGTGAAATCCTAGACCGATGTTAACCCAGATTGGTACACACATTGGGGGAGACGTGTGAGTACACGGATATATAGATCGATTATATAGAGTTATGGTACGAAAACGAGTATGTCTACAGAATATATGGAGTGGCACAACGGCGCAGGAGTGTTACTTTTTACGGGTTTATCAAGTGTTCGACTCACCTCAGTGCCCCAGTTTCTGGACAGCTCAGATACTGTTTCTTTAAACTGTTCTTTTTTTTTTATACATATTATTTTGGAAATTGTGTTAATGATTTTTTTTTTTTTTTTTTTTTTTGGATACCTCGTGGCTGCCGCCTTTCGCCGCGGCAGCTGCTGCTTACGGATTGCGGATTTGTGAACACATTGGACAGAAGATTGCAGATTACATGGGCGAGAGGCTGTCTAGCGTTGATCGTATTTAGTTGTGTTTCTTTTTGGGGATATCGGTAACTGATCCTGACTTTCTGCTTAAGCTTCTATGCGTCGTTTACTTGTGGTGTTTTTTGTTGTTTTCACTTGGTTTTTCGGTGTGTTTGTTTTTGGTCTCTAGTAGCGGCTGCGACTCCGACTGCGGCAATGCCGTTCGCGGCTCTCGTGGCGGTAGTGATTGTGGTTGTGATGGCTCCGGTTGCTCCGGTTGCCACCGCCACCGCCACCGCCATTGCCTCCGCTTCCTCCGGCCCCGCTGCCACTTCGCGAATACGAGTGATGGGAGCTGTGGTGCGACTTATGGTGATCTGAAACAGCAGGGCAGGGTTTAGCAATTGGAAACTGGAGAATCTGGAGTGCCGTGTGCAAGTGCAAGCACAACTTACGGTGACGCCGATCCGAGGGCTGGCGATTTTGAACATAGTCGCGACTTCGCTCCCGGTACTCGCTGCGTGGCTCACTAAAAGATTCACAGATTAAAGAATTGTTGAATAAGAATAAGCCCCTTAGCTCCTAACTGGATTACTATACTTTAATTCAAATGTCTATGTGACATCGAAACATCTTTAAAGGCATCTAGTTAATTTGAATTTAGTATCCATGCGATAAAATAAACACAAAGTAAACAAACTTAGCAGCATTACTCATAGCCACAATGTACGGCAATCTGCCAAGTTTGTTGTAATTAACTAGAAAAAGATTAAACGAATTTCGTTTCTATCGGATAGACGGACACGGTTTGCCGTGGCAGAAAGCACAGCTGGATTAGCTTAAGGGGCAAGATGCCAAATACTGATCTTCTATTTTAAAACCCGCATATCCTCACCGTCTGTTCTCGTAGTAGTGGAAGCGCTGGCCTCGGCCATCCCGCCGACGTCGTTCCTCCTGTTCGCGTTCCTTCTGCCGCGCATCGTTGATCTCGGCCACCGCGTTGCGGAGTTTGGAGTAGCCCAGATGCTGTTTGCCCATCAGATGGTCCTCGATCCGCTGCTGGGCATCGCCAACGATCAGGAAGGCGCCGCAGATCTCGCAGACCTTCATCTGTTTCTCGGGCAGCGAGTCGTGCGCCCAGCCGGTCGCCTTGTTTTCGGCCGCCTTCTCCGACTTGTCCTCTCCACTTGCCGCCGCAGATCCTTCGCCGCCTTCCTCCGCCGGAGGGTTAGCTGCTGCTGCTGCTGCTGCCGCTGCTGCCGGGGCTGCGGAGCTTGGAGCAGCGGCTAGAGCTTCATCCGTATTTGAGGTGGTGGCAGGGGGCTAATCGTTGAGGTTTCCTCGCTGGGATTTGTGCCGGGACTGCTGCGCAGCTCGTCTTCTGGCGATCTGTTCAAGCTGATGCTGCTGATGGCCTTGTGATTGGCCTCGTGCTGCTGCACCAGCTGCTCTTTCTCCTCCTTGAGCTCCTCGCAGAGGGTCATCAGGTCCTGCGCCTGGTCCACGTCTCCGCGAATGCCCGCTTCTTCGGCCTCCGACAGCAGTTTGTTGATCCTGGCGTTCAGATTGGCCAGCTGCTCCTGGTGTCTGGTCAGCGGAGCGGGAGTATTGGGCTGATCTCGTTGCATTAACAGCAGTCGCTGCTTGCCCTTTTGAATCTTTCGATCCACATCGTGCAGCATCACATTGCAGAAGCGCAGGAACTCGTCCTCGTACTGGCGCTTCCTTTGCGAGGGGCGCGCCTCCTCGTAGAGATGGCGAGCCTCCTCGTCGTGGATCCGCGCACATGGACCCAGATCCGCGCGGGTATTTATAAACAGGTCATGCGGGCAGAACTTGACGTTGTAAAATTGACAAAACTGCGGGTCAAGAAAGATGTATTAGAGGCTTTTTTGAGGCTGCAAACAAAAGCACTCACCTCAGGGTCCTCCCAATTGACCTTGGCGCCCGCCTCTGAAGGATGAAGGTTTCGATTCCTGCCCATCAGCTCGTCGAGCATTTGCCTGGCGGCGTCCACCATTTTCCCGGCAGTTTATCTTCTTGGAATTCCTCAATTTTAAATGGATAAATCCCGAAAGGGGGGAGCGGGCGATGCGAAGTGACTGCAAGTGGGATGTCAGTGGTGCTGCACCTACTCTCGTGGCCTTTAGTGGTGCCGGTGGACAGGCGCAGCCACTTATCACAGGTGTTTACGCGTTTTAACACAAAGTTTTACACAAAAAACCAAACCAATAAAGAAGAATTCACGAAATTCGTGGTATCCAATTTGCACAAGTGTGACCGTCGCGGTATTTCGCGAAAATGAAGGAAATCAATTCTTTGCGCCATTGAATTTTTTAAAGGGGAAGTTACTAAACCTTTTATAATATACTAGAGGTCCTGTGCCCGCTTCGCTGGTCAACACAATTTAACAACATAATAGTCAATGTTGCACGTCCAATTCCTATTCGTCTAACAGCAGGCATTATTTCAAATTGTTTAAGCTCGCTCTATTTTTTGTTTAAATATTTTTTTACCGACTTCATCGATACACAAAATCAACGCAGCTATGATCTTTTTTTTACATACAACATTGTGTACATCTGTTGAGCCGCTAGCGACTTTTCCAGAAGGTTTTCCCAAAATTTTCTTATGCTTAAACCTTCTTCTGGTTCTAAGCTATCTCCCTACCAATTTTCAGCCAAATCGGTCAAGCCGTTTTCATGTGATGCGATTGCGCACATATTTTGTCTCCATTTTTATATATATAGATGAAATATAATATATTGATATTTTTTCTTATTTGTATCTAACATAGGTAAGTTTAATAATAATGACGTTTTCGGTTTTATCTAAAAATGTTCATATTTGTAATGAAAATGCAACAAAATATAACTTAGTATTAATATTGGCTACTAACAATAGCTTAATAACTAATAATAACGTCATATAATATTTAAACCAATTTATTCTTCATTTTAGGGTGACCGTCAATGAATCTTGACATTGGTGAGACAAATTGGGAATCTGCCTGCCGGCGTTGCCACTCTTGTTCAACTGTCAAAAAAGGCGCCAAAAATTGGCAAAGCACGCAGCTGTAAACATTTACCGCGTTCAATCAATAGCGTTTATTTATCAGTTTGAAACAAACAGCGACCCAAAATGGATGTGGCAGATGCTCAGGTCGGTCAGCTGCGCGTCAAGGACGAGGTGGGCATCCGCGCCCAGAAGCTGTTCCAGGATTTCCTCGAGGAGTTCAAGGAGGATGGCGAGATCAAGTACACACGTCCGGCTGCCAGCCTGGAATCGCCGGATCGCTGCACCCTGGAGGTCAGTTTCGAGGACGTGGAGAAGTATGATCAGAATCTGGCCACCGCCATCATCGAGGAGTACTACCACATCTATCCGTTCCTCTGCCAATCGGTTTCGAACTACGTAAAGGACAGGATTGGCCTGAAGACCCAGAAGGACTGCTATGTGGCCTTCACTGAGGTGCCCACACGGCACAAGGTCCGCGATCTGACCACATCGAAGATTGGCACCCTGATCCGGATCTCTGGCCAGGTGGTGCGCACCCATCCGGTGCATCCGGAACTCGTTTCCGGCGTCTTTATGTGCCTCGACTGCCAGACGGAGATCCGCAATGTGGAGCAGCAGTTTAAGTTCACCAACCCCACCATTTGCCGTAATCCGGTGTGCTCCAACCGCAAGCGTTTCATGCTGGATGTGGAGAAGAGTCTGTTCCTGGATTTCCAAAAGATCCGTATCCAAGAGACCCAGGCGGAGTTGCCCCGCGGCTGTATACCGCGTGCCGTGGAGATCATCCTCCGTTCCGAGTTGGTGGAAACCGTTCAGGCTGGCGATCGCTACGACTTCACCGGCACCTTGATCGTGGTGCCCGATGTGAGTGTCTTGGCAGGCATCGGCACTCGAGCGGAGACCAGTTCGCGCCACAAGCCCGGCGAGGGAATGGAGGGAGTCACCGGCTTGAAGGCCCTCGGCATGCGGGAGCTCAACTACCGGATGGCGTTCCTCGCCTGCAGCGTTCAGGCAACCACAGCCCGTTTTGGCGGCACGGACCTGCCCATGTCGGAGGTGACGGCGGAGGACATGAAGAAGCAGATGACGGACGCCGAGTGGCACAAGATCTACGAGATGTCCAAGGACCGCAATCTCTACCAGAACCTGATCAGCAGCCTGTTCCCCTCGATCTACGGCAACGACGAAGTGAAGCGTGGCATTCTCCTGCAGCAATTCGGTGGCGTTGCCAAAACCACAACCGAAAAGACCTCGCTGCGTGGCGACATCAATGTGTGCATCGTGGGCGATCCCAGCACGGCCAAGTCGCAGTTCCTCAAACAGGTCTCCGACTTCTCGCCGAGGGCGATCTACACTTCCGGCAAGGCCTCCTCCGCCGCTGGCTTAACGGCGGCCGTTGTGCGCGACGAGGAGTCCTTCGACTTTGTCATCGAGGCGGGCGCCCTGATGTTGGCCGACAACGGCATTTGCTGCATCGACGAGTTCGACAAGATGGATCAGCGCGATCAGGTGGCCATTCACGAGGCCATGGAGCAGCAGACCATATCGATAGCCCGCGCCGGAGTGCGAGCCACTCTGAATGCTCGCACCTCGATTCTGGCTGCGGCCAATCCCATCAACGGACGCTACGATCGCTCCAAGAGTCTGCAGCAGAACATCCAGTTGTCGGCGCCCATTATGTCGCGTTTCGATCTGTTCTTCATCCTGGTGGACGAGTGCAACGAGGTGGTGGACTATGCCATTGCCCGCAAGATCGTTGACCTGCACTCCAACATCGAGGAGTCCGTGGAGCGGGCCTACACACGCGAAGAGGTCCTGCGCTATGTGACTTTCGCCCGTCAGTTCAAACCGGTCATCGGTACGGAGGCCGGACGCATGCTGGTGGAGAACTACGGACACCTGAGGCAGCGGGATACGGGCACGGCGGGCCGGAGCACCTGGAGGATCACAGTGCGTCAGCTGGAGTCGATGATCCGACTGAGCGAGGCCATGGCCAAGCTGGAGTGCTCGAATCGTGTGCTGGAGCGGCACGTGAAGGAGGCCTTCCGCTTGCTTAACAAATCCATTATCCGCGTCGAGCAGCCGGACATTCATTTGGACGAAGACGACGGCCTGGATGTGGACGATGGCATTCAGCACGACATCGACATGGAGAACAACGGGTCGGCGGCAAATGTGGATGAGAACATGGATACCTCGGCAAGCGGTGCTGTGCAAAAGAAGAAGTTCACCCTGTCCTTCGAGGACTACAAGAATCTGTCCACCATGCTGGTGCTGCACATGCGCAGCGAGGAGGCGCGCTGCGAAGTGGAGGGCAACGATACGGGCATGAAGCGCAGCGATGTCGTCACCTGGTATCTGGAGCAGGTGGCCGAGCAAATCGAGTCCGAGGACGAGCTCATCTCGCGCAAGAACCTCATCGAGAAGCTGATCGATCGCCTCATCTACCACGATCAGGTTATTATTCCCCTAAAGACCACCACGCTGAGGCCCAAGACAAAGGATACGGAAAAGGACCAAGCGGAGGACGAGGATCCCCTGTTGGTCGTTCATCCCAACTACATTGTGGAGTAAACAACAACAACAACACCAGCTGTTTATTATACCCCTAAAACTAGTTAAGTTTCTGTTTCCACTTCACTTTTTTTGGTACTTAGCTGTAAGTTTAGAGACTACTAAAACCATTAACCATTTTTGGCCCATTTGCGGTCCAGTCACGTTCCAATTCATTTATGTTTTCGCCAAAATAAACGTTCATCTCAAGTGCAGTTTGGATTTTCTGTATTTCGATTTTTGGGGTTCCTTCATATACTTTAGGCATTGCAAGTTCAAAATCCTTTTTGTTTTCTGTGAAACAAGAGCTTATCGGTTCAGCTTGGCTTCTTTTATTTTAATTGTACAGATGCGTTGATAAATTGCCTATGAAATAATAACGAGGCTCGCAGAGGATCGACGAGGAGGGCGCTGTGTTCTCTACTGCTCGAAGGTGTAGTGCTTGACGCCATCGCCGGGATATTGTTTGGCGGCAACGGGACGGTACATCTTTTTGTCCTCCAGCCAATAATAAAGGGCCAGGCAGCCAGACATTACGCCCAGGAAGCAGACAAAGTAGTACGAGTTCTTGTAGCGTGGATAATCCGCCTGCGACCAGCGATCCTCGCTGTAAAGATCGTGATCCGCCGAGACCTACAAGAGATTTAATGGATTTAAGCGGTCCTCATGAAGATAACTATTGGGTAGTCCTCTTACGGGCTCGTGATGATTGCGCTTGTGCTCCGGATAATCCCAGGGGTAGTAGGAGTCCTTGGCCTCCACACCGAGTCCGCCGCCCACTTTGGGGTAGTCTCCGTAGCCCAAACCATCATCGGCGTATGGCTTGTACTCCTCAGGGAGCAGGTAGTACTTCTTGGCTGCCGCCAGGCGTTCCTTTTCCGTTTGTGGATAGGGTGCCGGCTTGTAGTCCTTGTTCCAGCCGGCCACTATACGGGAAAAACAATGTTGAATCTGAGTACTGTCAATAGTTACGTAAACAAAACAGGCTCTCCAGCTCCTGGTTTGATGGCCAGACTGCACTTACTGCTGCGTACCGCCTGGCGAGCCACGACGGGATTTGCGGCGCATAGCTTTTGAGCCAAACACACGGTTTTCACAAACGCCGACATTGCAAAATCCAATTTAAAAAAACCGTTCGCAAATTTATTTCCGAGAGCAGTCGCAAAACAGCTGTTCGCCTCCGGATGGCAAACAAACGATAAGTCGTCACGCTGACTTCTGGTTTTATCGATAGTTCGTGGGTGTAGAAAATATTTAGAAGTTACACTTTCAAAGAAATCAAATTTAGAAGCAATAAAACGTTTGTTTTTTTTACACTAAATGCTAAGCAAGGTATTTGATTGTATCAAATAATAGTTGAGCTCCTTCCCATTTTGTAGCCATTTGGACTTACAAACATAAAGGTATATTATAGCTTTAATTTTAAATTTAGGAAATTTAATCACTTCTTTTTGTGAATTAAAATGTTTTTCAGGTATCGATAATAAGATCCATCGATAGTTGACTACGCGCCCCCGCGCATCATTATTTTTTTTTGTTGTTTTGGTGGGCTCGTCCGCGAAAAGTGATCGGCAAACTTATTTATTAATTACTTATTAAGAAATAAGCATAAAGATGGTTATACCGTTATTGCAGCGTTCCTCGCTTCGCGGCGTTCAACAAATAACAAAACCGTGGGCTTCCTTTGGAGCTCTGCGTTTGGTAAGGATTTATCTTGATTTTTATCGGATATGCCAAATATTGTGCCTTATGTAATTCTTGTTTCGTTCACGAACCACCTAATAACTCCAAAAAATGTTGCTAAAATTATATATAAACAAAACAAAAAGAAATGCAAATAAAATAACACAATAAGCCGGCGTTTCGTAATGATTATACAATGGACGGTGTAGCCAAATTGCCCCTCCTTTCCTTTGAGTTTGTCGAAAACATTCTAATGAGGCAATTAAATGTAGTCCGAATTGCGCCCCGACTCATATCAGCGTCACTCAGCTATAGCCGAATTGCGCCTCGACTCATATCAGCGTCATTGAGCTAAAGCCGAATTGCGTCTTTCAGCATTGTCAGGTTTCTGTGTACCTAATATAATTCGAGTACAGAACACTACGAAAGAACACTACCGTTACAATGAGACAATTAAATTTAGTCCGACTTGCGCCCCGACTCATATCGGCGTCATTCAGCTATAGCCGAAATGCGCCCCGACTCATATCAGCGTCATTGAGCTAAAGCCGAATTGCTTCTTTCAGCATTGACAGGTTTCTGTGTAGCTAATATAATTTGAGTGCAGTACACTACGATATAATTCAAAATGAAAGTGAAAGGTGAAATGCTCAGTTGCAAGGGCAAAAGAATGATCATACTGGACAATTATAAGTTTCGGGGGCATAGAAAACTTCAATCTGGTGAAATGGCTTGGCGGTGTTCAAATAACGCATGCAAGGCCAAAATATACACAGTGGGCACTGAGAATGAAATTTCGAGAGAAATGAACGAGCATAATCATGCTGCGAATGATGCTGGCACACTTAGAAGACAAATGTTAAACAACGCTGCAAAAAGGAGAGTTGAACATTTGTTTTGCGAAAAACCGAAGAAAAGGACTCGACAAGAATGGAGTAATTACCATGAATCTTTGAGCACCACTACGGACGAAGATGTGACCAGTATTGGTAAGATTGTCGATAGGACTTTGTTTTGATGTAAACTGGAATTTCGTTTTCCCGACAACACGCTTTTACTGCAGAAACAGAACTGTGTCTCGAACCGAGGAAAAGGATTCGGCAAGAAAGCTCCAGTGACCATGAATCTTTGCTCACCATTGAGCACGTAGATATGACCAGTATTGGTAAGATTGTCGATAGGTGTTTGTTTCGATGTAAACTGGAATTTGGTTTTTCCAACAAGAAGCCTTTACTGCAGAAAGAGAAATGTGTCGCAAACCGAGGAAAAGGATTCGACAAGAAAGCTCCAGTGACCATTCATCTTTGGGCACCATTGAGCACGTAGATTTGACCAGTACTGGTAAGATTGTCAATAGGTGTTTGTTTCGATGTAAACTGGAATTTGGTTTTTCCAACAACACGCTTTTACTGCAGAAACAGATATGTGTCTCGAAACAGAGGCCGATATATTTGCAAACGAAGTGAGTATATTCATACTTCAAATAATGATTTTGACCAAGTAAAAGAAATGGGCTCGGGGCGCAATTCGGTGTCACCCACAATGGATGGTGGAAGGGGCCTTCCAGCCGCTGGATTATTAGTTCCAATCGGCACACAACTTCGACCACTTGTAGGCAAACTCCAATTGGGTTTTTCGGCTGCCACTCCAATTGGATGCATTTATTTTTTCACTCAAAGTTATTCGATAATCTTCTTTTTATAATCGCACTCAAATCACATGACAAAACAAACATAACAAGCACACACCGCGAAAAAAAAACTCACAAAACGAGTTGTAATTCAAGAAATTGTGCTTCTCAGCGATTCTTGTTTTCGGCAATTGAAATTAAACCGGTTGATTGAAAATGATAATATCTATATGCCGACCACTTTTCTACACTATCCTGTACTAGTGATTTAACAAATGTTTTTGCACCTATAAATACCAAGGAAAATAATACATGTGGACCCTTAATACACTGGTGGTCACAATAATAGTATTTATAATGTACAAAACAAGAAACGTGTCTTCCCATACAGTTAAGAATTTTTAACTTCTGAACGCTTTTGTTAAGAAATTGACTTGAACTACTTGAATTACAATTTTCATATTTGCAAAAATGAATTATAGGAAATTTCCTAAGTAGGCGCGCCCAGGTGTGTTTGTTTTGTGGCCAAAGCGCAGCTGATTAGCAAGGCACCCCATGCCGGGCAGTGCCTTCATTTATTCCCCTCCAGAGCCGCCTCCTTTTACACCTCCACCATTCTATACTTTTGTTGAGAGAGAACTTTTAAAGAATCTGTTCGCTATTTACTCGGGTTTTAGTTTTATATTGAGGCCTGCTGCTTATCGGTCTCAGTTTTTCAACGACTCAGTCAACTCTGAGCAGCGGAGGTCGAGTGGTCGTCCTCTGATTTCGGCTTCTGATTTCATCCAACTTATCTGCCATCTATCTCCCTCACAATGGTCGGATGGTAGCCTATCAGTTCGTGATATTTTCGGTTTTAATCTGGTATTTTTCCTTTGACAGGCCTCCCAAGAGTTTCGCGTGGAGAGCGACACCTTCGGCGAACTGAAGGTTCCCGCGGATAAATACTATGGCGCCCAAACAATGCGATCCCAGATCAATTTCCCCATCGGCGGACCCACCGAACGGATGCCTGTAAGTAGATCCCATAATAAATCACGAGACTTATACTCGTAAATACGTGTAATTATAAGTTTTTGCAAATAAATTGGTTTTACAATACCTTAGCATCACATTCTTCATTAACTAGTTATCTTTAGTTCTTATACAGCTCTGACTTACAAGTATTAATTGTTTTAATTAACTTTTCAATGACCTCAACTACAAGGTTCTTAAGTAATAAATTCGGTTTCATTTTAAATTAATTAACCAGCCCAGATTAACAACAGATGCAATATAAAATAGAGAGTTTTACTTTATAGTTTCACCACATTTTGTTCGTTTTAGCTTTCTAGCAACGTTAAACTAATTGCAAAATCAAATAATGTTGAAATACAGCTTAAGGTGCCTTGAAATCTGATTGCAAAAGTCGTAAAACTCTTGAAAATGCGATATTTAAATAGCAAATTAGAGTAAGAGAATAACCTTAGGTGTTAATTATTTTAAAATGTTGCAAGGTTCAAAAATGATTCACTGCTGCAATAGAAATTCTTCACTCTGATTTTTAGAAACCCGTGGTGCAGGCCATGGGCATCCTGAAGAAGGCCGCCGCCGAGGTGAACAAGGAGTTCGGCCTGGACACCAAGGTTAGCGAGGCGATCTCGAAGGCAGCCGACGATGTGATCTCCGGCAAGCTGTACGACGACCACTTCCCTCTGGTTATTTGGCAGACGGGTTCCGGCACCCAGAGCAACATGAATGTGAACGAGGTGGGTCATGATTGATTTCCTTTTTTACCTCCCATTATATCAATTAATTGTATTTACCAGGTGATCAGCAACCGAGCCATCGAACTGTTGGGCGGCAAACTGGGCAGCAAGACGCCCGTGCATCCCAACGACCATGTGAACAAGTCGCAGAGCTCCAACGATACCTTCCCCACCGCCATCCACATTTCGGTGGCCCTGGAGCTGAACAACAACCTCAAGCCGGCGATCAAGACGCTGCACGATGCCCTGCGGGCCAAGTCGGAGGAGTTCAAGGACATCATCAAGATCGGACGCACCCACACGATGGACGCAGTGCCACTGACGTTGGGCCAGGAGTTCAGCGGCTACGCCCAGCAGTTGGCCTACGCCCAGGAGCGAATTGACGCCTGCCTGCCGAGGGTCTATGAGCTGGCTCTGGGCGGCACTGCCGTGGGCACTGGACTGAACACCCGCAAGGGATTCGCCGAGAAGTGCGCTGCCAAGATCGCCGAGCTCACCAAACTGCCCTTCGTTACCGCGCCCAATAAGTTCGAGGCTCTGGCCGCCCGCGATGCCATGGTCGAGGTCCATGGAGTCCTCAACACCATCGCTGTCAGTCTGATGAAGATCGCCAACGACATTCGCTTCCTGGGCTCCGGACCCCGATGCGGCTTGGGCGAGCTGTCGCTGCCGGAGAACGAGCCCGGTAGCTCCATCATGCCCGGCAAGGTGAATCCCACGCAGTGCGAGTCGCTCACGATGCTCTCTGCCCAGGTGATGGGCAACCAGGTGGCTGTGACCATCGGTGGATCCAACGGACACTTCGAGCTGAACGTGTTCAAGCCCTTGATCGTGTCCAATGTGCTGCGCTCAATCCGGCTGTTGTGTAAGTTTAAAATGGGATTCCAAAGTTGCTTGCAACCGATCCAGCAGCTTATGCAACTTATGTGATTATTTCATGAATGTTGAGCAAAGAAATCTGCCTTTTTCAGCTGACGGCAGCAGGACCTTCACTGCCAACTGCGTCAACGGAATCCAGGCGAACCGCGAGAACATTGCCAAGATCATGAACGAGTCCCTGATGCTGGTCACCGCCCTGAATCCCCACATCGGCTACGACAAGGCGGCCAAGATCGCCAAGACGGCGCACAAGAACGGAACGACCCTCAAGGAGGAGGCCATCAATCTGGGCTACCTCACGGAGCAGCAGTTCAACGACTGGGTGCGCCCCGAACAGATGCTGGGACCCAAGTAGAGTAGGCCACTCGCCCGACCTCAGTTTAAGTTCGCTTGTATATGATTCGCACTGGAACACACAGATCAATAATATAAACAAAAATGCTGAAGCAAAGCCATGGCCTAATCCTGGCCAGACGCAATCTTTGGGTGGTTTGCGGGGGCCTCCGGGCCAAGGAAGTGAGTAGAGCAGGCGAAGGGGCATTCCATGTGTACAATGCAACACTTTTTCAGGGCGGCAAGGACAAGGATAAGGCCTCGGACAAGTTTCGCATGGAGAAGGACACGTTCGGGGAACTGCAGGTGCCGGCAGACAAGCTCTATGGGGCTCAGACAATGCGTTCCAAGCTGAACTTTCCCATTGGCGGTATAGCCGAGCGCATGCCGGTATGAATCTGCCACGCAGATTCAGATTAGATACTGCTAAATTAAATAAATTATTTACTATAATAATACTGCCCGCAGATGCCGGTAATTCAGGCCATGGGCATTCTGAAGAAAGCCTGCGCCGAGGTCAACAAGGAGTTCGGCCTGGATAGCAAGATCGCGGATGCAGTGTCCTGCGCCTGCGATGATGTCATCTCCGGCAAGCACTACAAACAGGGCCATTTCCCGCTGGTCATCTGGCAAACCGGCTCGGGCACCCAATCAAATATGAACACAAACGAGGTGATGAGCAAACCCATCAAATCATAGCCGCTTTTGGGGTGCATCAGGCTTTACTTATCATCATTTATCTATTTAAATTGTATTTTATTATAAAAATCCCCCATTCAGGTGATCAGCAATGCGGCCATCAAGATGTTGGGCGGCGAACTGGGCAGCAAGACGCCGGTGCATCCCAACGACCATGTGAACAAGTCGCAGAGCTCCAACGACACCTTCCCCACCGCCATTCACATTGCGGTGGGAATGGAGCTGAACGAAAGGCTTGTTCCGGGGCTGACCCACCTCAGGAACGCCTTGAAGTCCAAGTCGGACGAGTTCAAGGACATCATCAAGATCGGCCGCACCCATCTGATGGATGCAGTGCCTTTGACTCTGGGCCAGGAGTTCAGCGGTTACACTCAGCAGTTGAGCTACGGCCTGGAGAGGATCAAGTGCTGTCAGCCGCGGGTCTACGAGCTGGCTTTGGGTGGCACAGCCGTGGGAACGGGCTTGAATACGCACAAGGGATTCGCCGAGAAGGTGGCCAAGCGAATTGCCGAGCTCACCTGCCTGCCGTTCGTCAGTGCGCCCAATAAGTTCGAGGCTCTGGCTGCCCGGGATGCCATGGTGGAGGTGCACGGTGTCCTCAACACGATCGCTGTCAGTCTGATGAAGATTGCCAACGACATTCGACTCTTGGGCTCCGGTCCTCGGTGCGGATTCGGGGAGCTAATGCTGCCGGAGAACGAACCTGGCAGCTCGATCATGCCCGGGAAAGTGAATCCCACGCAGTGCGAATCGATGACCATGCTGTGTGCCCAGGTGATGGGCAACCAGGTGGCGGTGTCCATTGGCGGATCCAACGGACATTTCGAGCTGAACGTGTTCAAACCGCTGATAGTTTCCAATGTGCTGCGCTCAATTAGGCTGCTGGGTAAGCTCGAAATAACCAACTAAGCCATCGTGAAAAGTAAGGAAACTCCTTCCTTTCAGCGGATGGCAGCATGAGCTTCAGCAAGAATTGCGTGGAAGGACTGCAGGCCAACAAGGACGCGATAGACAAGATCATGAACGAGTCCCTGATGCTGGTCACCGCCTTGAATCCGCACATCGGCTATGACAAGTCCGCCCAGATCGCAAAGGCGGCTCACAAGAATAAGACCACGTTAAAGGAGGAGGCCTTAAAAGAGGGAATCACCGAGGAGCAGTTCAAGGAGTGGGTTAATCCCAAGGAGATGCTGGGACCCAAGTGATCTGCGCCCTTATATACATTCAATGTTGTCAGTTTGACTCAATAAATTTGTCACATTTCACATGAAGAGCGTCAAAACATCTAAAAATTTAAATCATTTCAAGGATCTACAACTTGACCAAAACCCAGAGCCATTAGCTTTTTTTTTTTGTATTTTGTGGTCGTCTTATGACCCCTAATTTAGAAGTGAGGATGTAAATATTGGCGCGAAATTTGTATGTAAAAACCGGTATGGCATTACCAAAAAAACCTAATATTAAATTAAGCCACTTAATTTCATGTCTTTCGAAGTTAAAGAACAGTAACAAATTCACAAAAATGACTCACCTCTGTTTCAATATTTTTATATTCTGAAAACTTCTTGAATTTTGTTATTCAGTTATTTGACAGAACATGCATTTAACAATTATCACTTAAAAAACAAAACAAAAAAATTGCTCTATTAATTACACTTTTGTTTTGGTAATATTTCACAATAAAAAAAAAAACAAACAAGATCAATCGCGCAGAAAAGCAACACCCACACATTTAAGGAGATTCGCAAGTGTGGAAGAGAAGCCACACAGACACTTGTTGCCTTGCCGATAGGGGAGCAAGAAGAAGAATCTCCGTTGGATTGTAGAAATTATCAGATTTTGCTTGTTTAAATTTTAAAAACTTAACCGAATCGATTACTCCCGCCTGTCTATCTTGTTATCTACGCTTGTATTACACGTTTAACACTTTTCAAAAGCAATTCAATCATTATTCTTATTAGGATACATTTTTTGGCGGCTTTTCTTGTGCGTGCTGCAGGACTTTTCGATAACAACGATAGCGGTACCTAATTGGGCGGTTTGGTTCAGATGCAAGCTAACAGTTCACAGGTTTGGATCCCCTCTAGGCGGTTATCGATACGTTAGATTTACCGAAAATTATAACGGTCACACTACCACTTCGCTGTTTTTAACATTTTTCTTTGTTTTTATCGAAAATTGCAGTGGACTTAAACAATTTCCCGAATTGGGATAGCCAGAAAAACAAGTGTCAACGTTCATCACTTTTTTTCAGCCAAAAAATAAAAAAAGCAGTCAAAGCTGGAAGTGATTATCTAACGACAAAATCGACATATTGAAATTCGAACGAGTTGCAGTAGGCGCAGTTAATAAATGTAGGCAGCCAGGCAAGTTTGCTCTCGTAAATTATCCGTTCCGTCCCAGTTAAACATAGCGCAAAATCGGTCTAGCCCACACAGGATTCGCAAAAGTATATATATTTTGAGCAAATACAAAAAAAAAACACCCTTTCGATCCAGGGATTTTGCCTTGTAGTTGCACCCGCCACCCTTTCACCTTTCAGCCCGAAAAAAGCAAAATATTTTTACGACGCAATAACAAAACAATCGACACCCACGCATCAGCTGTTTCGTTATCGAAAGGCCTTATCGATCCCACATGAGCAACAGTGGAGTAAAAGAAGAAGAAGCGACCAGAATTAAGCACCAGAAAACTTAAAAAAGGTATAATTTTAAAGGTGAATCTCAGAATGTGAAGTGATTAAAAAGGATTTCTAGTTACAGGCACGTATAGCCGAGGTCTAGGCGGGCCGAAAGATGTCTGTGAGACTGCTGACCGTGCGACTGATCAAACATGGTCGCTACATTTTGCGCAGCTATTGTAAACGTGATATACACGCCAACATTTTGGACCAGAATCAATTAAAGACAAGAAGCAAGCGAGGCTTTCCATTACCCTCCACCGCTGCCCATGTGGTGCGGGTATGTAACTCCAGCACTCCTGTCCTAAAATCCCCTTCTACTCACTTTGAATCTCCGCCAGACGACGCCGCAACAAGCGGCCAAATCGGTGGTCAATGTAGTGCCCCGCACTGCCACTCCCTCGGCGGGATCGCCACTGAATGGGAGCTCTACCACCAGCAGCAGCGGACTCTTCCGAGTGGGCCAACATGCCCGCAAACTCTTCATCGACAACATCCTAAGCCGGGTGACCACCACTTACTCCGAGGATCTTCGCCAGCGTGCCACCCGTAAGCTCTTCTATGGCGATTCAGCTCCCTTTTTCGCCTTGATCGGCGTGAGTTTGGCCTCCGGATCGGGGGTGCTTAGCAAGGAGGACGAACTGGAAGGCGTTTGCTGGGAGATTCGTGAGGCAGCTGGACGGCTGCAAAGTGCCTGGAACAAGGACGACATTTCCGACACGCTGGACACCAAGTTTAGCATCGATGATCTGGATATTGGGCCACCGATTGCCAAAGGTTGTGCCGCTGTGGTCTATGCAGCAGGTTTTAAGAAGGACAACGGTGCGGAGACGCTTGCTGCGGATTCAGAGCCCCCGCAGGCCTCACCAGCCTTTGCTCCGAACAGCTGGAGTGCCCACGAGACGATGTCGCCGCTGCAGAACATGTCGCGCTTTGTTCACAACTTTGGTGGCTCTGTGGATAATATATTCCACTACAGCCAGCCCTCGGCTGCCAGTGATTTTGTCGGCGCTCAGGAGAGGGAGCAGGAGCAGCAGGACCACCAGGACCAGGAACCCAAACGCAATTCCTTCAATGAAGTAAGATTTACGCCAAAACATCTTTTTGCCTTTTAAATCACCATGTTCTTTAAGAATCCCCTCGCGACTCCGAAGATGAATAGCTCTGTGGACAACTATCCGCTGGCCCTTAAAATGATGTTCAACTACGATATACAAAGCAACGCCTTGTCCATTCTGCGTGCCATGTACAAGGAGACCGTGCCAGCTCGTCAGCGCGGGATGAATGAAGCCTCCGACGAGTGGGAGCGCTTGCTGCAGAACCAAACTGTCGCCCTGCCACCGCATCCGAACATTGTCTGCATGTTTGGCTTCTTTTGCGACGAGGTGCGCAACTTTCCCGACGGCCACCTCCTGTATCCGGTGGCCCAGCCGCAGAGAATCAATCCGCAGGGCTATGGCCGGAACATGTCGCTCTATCTGCTAATGAAACGCTACGATCACAGCCTGCGTGGCTTGCTGGACAACCAAGAGCTGAGCACTCGCACCCGCATCCTGCTGCTGGCTCAAATGCTCGAGGCCGTCAACCATTTGAGTCGTCACGGGGTGGCCCATCGTGATCTCAAGTCGGACAATGTGCTTATCGAGCTGCAGGATGACGCCTCACCGGTGCTGGTGCTCTCCGACTTTGGCTGCTGTCTAGCGGACAAGGTGCACGGCCTGAGGCTTCCGTATGTCTCGCACGACGTAGACAAGGGCGGAAATGCAGCTCTGATGGCGCCGGAGATCTTTAACACGATGCCCGGGCCGTTTTCGGTGCTTAATTACGGCAAGGCTGACCTGTGGGCCTGCGGTGCCTTGGCCTACGAAATCTTTGGCAGCCGTAATCCCTTCTATTCGAACAGCGGTGGGTTGGCACGCGAACGCGGCGAGCTGACTCTTTCGCTTAGGAACAGTGACTACAGGCATGAGCAGCTGCCGCCGATTAGCGATGCCTGCCCGCCGCTGTTGCAACAGCTGGTGTACAACATCCTCAATCCCAACCCGTCGAAGCGGGTCAGTCCGGATATTGCGGCGAATGTCGTGCAACTATTCCTTTGGGCACCGTCCAATTGGCTCAAGGCGGGTGGCATGCCCAACAGCTCCGAGGTTGGTATCTCCATAGACAGTTTTTTTTGTTTTGCGAAACACGAATAGCTAATCATGACTCTTTCTCGCCAGATCCTCCAGTGGCTGCTCTCGCTGACCACAAAGATAATGTGCGAGGGTCGCCCGCAGCTGGGTGCCGGACTGTTGCCAGTCGCTTCCAGTGGAAAGCGCGCCTATGTGGAGTACCTCCTCATCTGCAGCTTCCTGGCACGCGCTCGCCTGCGTCGCATTCGCGGCGCCCTCAACTGGATACAGAATGCGGTGGCGTAAGCGACTCACTCGCGGCAGTTACCACTGGATTAGATCTTGTCGTCAGGACACCCTGTACTACTTGTTACTCTGAGAAAATCAAATGGAAAAGCGTGTGATAACTATATTTTACATATGTATTTATAAAAGAAATCAAAATTAACCGCATGCTCTCCGGACACTTCTCTATTTTTCCTGGTAACGCTGTAGTTCCTCACGGAGCATTTGCTCCTCGGCTTTGGCCTCGGCACACTCAGTGAGCAGCTGCAGGATGCGCTCGTTTATGGCCAGAGCCTCTTCATTTGAGTCATTCGCGTAGGCCGTAAAGTCAACCATCATATTCTCCACAATCTTTTGCATCTCCTCGAGGCGCTTTTTACCACGATCCAGTAACGCTTCGTCACTTTCGAGTACTGGGTTCTGATGAGGTTGCTGTGGGGATAAAAAGCGGTTCTCTGTATAAGGCTAACAAATCCCAGATAAGATATTACCATTTCAAAATCGCTGCAAATTCGAATATTTGTTTTAGTGATGGCCAAACATAATGCTCTTCCAGCGATAACGATTATCCTGGGTTGCTTGAACTTCAAAATGCAATCGATATTTGAAATATTCGTTCAAAGTTTTTACTGTTATTTATCCTAAAGAATAATATATTATGGCTGGTTGTTGTTGTTAGTTGTACTATTAAATCATTCTGCTGTTATTTGTTTTGTGTTTATTGGACTGTTTCCTTTCAAAAAAAAAAGAACATAAGAACATAAACCCAATATAATGTACATAAATCTTATTTGCTAATCTTCACACGACTAACGCACAACTTGTGATCGTAAAAGGAACAGGTAGCCATGGTCAAGGATCCGTCGTCCTTTTTCGGAAAAGGTGCCCAATCAGCACCGTAACAGATGCTTTTGTGCTCCTCGTAGGTTCCCAGTAAACTTAAATTAGGATCCTTGGCATCAATCTCCACCAGACTAAAGTTGGTGTACATGCAGGCGACCAGCATGAGATCAGGATAAGCAGGATGTGGTTTTAGTCGCCAGATGCCTCCGCCCAAGTTTAATTCTGCCAGGGGACGCTTCATGGCGCGAGTGTCAAACAAACGGAGCTGCTCATCGTAGCTACCCGTCAGCAGTAGGTTTTCATGAGTCGGGTGACCTAGCAGACAGGTTACTCCGGCCATGTGGGCTCGGTTTGTCCACGCCCGTTGCTCCGTGCGCAAATCGTGGGCCATTAGAAGCATATCATCGCCGCCGCTGTACAGGAGATGCGAACACCATCGATCGAAGGCACAGGTCCAGGCCTCAAAACCATGGGATAACCACGATCGCTCGCGGATTGCCTCGCCCTGCGGTGAGTACCTCAGTAGGTTTAGGCCACCCTTGGAATCCGAGATGGCCAGTTGAATGTCCTGTTCCGCCTTCCGCCAGTCCAGTGCCAAGGCCAAGGCTGACTCCCCCTGGGGCTCCTCCTCCAGCGCGAAGCACGTCTGTTTCTTCAATTGCCTCTGATCCTTCAAGAACTCATAGATTTCCAACTGACCCAAAGAGTTAACCGTGGCCAGGTGGGAATCACTATCATCACTGCAGGCGGGCAACCACTTCATGTCCAGGATGGCCGCCGTTTCAATGCTCTGCAGGCGCTCCAGGCTGGAATTTGTGGTCTCGAAATGGTACAAATACACGCGGCCCTTGCGAGGGCGCTTGGGTGAAGCCTTCTCGGCACACTCCGGGTCCTCCTGCACCAACTGATAGGTACCGCAGGCGAAGAAGCCCGCTGCCGGATCATCCTGATGGAGCCACTCCACAGAATCCGCCGAATATTCCGTATCCTCGCTGTGGAGCGTGGTAAACATGTTCAAATGCCAGCTGTTTGCAACAGTTATCGATAGTTTATAAACCCCACCAGGGATGGAGAAGCCCTTATCACGCCACCCATCGAACGTTGTATTTTGATCTTATTAGATTTATTTGTTATTTTTCTTTTTCTTTGCTAATTTAAAAAATTAATAGTTAATACATATAACTACTTAGTGCTCAGTTTACGCGCTACGTATTCTGGATTAGGTTTAGTTGATCTCGTCCCTCGCTTGTAGTTCTTAGCTGCATTTCCTCGATTTTAAGTGTTGTTTTTTTTTCGGGGCGTCACAGTGTTTTTCCTTTCGGGATTACTTTCGTAGTTCGTAGTTGCCAGGCATCCTCCTTTGTTATTGCACCTGATCCTTGATCTCCGCTTACTTTTTACAACGACTCTATCTGTTAAATACCTCGACACATTTAAAACATATTTCCAAAAAAAAACTCTTATGAATAACTATAGACATTCCCTACTCATGAAGATCTGTTGTGCGTCCATCGCCTCTTGGTGGACTCTTGGCGGGAATGGCAACTACCTGCTGGCGGTCTTGCGATTGGCGCTGCTGCGACTGTGACGCCTCCGCGATCCTCATTTGGTCTTCATCACGATGATGGGCTCGAGTATCTTAAGCATGTCATTGTTCTCGGGTGCTCCAGTTCCGTTGCCGCCGCCTGAGCCCGATGCTCCTGCTCCTCCTCCGGCTCCTCCGCCGGCAACCTGCTGAAGTTTGCTGAAGCCGGGATGCGACTGCTGCTGCTGCTGCTGCTGGTGGAGCTGCTGGTGCTGGCTGATGGTCACCAGACGGTGCTGTTGGTTCAGCACGATCGCCTCGTGGTGGGGATGCTGCACCAACTGCTGCTGCTGCTGCAGACTGCCGGCGATCTGCTGCAGCTCGTGCTGCTGCAACTGCAGCGACGGCAGCTGATCGTTGGAGCCTTCGCCGCCGGGCGAGTCATCGTCGTCGGCCTTCACCACGGTGACGAATCCACCGTCGCTGCCCGTTCCCGTCACCGAGATGGCCTCGCTCTCGTACAGCTGCTGCTCCACGCTCGTCTCCCCGTCCTCGTCGTCGTCCTGCTCCTCCTTTTTGGCCCGAAACTCGGTGCTCGTGGCACTACTGCTGCGCGGCGTGTGGCTGCGCATGCGTCGCATCCGCGCGTACTCCGCCTGCTTGGACAGCCGCTCCTTGCGCTCGATCGTGTTCTCGGTGGCCCGGATTTGGGCGCGCTTCAGCCGCGCCCTTTCGCTCAGCTTCTGGAGGCGCGTGGCCCGCTGCTCGGGCGTTTCGTTGGCGCGCACCGCCCGCTGGTGGGCGGCCATCTTGTCCAGCCGGATCCGCTTCTCGTCCTCCGTCTCGTACTTGATCACCCCGCTGCGTCGCGGCGTCGACGTCAACGGCGTTCGACTGTCGCCATCGGCCGTGGAATGTGCATGAATCTGGCTGAGCTCCTGCGACGCCTGCGAGAGTGGCCGGCCGCGCCGCGGCGTACTGCTGGCCAGCTGCGGAGCGGCCAGCATCTGGTTGAGCTCCTGCTCCAGCATGCTGTTCACCTTCAGCTGCTCCTCGCTCGGCAGCGGGTTCTTGCGCGGCCTTCCCCTGCCCACACTGGTCGTCACAATCTGCGTTGTCGTCGCCGCTGGTTGCTGTTGTTGCTGCTGCTGCTGCTGCTCCTGTTGCTGCTGCTGCTGCTGCTGCTGTGGTCCCAATCCAGCCACCGTTAGCGTCGGATTTGCCGTGAGGATGTTGTACTGGCCGCCGGTTGGACTGTTGCCGCCACTGGCGTTGGCGAAGTGCACGGGCGTGAAGGGCGAGGGCACTGCGTTCGGTCCGATGCCAATCTGGAAGCCGTTGTGGTACATCGGATAGTAGGCGGTGGTGGTGGTGCCGCCGGCACCCGTTGTCGTGCCCGCCGCCACCACGCCCACCTGGCCGACGTTGGTGGTGCTGGTGGTGCTGTTCCCGCTGCTCGTCGTGTTCGGGAAGGTGGCCAGGTAGGGGAACTGGTTGTACAGCTGCTGCGCCTGGCCCGGCGTCGCCTTCAGGAGCTTCTGCTCGCCGCTGGCCGTCGTCACGATCACCTTGGTCTCGTTGTGGCCCAGACTAACAGACCCGCTGTTATCAGTGCCGCCGCCCGCCGATCCCGGGGCATCGTTGTCCGGCTGCAAGAGGGCAGAGCAGAGAAGGAGTGGTTTGGATGGGTTATAGGTTCGCTTTAGCAGCTAAATTCAGGGGGTTATTTCGATTTCAAGACCCACTCACTAAGAAACCTAATCTTCTGTTGGATTTGAAGGATTCCTGAGATCGCAAAAGGGCTTTCTTTAGAGATCAGCTCTTGGAAAGAAGCGAGATCAGGAGATCTGGAGATAGAAAGGGAACGCTGGCCAAGCTCACTTCGAAGCTTTGCGAATTAAAAACACATTTATATTGGTTTCTTGTTGGTAAGAGTTCTTTGATTTGCTTTCTCAGCTTTAAACATTTACATCGCTACATTGACTTAATTCTTTCTAACAAAACAGCAACGAAAACAGGAAAAATATAAGATTTTTTGGATGAACATAAAAAGTGGTCATTATATATGTAGTAGGTTTTTTTTATAAAATAACCTAAATGGTCAAGAGTTATACTTTTCTAGGAAAACAAAAGTATGTGAGTATTTGCAAAATGTTGATAGTTCGCCAGTTCTATGGGTTAGGTTTCGAATTTTGGCTCACTATCGCAGACTAACCCCTTCCTCACTTAGGTTGCTGGATACGCACCTGAAGTTCCTGCTTCTTGGTGGCATACTTGTGCGGGTAGAGCTCCAGCTGGCCACCGGCGATGCTGAAGTGGGGCACATGCGCCTGCAGCAGCTTGGCGGTGCCCTTGCTGCCGTCATCGCCGTAGATCTGCTGCACAAAGATGCTGCCCGGCTCGGTGCCCTCGAGCAGAGCGGTGGTCACCTGCTGCTGCTGCTGCCCGGTGATGGTGTACCGCTGGTGTTGCTGCTGCTGCAGCTGCTGCTGGGTGATCTGCTGCTGCTGCTGCTGCTGCGGCGTCTGCGGCTCCTGTTTCAGCTGCATGGGCGGGCGCAGGGAGCCGGGCGCCAGGAACATGCCCTGGCCCATGTACTCCACGCCGGTCAACGCCTGGTGCTGCTGATAGGCAGCCGCGGTCACCAGGTGCTGCTGCTGGTCCTCCGAGGGCTGCGGCGTTCCTGCCTCGTCCGTGGTCGACGTCGTCGTCGTCGTCGTCGCTGTGTTGGCCGCCTGGTTTAGATTGATAGTGTGTTCGTTAGTACAATTGCCTGCCGCCGCTGCTGCGGCTGCTGCAACAGCCAGCACCTGCTGCTGCTGTTGTTGCTGCTGTTGCTGCTGTTGTTGCTGCTGCTGCTGGTGGTGCTGCTGGTCCGTTGACGACGAGGAGGATGTCGGTGTTGAGACGACCACCGACGACGAACCACCGTGCACCACAACATGCTTCAATATCTTCTTTTTTTCTCTGACCTTTTTGGCATAGTCGTTCAGCTTTCTCAGTCTTTCCTTGCGCTCCTCCGGCGACTCGTTCGCGATCCTTTGGCGCGCCCTTGCCGCCATTTCGGCAAGGCGAAGCTTTCGCTGATCGTTCGTTTCGCTGGCCCGGTACATGCGCATCCTTTCGGCGAGCTTGGCCAGGCGCTTGGCCCTCTGATCGGGCGTTTCCATCGCCCGTCGCAGCCGCTGCCTGGCCGCATTCCTCACCAGCCGCATGGCCCTCTCTATGTCGGACTCGTTCTGGCGCCTCTGACGATTCGCCTCGGCATTCCGGAGCAACCGCTTGCGGTACTCCTCTTCGCTCTCCCGCTGTCGCCGCTCCCGCATCCTTTCAGCATTTCTGGCCAGACGACGCTGGCGTGCCTCGGGACTCTCGTTCCACCGCTGCTGGTGACCAGTTGTCGAGGAGGCTCCTGTTATGGAGGCGGAACTGGCACTGCTGATGGGCCCCAAGGGAGTCGGAGGCTGTTGCGACTGCTGTTGCTGCTGCTGCTGCTGCTGCTGCTGCAACTGTTGCTGCTTTAGTGGGGCGTGTGCATAAAGCTGGAGATGCTGTTGCTGGAACTGCAGTTGATCCGGTTGCTGCTGATGAAGATGTTGCTGCTGGAACTGCTGTTGTTGCTGCTGCTGATGTTGCTGCTGTTGGTGTTGCTGCTGCACGTGTTGCTGCTGTTGCTGTTGTTGTTGCTGTTGCTGCAACTGCAACTGGTGGTGCGAGGACAGAGGTACCAACAGGGCTGAAGAATGCTCGATGAGCAGGCGGGCATTGGAGCCATTGATGGCCAGCACATGGGTGGCGTACTGCTGCTGATCAAGTGAGGGCTCTATTTTTATCCCATTGGGATCTGGTTCCATTCTTGGTCGAAAGCCGGGGGGCACAACAACAAGCAAACTTGTCGTCTATCGGGGGGATCCAGAAGTTCGGTTTTTATCGAAAGGATGAGCGCAGTCCTTCCGATATTTTCGATAACATCTAGGGGCCGCGCTCCCGCTCTCTCTCCGTCTTGCTTTTGGCTCCCTCACGCGCTCCTTCGCGTTTCCTCTTTGTGTTTGTTTTGTTTCGCTTGCCCACAAGTTATATAAAGAATATGTGTGTGCTGGTTTGCCTGCCTTCACTCTCTCGCTCCCTCTCTTTTTGCGGCGATCGCTAACTATTATTGTAGTCTTCTATCATTTTTTTTGCTCAGGGTTTTTTTCTTATTATCGTTTACTTTTTTGCTAATTTCGTGCGTTTTTTTAAACGTGCTTCTTCTTTTCCTTTAGTGACAATTGGCGCCGCCGCCGCGCTGCTGCTGCTGCGCTGCCAATCGATTTTTCACATGATTATACACACACACCCATGCAGCACGCAGCTCGCACACACGCACAAACAAACACACTTCCAAATTACATTCACACACACACACACGTACGTGTGTGCGAGTTTTTTTCCGCTCCTTATTTTGCTTTTTGCACAAATCTTAACCCTCTATATTTTGCTTCCATTTAATCGTTTTGCGGCTGGGCTCTTATTAAAGCTTTACGATGTAGATAAAATAATAGTCAAAAACTTTTTTAAAATCGCTCTTTAAACGAGTTGTCGGCTTCTCACATCTGCCAGGTTAATTTTTGCATTGTTTTGATTTTTGCACGGAACCCTGGCTAAAAACAAGCGCACTCGCTGGTCAATCGGCGTGTTTTCTTTACACACGGTTTGCCAAACGTAAATGGCGGGCGCAAAAAACAGCGCTAAAAATCCGGCAAATAAAATAACGCGCAACAACACACATTAAAAAATAACCACGAACGTACGTGCGTGTGTGTATGTATTTGTTAGAGACGGCAAAAAAAATCGATTCTTAATCGACAAAACCGATATTATTAAAAACAAGGAGTTTTGACGCAGTGTTACCGTACGTGTTAAAGAAAATAATGTAGTTAAAGATGCCAAGCAATGTCAAATGATGTAAACAAATTGAATAAAATACGTTAGAGCTTAATCGCTTGTTTATATTTTGTAAACAAACAAAAACAGCAGTGCTTTTCTTATCAGCAAATGTTTTTTTTTCTTTCAACGCGGGAAAAATCGAATCCCATTTTGAATCGTCAACACCAAACATAATATTTTATTATCATCAGGAAAAATGGGACTTTGTTAAATTATGTTAAACAATTTAACAGATTTTATAATGTAGCATTTTACTAGTTTCTTTAACTTCCAAAATAAATTTCCCAATTAAAGAACGCAACATTTAAAAATTGTGAATTCAACTTTATTCAAGTATATTCATTTTGTTATTTTCTTGTTTTTCCGCTTGTTATGTTTTTGTTGTTTCTGTTTTCGTTTTGTTGATGTTTTGTGTGTTTTTGTTGTTGTTATTTTTTAGTGTACACGAATATTACAATACACAAAAATGTATTCTCAATCTTAAACCTTAAGGCAAAAACAATTGGTAAACGTATAAAGACAGGAAAAAAAAACAATTTGAAATTTCGACTAGAACTTAACGGTTACGTATTATTAATAATAATTAGAATAATATATTTATCATGTGTGCCCGAGCGGAAGTGTCTTGAATCCGTCAAAGGCAAGGGCGTGGGAAAAGGACTGGGGTAGGGGGGGGGGGGGAGGGGATGGGGATGGAAGGAAGAAGGATTGCGTGCTATAACAAATATTGCGTTATGTGCCTGGCAACGGATCATGTGTGTATGCATATGTGGCTCCAAATACATATGCACATATGTAATATATATATATTATATACATACATATGTGGGGCTGCCAAGTGTGTATATCCTTATGTGAGTGGCGTTGTCCGTTTTGGGTTACATGCTTTTACCAACTACACACACATATGGGGGTTGATTGACGCCAGGGTGCTTCAGTTGTTTTGGAAAAAATATCATATTCCGATACATAGCAAGTTTCGCCCGAGGATTTGCTGGAAAGGCACTTGTTGCCTCGTCCTATTGAAAACTCCTATATTTTTCTCGTTTTTTTTTTTGCGTTCGATTCTGGAGGTACCTAGTCGCTCGCGATTTTCCCTCCGCTTTTATTTACAGTGAGGCACCCTAGCGTTGTAAGCTTCCTTTTCCGGGGGAGTGGGGACATTACTGCCGTTTTTTGGGGCTCTATGTGTGCTATGACTATGCTAGATGTTCATGTGTGTGTGTGCTTTTTGTGTGTCGTGTGTGTATACATAACTATGCGTATATATATATTTATATATATTGTACGAATATAATGCATGCATTATAAAAATACTTTACTTTACGTTTACGTTTACGTTACGTTACGTTACTTCATCTTGTTAAATGTTAACTTAAAAAAAAAATTGCCTGGCTTTAACCCTAGAGTGCCTGATGCCCATTCAATTTCTCTTACTCCGCGTAATCCTCGTTATCCTCCTGGTTCTCTGACTGGTTTCCATGTTATAGGCTGTATACAATATATATTATTTATAGATGTGTGTCTGTTCCACTGCCGATCCTGGGTGTTCGTCCCAAAACGGCCTGCTTCCTCTTCCTCGTCCTGCTTCGCTGGAGAGCCAGCTCCAAAGGATTGCCTTCTGTTGCGGGTCCTCCTGCAGCGAGCGCGCGATCCCCTTAGTAACCCTTGAGCCTGTCGGCTAGCGGCGGCTTGATGACCTTGGGCGCACTGGCCCGCGCCACCCGCATCCGTTCGGCGGCCTTGGCCAGCCGCTTCTTGCGCTCCTCGACGGTTTCCGAGGCGCGGCGCAGTCGCTGCCGCGCCGCATTCTTCATCAGTCTTAGGGTTCTTTGTACTTCCGTTTCGTTCTGCCGCCGCACACGATTCGCCTCCGCGTTCTTGGCCAGACGCACCCGGTACTCGGCCTCCGACTCCTTAGCCCGTTTGTCCCGCATCCGGGCGGCGTTCCTCTCCAGCCGCCTTTCCCTGGCCTCGATCGACTCGTTGCTCCTGCGGCGAGCTGCCTTCTGGGCTCGCGACGACTGGCCCGGCTGGGCGTTCGCCTGCTGTGCACTAAGATGCGGCACGCCAAGATTGGCCAGCCCAGGTACGCCACCGAGTACGCTGCCGGCCTCGACGACAACGCCGGCGGACAGGTGATGGTGCAGCGGGTGCTGCTGCTGCTGGAGGACCTCCTGGTGGGGGTTGCCCTGCTGCTGTTGCTGCTGCTGTTGCTGGTGGGGATTGCCCTGATGGGGAAAGCTGCTCTCGAGACTCAGCACAGCCGCTGTCCCGCCACTATTGCCTGTGGAGGCCGAGGCGCTGGCTGCCGCTGCCGATCCCGAACCGGATCCCGAGCCGGAGCCCGATCCCGAAATGGAGGTGGCTACGCTGGAGGCAACGGCCGCTGCCGCGGCCGCCGAGCTCGTGTAGTTGTTGTACTCTATGAGGCCCCGGTTGCCCGGATAGAGGGCATGGTGCATCGGGCTCTCATAGCTGAGATACTCCGGCTTGATGAAGAACGGATCGCGGGCGGTGAGCGGCGCCGTCGGCGAGTTGAGGAAGTAGAGGCGACTGTGGTGCTCGGTGGTAATGCTCCCTCCGCCACCCACACCCGCGGACATCGGGGGATTTTGTGCGCTCTCTCGCGACTCGACTTCTGGTTCTGGTTCTGGATCCTTCTGGCTATCTGGCTGTTACTGTGCCGCAAGCCTCCTGCGTGCGTTCTCGTCCGTGGTCCTTGGATGCTTTTCCCGCGCACCGGGAATTAACACAATTAACTGGCCTGGCCAAAAAAAATGTGGCGAGTAAACAACAAAAGCGACATAACTAATCAATATGGAAAAAAGCTGCTGGTGGTCTGGTCCCAAATAGCTTTCGCGGTCGAAAGCTCCAAGCAACACTGGGCGTGTGGCCGTTGCCCAGCACTGGTCTCGTCGACGCTTTGCAGCACTGCGCCAAGTTGACATTCAAACATGGCGGGCATTCCTCATTTAATCCTTTTCATTTTACTGTTTGGATTTACCAAATATTTTTACATGGATTAGTAAAGCAATATTTTTTATATCGGAGGCCCCAAAACGGAAATGAATACTTGTTTTTATTTATATTTGGAGTCAAGGAAAATATATATTAGTTTTACTAATATAATTAAACTGGTACTTTTTCTACCCGCATATGCTAAATAAGTTTTGGTCTTTTACATTAAATAACAAATTAGTTAACAGAAGAAATAAAACATGACAGCAAATAGTTTTTTTTTTTTAAATATATTGACTATTGTTAAAATCAATATATACGCATTTATTTAAAATTTTTGTTGTTGAATTTTTTCTTCAACATTGTGTTTTACTCAGCCGGTATCTATAATTAGCTACAACCACTGTTTATTAATTTCATCGTTTCCATTTAAGTTATTATTCTTTGAGCCTAATATCCTGTAATTATAATTTAGCGCTCAAGCCACTCCGAACCTCTTGACGTCACATCGAACGTGTTGCCTTTAGTATTGGTTGGATGATAGGAAAAAAAGTGGAATGCGTAGAAATGAGCGCGTGACATGGAACAATTATTACTTTTGAAACACTACTTATGTACATCTTATTTGTTAATATAAAACTATATACATTTTTTAGATTAAAACTCTATAAAACTAATCAGTTACTGTATACTAATCAAGTCAGTGTTAAAAATATAGTTAAAATAGGGTTGCAAAATATGTAAAATAATTAAAATATAAAAAATATTGTATAGCGATGTTGGCTTAGGTGCGCATCTCTTACAGTTGGGTAAGTGGTGCAGAGCCTTCAAACATGTTGGGTTGCTCCAAGTTCGAGTTGATCATAGCTAAAACCGCTCCAATTCATGTTCATGCTGACTAACATCGCCGCATTCCATGCTAACATTGCTCGATTCATGACTAACATCACTCATTCGTGTTCGTGGATCAGGTTTGAACAAGTTGTGTCGGAATCCGAGTTTGATTTGAACATGGGGTTGAATGGAGACTATATGGCGTTTTGGGGCCGTTTCAGTTTTTTTTTCCGATTTTCTCGACGTGAACGGACGTGTGTGCTCGTGTGATGCGGCGCCAGTTGGCAGGTAGCGTAGTTTACCTTTGCCGCTCTACAAAAGTCAACAACAATAACAACAGCAAGAACAACAAGAACGACGGCGATAATCGCAGGCAACAACAACTGCAGCAATAGGCGCATATTCTTAATTGTGTTTACCTTTGATTGTCATTCGCCAACGTAACATACACACACAAAAATACAGATAAACATACATTTTATAACTGCGATTTGACTGCGTGTGTGCCGTCGCGTCCCCTCCATTCCCCGCCCCCTCTCTTTTTGTTTGTTTGTTTTTGGTTCTTGTTCTCTCGGGTTTTCCTTCAATTGGAATGTGCAGCGAAAAGAAAGGCAAGAAGAAAAGCCAAGCGAAATAAAAAGCAAAGAACAAATCAAATCGGAGCAACGGTATTAAAATTTATATAAGCACTAAAAGCGCATAACATAATTTACAATTCACACACAGACATCCAAGGCAACTACTTCAAAAGCAGTAATAAATACAATTTTACACATTCACATTCCATTTTGATTCTGTTGTGTGTGAAAAACTTATAAGAGGAAAAAAAGTAAACAACAAAAACACGAAACCAACGGCAAATAACAAAAGTATCAACAACAACAACAAGAGCAACATAGCAAAGCAGCGAAGTCAACGTCAAAGAAGAAGAAGAAGAAGCAAGATAAATACATAGCAATTTCGACTAAATAAAGGTATGTGCGACGACGATTTTACTTGACTTTATTACTAACTATAGTACGCGCTAGAGAGAGAGAGCCGTATTATACTACATACAATCGGAGGCAAACACACATATGCACACACAATTTCATTATTAGTTTAACTCTTCAATTTATTATTGTTATTATTGCCTTTGTATCCCTGTCCCGCTCGCTCGCTCCTTGAGGCCCCCTCCCCCTTTGGCCCCATACATTTTCTGCTCTCCTTTTGCGCCGCTCTCTAGGTTTTCTTGGCTCTCTTGTGAGCTCTCTCTTCGCTAGTTCTTATTAAAATAGTTACGTTAAATCAGTGCGTTAACTTGTATTTGTGTGTATGTCTGCTAGTGTCTGTATGTCGGTATCTGTATGTCAGAAAGATTACGATTTTTATTTTTCTTCTTTTTTTGAATATGCCTACGAAAATGTTTAAGAAACTGAGAATGTGTGTGAGTATCCGTGTTTATTGTTCTTTCGTATTTGATCACCCGCTTGATAAAATAGAGAAAAACAACAAGTCAGGTTAAAACGAACTATGTACGTATGTATGTATTGAATGTATGTATGTTTTGTATCTGTAAGTGCCCTCGCAAATGTGTGTTTGCATTGTACATAAATTGAATTAAGTGAAATTCGTTGTTGTTTTTGTTTTCGTTTGCGGAAATTTCTACACCGCATGTTCGTCGATCACTAAAATCGAACTAAAAATCATTCACACAACCATATGTACATGCATAACCGTTATACCCTCACAGTTCTGATAAGTTTTTACTTTGATGTTTGACATATTCTGATTGGAATCTCGGCTGTTATGCAACACTTATGTAGATGTAGCGCTCTAAAGATCTCGAGTCTCGAAAATTAATTACATCTCCACGTCGAGAGGCTGTCGACTAATGTTTTTCCCATTAGTTTCGTTTTTTTTGCACTCATAAATTTAATAGTTCCCACGAAATCATATCCCAGAGCAGTGTTGGTTAATGATCCATTTATTCCAATTTGTTTTAAATTAGAACGTTAATTTGAAATAGTCATTTCGTATTCCGGGTTGAAATATAGTGAAATAGCGACTTAGATAAACAAATTTAAATAGCCTTGTGGCTTAGATAACAGTATTGTTGAAAGATTAATCAAATTCCAACCAATGGATGTTCTAATGTTTAACTATGATTAAAACGGAATAGATTTTTTGCTAGATGACAATTGCCTTGACAATAGTTATAATAAAATGCGTGATAACAAGTTTTTTAAATAAATACCTAAAAGAAAAAGAATAAAGAAGTCAATGCATAAATCTAATTCAATGACACAATTTTTTCACAAAAGCTTTAAAATCGTGTACTTATTCTTCCATGAAAAGGCAAATGATTCCTGTTTTTTCAGCAACCCCTTTTGTGATCCTTTGCGTTGTTTTGGCCCTTCCCTTTTTTTGTAGTTGCCTTGCTGGCATTTGCAGAAAAGAAGATAAAAAACCCACTAGACGAGTGGAGCTGCACATATTTGTTAACATTACCATTACCATATCCCATTTCCAATTTCCAAGCTCGCTTCTCTGTGACTCAGAAACAACAAGAAAAACCAGGGCTCAAATAAAAACTGCAACAACAATAAGGTAACACACACCTACTTACAACTGCGGACAACAAAATATGAGTTCAGCATTGTAAATTGTTTTTATAGTTAACTTCATTAGCCTTGTTTAATTATCAATAGATTGTTTATAAGTTAGCAAAATATAGTTTCAATGTTAAAATAACAACTAGAACGTGTGGAATATTGTATTTCTGTTTGGAAAAATAAATAAACAATAACTATTATTGCGAAGACAACTGTAGGTGGCACACACATACAGGTACACTGAAGAAAAAAGACAAAGAGTTGCCGATATGCATATGTAACTACTCGAGTATCATTAAATGCAGATCTCTATAAAAGCATAAAAAACGAAGTCGAAGCGGAGAAGTGACTTTTGAGTGCGGTTTTTTCATATCGTTTCGTTTCGTTACCAAGACAAGCAGACAAGACACACAACCAACAATCCATAATAATCTTCCCGTAATTTATAGTCCAAGACAATTTATGTAATTTACAAATACCAAAAACGAAAGAGACGGCAAAAGGCAAAAAACAAAAAAAGAAAGACGATGAGAGCGAATGCAACTGCTGCAGCCAACTAACGATAATAACAATAACGAAAAAATATAATAAAAAAAAGAGAGAAAAACACACGGTGGAAAAACAACAAGGCAACACACACGGCAATAGCAATAAACAGCTACAGCAACAACAATAGAGCACCGCACTAAATAAACAATTCAACAAATTTGATCCGAGGCAAACACACGCACACAGATACTCACACACACATCCAATTATAGACAACTCACACGCACATAAAAAATGCATATGAAGAAAAAATATGTAGGTATGTTTGAAAAAAAAAAAAAAATATACGACAAATGTAAGTGCAGTAACAGAAAAAAAAAACTGCAAAAGCAATGACAGCCAAGTCGAAAGGCAAAAGCAGAAGGCAAAGCAAACGGAAAAGCAGTGCAAAGTCAAATGTCGTTTAAGCTCGAAGTTTTTCCTTTATTTGTTTTTGCTTCTCAAGATTGGTGAACGCATAAAATAAATAAGTAGTTTTGGGCCATGTCCTAGAAATCGACTAAGTGATACCCAATAATTGGCACTGTGGGCACTTTGATATGCGCGGATTTTAAATAATGTTATTTAGAATAGTTAGATAGTACTAGTATTTAGAATAGTTAGATAGTACATATTTTTGTTAAATTTTATGCAATCCCATATTATTATTCTGAGTAAATTTTTTCTGTAGCTAGTTAACCCAAATAAAATACTTCCTTACAATGTCACCTTTCGTTGCAACAATCAATCTACCCTTGGTACCCATTTTATCAGAATCGTCTATAAAAGTCTGTAGAAAAAGTACAACTTGAACCCATAAACTCGTACACATACACACACACACACATAGAAGACAGATGCTAGCTTGAATGTGGTAATTGCATTTATTGCACGTGCTCTTGCTATCTCCTTTGCACTCGCTGTCTTTCGTCTCCCTCACGCACGCTCAAGAGTCAAGCACAAAATGTAAGGCCATAAAAATATTTTTCAAGCTGTAAACTTTTCTATGCTGCACAGTTTCTTTGGGTTCTTTATTCTTTCTCTTTCTGTGGTTACCCGACGACGACCAAACCGCACCAAAAGAGCTATACCCCCCATCCCCCCCCACACACACACACACACACACTAAAGTACAGGGTATCAATCAAGCGAGCTCTTGCGGTTGGAGGATTTCCACTGCGATTCCCCTTGGGATTAACAAATGAGGTCAGAATAATAGTAACGCTATCTCATTGTCGTTCCAATTTGCTTACTTATGTGCTCAAAATCTTTTAGTAATGTTAATGTTGGGAATTGGGTTTAAGCAAAACAATTTTAAGAATTTACTTTTTAATTAAATGTTATATAATAACTAAACTTTAAGTTAGGAATAGGATCTTATCATAGCTCTAGTTCTTTTAGCTTGTGAGAATATTTTATTGTTAGTTACTGTGTATTATAGGCGTCTTAAGTAAACATTACTTATTCGAGTCAGTTTGTTCTCCCTGTCAAACAATTTGCAACGCATGCACCGGCCATTAAAACACTGCCATGCTACTTTACTTTTAGCTACTACTATTTTTTCCACATTTGTTTCTTTCCAACACTGATGGGAAGATGTAAGGAGAGGGCGCTGCATCTCTGATGCTTTTATGGCCAAGTTGCTGGATATGAAACTTGTCTATTGAGCGCGCCTGGTTCTTTCTTCTGCCTGGTTTCTTGTCTTTTGTGAACTCGCGGTTCCTTCGCATCGGTGTTCTTTGGTTCTCCGTTCTCTGTTTGCTATTCCTCTCATCTTTGGCTTATCGTTGGCCATTGCCAAGTTTTTCATCTAGTTTTTGGCCTGGCTTTTTCCCCCTTTACACCAAGTTTTGATTCCTGTTCTTCTCATGCTGTCCTCTCAAGCCGTTTCTTTCCACTCGGCACTCCCACCCGCCCACACGCATCTCCTTTTGTGGAAGTAGTCGGATGACTTGGTTTAAGGCCCCGCGTACCGATCTCTTTTCTGACTTAATATCTTCGCTCCATCATCATCATTGCCGCAATCTTCATTATCAGAGCGCTTTTATTTGTTTTCTTTCAGTTTTTAATTGTACGCATTCCTGCGGTCTTAGTATTTCTTATTCTGTCTTTTGTTAAATTTGGAGTTCTGTAGAAATTATATTTGCAATATTTATTTGGGTATTTCTGCGAAAAGAAAACCTCAGCGTTTATCTAGGTTTTATTTCCACGTATGTATGTGTGCATATTATATCGGGGCATATATATATGTATGTATGTACATAGTTGGACGAATTGTTTACATAATCACATAAACCTGATACCAACGTATTGAACCATCGATATCGAGCGACTATCGAAATTAATATCTCGTCAACTGACAGTAAGGAAACAACTAAAACAAACAAATAAACACATTCCAATCTTCTCCTTTTGTGTTATGGTTGAACTTGCAGATGTTTGTGAGTGTACATTTCCTCACACAGACAGATGCCACTGTAATCACTTGTGTGTGTGTGTGTGTGCGGCTGAGTGCCGGTGTCTCTTCTTCCGGAGCTATTGTTATTGCAAGTACACGTAAAATTATTGTTCACGTCGCACATTGTCGTGAGTTTGTAATTACCAACCTCACCTCACCTCGATCACCCACCACCGACAACCATATAAGGTTTTAATATGCAGCACAGTAGTCTCTGGCTTGGCGAAATAACCTGGTTTAGCCACCTTTGGTTCGAGCAGTTAGATTAGAAGATTTCCAACCATTTATGCTCGTAACCCTTAAACGTTAAGTTGTATGCAGGCCTCAGGAATTAGTATAACATCACCAGGATCATAAATAAATGTTGTGTTTAAATGTTTTAATTCAAATTTACATACAAATTTTGCACCACTCCAGCCCTTTACATTTCTGAGATGCGGGCTGTTATACAAACACATATGTAGATATTTAAAAAACAGAATTTTCTCTCTGTTACATTTACTCAGACGAGTACAATATACCCCCATACACGAAAAGTAGCGAGTAATAATATAATAAACATATCTGAAAATCGGACCTTGTCATCAGTATGTCATTATTTATTAATGGTGTTAGTTTCATCAGCGAATTTCCATGTGTAAGTCGGAGAACAAGTTGTTGTAAACCAACGCTGTCTCGTTTATAGGAATGTTTAACTTATTTTTAACGATCGCACTCGATTTGAATTGTCGGTTTTCCCAGCTGTAATATCTTCGAGATGCAAGTTAGGGGCTCACTGTAGATGCCAGTGCATGTTGGATACATTCATACATACACACATACATATGTCGGTAAGAGCTGTAGATACGAATATTCTTTTGGGGGCATTGCATAATCTTTGTAATCTCTCAAACTCGCACCCCCCTTTTCCGCTTTCTTCCCTTGCCGTGAGCTCTTTTTATCTTTCCTTTTGCCCCAACTTTTGCTTCCAACTCTTGCATGCAGGCTTAAATCAATTATGAACACAGCAATTTGTTATGCAAGGCCATGGAAGGCTTTCTTGCACATTTTCTCCACTGGTTGGGGTTCTTGATCTGTGATCTTAGGAAAGAAAAAAAATGCTGCAAAGCTAAGAGAAGAATTGCCCACTGCTTGTGCTTCTTTTATTATTTGGAATACTTTCTAAGTCAACGACAGCGTTTAGAATTTATCTAGTACTGGCACACACACACACACACACACACACTCACGGTACAAGTACCGATACAAAAGTTTACTTTGTCATTGCGCGCAGAGTCTTCAATTCTTCTAGATGGGCTTCTTCGTCTTCTCGGCGTTCTTCTGTGCTTCTATTCTATTCCATTCCATACCCGTCCGCAAATATGCTCACAAATATTAAATTCTGTTTGTCTGTATGTATAGTAAAAACCCACAGCCCCACAGCCCACCGCCCACCGCCCCCTTTGTAAGTTGGTCGTTCGTGTGCGGTGTATAAATTTTCTGTGGAACTGTACAATAGCTAAAATAATCATAAAAAAGAAATAACAAAGTTTTAAGTCTCACAGTGTGAGTGGAGGTAAACCAACAAGCAGCCATCGCAGGCAACCAACACACATGTCTTTCCCTGGGATATATGGGATAGTAAGTGTAAGTAGTGTATAGTGTGTAGTGTGTATTTGCTTTTCTCGACGCGGCGACTTCTTGAATAGTTGCAGAGTAGTCGAGTAGATTCGTTCGGTTCGGGTTCGGGTTCGGGTTCGGGTTCGTTGGGGTTTGCTTGCTTGCTTTTGAGGTTCGTGTTGGGGTTCGCCTCGGTTCGCTTGGAGCTCGAATTCGACTTCGGCTCTGCGAAATCTTCTCTCTCTCTAGTTTCCTAGTCTTGTCTTTGTGCAGAAACAGAAATCTCGAGTTTCTTGACTTTTCTGCCTGCTTTTCCGCTCGACTCTTACGCACTGCCCACCACCTCCCCATTGCCCTGCCCCCCTTCTCATAAGTAATAAGCATTTCGTTTGTTATAAAGTTTTTGCTTGCTCCCTATTCCGTATATTTCCTCATACATATGTGTAAAACCACGACGTTTCCCACCACCAGTCCGCGCGGCCCCCCTTCTTGGCCGTCATCTCGCGCCTTTATATGGGTTCCATTTTAGTTAATTTTTATTTTAAACTTTAAACAATGTCTGGCTCTGACTTGAAATGGTAATTGATAGAGGTGGAAGCGAGAGGGGCGGTAGTTCCATATGCGGGTCTCTTACAGACATGGAAAGTAATCATATACAGTCGAACTTCCATAATTCCAACCACCATCTGTCTCATAAAAATTCAAGTTTCTTTTAAAGATTATTTATGGAACACAAACAAGTTTTTTTCTTGAATATTTTGTAATAAAAAAGCGGTTGCAGTTTTATAATAAACGAACGCTTTGACTTTGACATTTTTGTATTTTGAATTAATTGAGTTTATAACAGAATTAATTATTTTAATTAATTGTATAGCTAATTTTAAACTATGTATTTAGGAATTGCTATTATTATGATATTAGTTTATTTGTAATAGGTTTACCGAGCTACTGTGTAGAGCGCCAAACATTATGCAACGATTTTAGAATCCCAGCTGCTTATAGCTATCGAGGGGTATTTTTGTAGAAAGAAACAAGGTTTGTTTAAGCTTAACTCTATTCCCTGTATAATTTAAACTCCAATTCTCAAATTCCATATTAAAAAACATTGCTTAAAACTGTAGAACTTAAACTGTGTTCATATCTCGCTATGCATTATGTTTTACAAGGTGTGGGAGGATGGCGTTTGGGGGGGATGTACTCGTTGTACAAATATGTATTGCAAATTGCTTTGGTCTTTTACCAGTTCCAGTTTCCAGGTGCTAGCCCCCTCTCTATCTTTCTCTCTCGCTCGCTGTGCATCATTATGCGAGAGCTTATTCTTGTTCTCTTTCCATGCAGATGGGAAAAAGAGAGATCGCGCAGAAGATCAAAACAGAATTTCAATTTGCAAACTCATGTGCCTAGGATTCTTAACCCCCCATTGCCCCACACACCGCGACTATATTTTTTTGTTGTGTTTTTTGGGTATGGTTTTTGCAAAAAAGTGCCCAGAAGGAGAAACTGGTTGAGAATTTTTGCATTCCATTGCTGAACTTGAATTGCATTTGGAATTTGTTCGTAGTTCTCTGTGTTGTGTTCCACGCATTTTCCATTTCCGTTCGTTCACCTTGTTCTTTCCAGTAGTAGTTGCGAGGGGGAGTGGTTGAAGTTAAATGGAATGGAAACGTCGATAGTTCGATGACTTTTTGCCGCTGGCTTATCGATGACGCTGGTGATTTATTGATCGAGATGCGTTTATCGATGGAGCGAATGGCAAAGTAAAACTTAATTGCTTAACTAAATTACAGCAATTTTTCCCATTTCATAATGAGTGAAAGAGAGCGAGCATGAATTTATCGTACTTTGTGTGCTTTGTCTTCCGCCCTATCTCCTCCATAACCTTCCCTCCCTCCCACCGAGCCGCCCCGCATTCCCAACTTTGTAGATATAAAGTTTTATTTCATTTCGTTTCGTTACGATTTTTGCTATTATTATTTGTTCGTGTCTCTCTGCCAATGTATCCGTGAGATACCTCTGTAACTTTGTGTGTGTAGTGTGTTTGTCTCTATGAATGTTATTTTTTAGTTTCGACTTGTTTTCTTTTGTGTAATTTTATTTTTGTATGTGCTTGTGTGTGTATCAAGTTCATAACTTTTGTATGGCGACTACGACAGTAAGAATTGTTTTGTTGTTGCTGCCGTTGTTTTTTTGAAATCCCCACAATAAGAGTATGTTTGTACGAACGTTCGGGCAAGGAGTATTTTGGTATGTGTGCCATTGTGTTGCCATCACTGTGTGTGTTTTTTATTTTTCACATTTATTTTCTAGTTTGCTCGCTCGTTGTTTTGTTAACTATTATTTAGTTTTCTTTGCGTCTTGAGCGTAGCTGCCTTCGTATCATACGTACACATACATATATATTCGTGTTCGTATTTCTTTTTTTTTTGTTTTCGTACACACATTTTTCGTTTATGCCCCATTATTAATAAATAGTTTTCTTGTTCTGCTCTGCATTCCCATTTCAGTTAACCAAACGTCGTCGGTACAATCGGAACGTTCCGTTCCTGCGTTTCCGTTTCACCGCCCTTCCGCTCGTTCCACGCGCTCCTCTCCCGCGTGAGAGAGGGCCACTTGTTGCCGGCTTTGCAATCCATTCCCCTGATATCGAATATTGGCTTTTGATTGACTAATTGATCCCACCCACCGAAGAAGATTGGGGGGCAGGAGAGAGCTCAGTGGAAGAAGAAGGATCAGGATCCATTGGAAGGCATGCAGTTTATGGCCAGCGGTTACTTCTGTGACTCCTGCAGCAACTCCACCATCACCTTCGGCTTCTGTTCCAGTCTCCGCTGTTCCAAACTCTTGCGATGGAGAGCGAACAGCAGGATGTTGGTGGCGGAAGTGGACCGTTATGTCGCATCTGCATCACCACCCACCATCAGCACAACAACAGCAACACAGCCACAACAGCCAGCCGGCCAATGATTCCCATCTTCGGCGAGGATGCGCTTTGGCAGAAGATAACCACGCTGGCCAACGTTAAGGTGAGTAAGAAAAAAGCGGGGGCTTAAATATTAAGGAAGCTGGAAAGGTCATTAAATGGGTAACAATTCCTAAACCAAGAAATCATATCAAAATAATAAAAAGGTGATAAGCAAGGTCAGGCTTCTAGTACATACATACATGTTTATGTATGAAGCATGCTTACTATAGTTAAATAGGTAGGAAACCCCTTTGAAGGTACACATATAGGATATAGTCATTTCTGTTGTTTATTTTATTTTTAGATGTCAAACGAAAAGTTAACTGACGTAAATTGGGTTTGTAGAACAAATGTATGTACATACTTACATTTAAGTTTTCTATTTACATTGCCCTCTTATCATCTTGAGATGGTACATTTTTTGATAAGAAAGGTTTTAGGGTTGCTTTCGTAATGTCTGATTAAAATAAACGTTATAAGCACGTGGAATACACAACTGTTTCTTAGGTTTATTTTAAAATTACGTTACAAAGAAATTATGTAAAATTTGTATAATAATCTTATATGATCTTCTTGGGTTTAAGTTTTTAATAAGAACGTCTTATTTAATTTTCTATCTCGCTGATTCTGTGGAGCTTTTTGAGATGTTAGCTTATAAAATCGATCCTAATTTGTATTCCATACAAGCCGTCTATTTTTCTAAGAGCGCTTAGAGTATGTGCAGGTGTATGTATGTTTCATATAGAATTCCATTTGAATATTATTTGACAAACGGTTTCGTTGAACGGAAGGACTGAGGTGAAAGATCTTCTTGGGGTCTCTGTTTATTTTTAACGAGGTGTGTCGACTATTTGAGCCCACTGTTTCTGTGTAATCCAAGATTGTTGTTTTGTTCTTCTTCGTGGAATACTAAAACTAAAAAAAGCAAACACATGAAAGTTATTCACACCAACACCCAGCTACACCACGTATTTATTATTCATATTAATTTTCATACACATTCGCCCCGTACGTATTATACATATCTTGTATCCCATATGTGTGTGTGTGTAATTTGGAATCAGTTTTCATTGCTTTGTCTTGTTGCTCCACTCCTCTTTGGCCATTTATTCTGTTTATTTGTTCGGTGGAATGGCTTCGGCTTTGGTTAGTTTATTTTATTCATATTGTGTATACAATTTTTCAACGAGCGTTTCATATTTTTTCCGTCGTCGCTCGATGGAATTTCTTGGGGGTCTTGTCTTCGTATTTTGTATTTCGTATTTCTTCATTTCATTTCATTTCGTTTGGTTTCTCTGCTGCTTTGGCTTTTGAAAAATAATTTACCGTTTGAATTGTTGTATAAAAGTGTTTGTCTTTTGTCGTCGATATGTTTGCTTGTGCTTGGCTTAATTCCACACATTTTTTCCTTTACTTAACATTATAGTTTCGGCTCTCTTAGCTCTCTTTTCCGAGTTACAAATCATCTCTTTTGCTTCTCTACACAAAAAGAAAACATGTTTTCAATATAATTCTCAATGCTGCTTTAAACTAGATCTCTCCTAGTAGCAAGTTTTTAATAAGAAATGAAAATCTTTCGTTGAGCTACATTTTTTCCTTATGTGTATTTGCTCTTTGCCCATTTGCCACTTTATGCTCGGCTTAGACGTTCGTTGGCCCCTCGGTTCTCGACTGGTGGGGGGTGAAGTGGGGGGTGAAGTAATGGGGGGAGGGGCGGTGGAGGTGGCACGTGAATGTGAATGGGGTGGCTCTGTGTGTTTTCCTTGCCGCGTGTGTGTCTCTGCCCCCCTTTTTCGCATTGGAGTTTTTACAATTCATGTGCATATTTCGATTTGATTTTCTCCTTATGTGTTTTTCCTTAACCGTTGCTGCAATTTTCTGGTTTATTTGTGCAATTTTCCCACTTGAGTAGATTATGTTGCCAATCCAAGGAATTCCATGTTGTTTTTGGGCGCTCGTAACGTCTGCCACCGATCTGGACAACTGAAATCTGCAACTGGAATACCGTTAAATGGCGTAGATAAAAAAGGTTTTTGTTTTCAATCAAATTTCGAGAAAGCTCCTCACAGAAATTAAAAACAACAACACATTTTACATTACATATTTTACACTACATTACATTTTACATCTCAAAAATAAGAAAGGAAAGAATACATTTGTAACTGTTTTTGTACGTTTACTAATTACAGATCAGCAAGAACGACACTTTGCCGCAACAGGTGTGCGTTGGCTGTGCCAAGACGGCGATCTCGGCCTGCGTGTTCAAGAAGAAGTGCGAGGAGGCGGACAGCTTCTACCGCCAGCAGCTGAGGCTCCAGAAGATCGAGGGCGCCGATCCGCTGGAGTCCGGCAGCGCTGCCGCCGATCAGGCCAAAAGCAGCGGCTGCAGCAGCGGCAGCGGCAGCAGCAGCGCCAGCGGAAGTGGCAGCAGCTCGACGAGCAGCAGTTCCTCCTCCGACGACGAGGACGAGGACAATGATCAGGATCACGATCAGGACCAGGATCAGGCCCAAGAAGTTGAAGCTGGAAGCGAGGCACACAAGCGGCTGCAGAACGGCCATGGCCAGACGATCAATGGTCATCGGGATGACGGGGATGACGAGGCGCCCGAGGGAACTGGCAACATTGAGGAGCCGGAGGAAGGGGATCGAAATGGGATGGAAGGGGCGAATCCCGAGGACGGGGAGGATGGTGAGGATGTGGAGGAGATAACCCCACTGAACCATCACCACAACGATGACGATGGCGAGATAACCGTCCACGGAGTGCATCCCAAGGAGCCATACGACTTCAACTCGATTCGCCTGATGCAGGAGTACATGCAGCATCAGATGAACAAGTTCCCCAATGGCTCCGCCACCGGTCCCGCGGGTCAGGAGATGGACCTCGATCTCGACCAGCAGCATCGCGACGACGACGACGACGACGATGATGAAGACATGTCGCTGCCGCTGATACCCGAGATCGAGCTGATCACGCCGGGCGATGAAGCGCCAGCGGATCCCTCGAACCCCAACGACTTGGTCAACGGAGTCGGAGGCGTTGGCGTCGTGGCTGGAATGCAGGGACCGGGCTTCCAGTGCCCGCATTGCTACCAGATCTTCGAGATGAAGCAGATCCTCAAGGCGCACATGCAGAGCGTCCACGGAGCCCCGGGTCCGGTGTACGAGTGCAGCAACTGCCGCAAGACCTACTTCTACAAGCGTTTCCTGGAGAAGCACATTCGGCGCGGGCGATGCGTCAAGAAGCGTCGCAACCAAACGTGAGTGCAAGGGGTCAAGGGGTCACATACGGGGTCAGATATTAAATTCAATTTTAATTTCAATTTCAATTTTAATTTCAATTTTTAATTTCAATTCTAATTTCAATTTTAATTTCAATTTCAATTAAATTTCAATTTCAAATTCAATTTCAATTCAATTTCAATTTTAATTTTAATTTCAATTCTAATTTCAATTTCAACTTCAATTTATATTTTAATTTAAGATTCAATCTCAATTTTAATTTCATTTCAATTTCAATCCCTTTCAGCCGGCCGATGCAGTGCTCGGATTGCCATGTCCTCTTCCCCACGGGCCACCACTTGGGTTGGCACAAGCGCACCGGCTGCCCCTCGAAGGCGGCCAAAATGTGAGTGCCCAACTGACATTCCCCGAGGTGAAGAAAAACCCTAAATGATATTTCCCTTTTTTTTAGGCCACTGCAGCAGCTGTTCAAGCAGAACATAGTGCAGTTCAACAATTTCCCGAAGCGAATTGCCGGCGGAGGAGCCCGCAAGCCAGCGGTTCCCGATCTCCATGTGAGCAATCGCAAGTAAGTTTTGGGTGATGGGTTGACTTCCAAGGGATGGCCTCTACGACTTCAAGTGGTTTGTTTCCGTTTCCAGATTGGGCCTGGCCAATAAGAGAAAGGGACGCACTCGCATCAAGCTGGACGCCAAGAAGATCGCCTTGGCCAAGCAGCTGATCCTGCGCGAGGCCACCACCACGGTGATCGCGAACGAGCTGAACATCTCGCGCACCTTCGCCTGGCGCCTGCGCAAGAGTCTGGTCAACGGGGTCAGTCTGCACGAGCGCGTGGTGGATCCATCGCAGGAGCAACAGGACCAGCACCTGCAACAGTTGCAGCAGCAGCAACACCACCACCATCAGCAGCAGCTCCAGCAATTGCATCATCATCATCAGCAGCAACAGCAGCAGCAGGAGGAGCAGCAGCAGCAGCAGCAGGGGGCACCTGCTGGCGAACGGGAACACCTGAACCACCTGAGCCTTCCCTACGGCCACCTGGGCCTGGGTCTCATCAAGGAGGAGCGGCAGGACAGCGAGGATGAGGATCAGCAGCAGCAGCAGCAGCAGCAACACCACCATCATTCCCATCATCCGCACCATCCGCTTGGCTTGGTGGACGAGTGCGGAGCGGAGGAGATCGGAGCCGAGGAGACGGCTGGCTACATGGCCGACGAGGACGCCGTTTGCGGATTGCTGCACAATGGCTACGACCCCGATCCCGACTCCGATCCCATCGAGCACGATCCCTTCGAGGGCACCGAAAACAACGAGCATCACTTGAACGGGGGAGGACGACCGGGATCTTCTTCGCCGGCGCCGCAGTTGCAGCCGGGATCGCTGGGAGGCTCGTCCGGGGTCGCGGGTCCGGGGTTGCAGGTCCACGCTGCCGGGCGGTCCGATGTCGAGGTCTACAAGCGCTTGCTGGCCGAGTCGCAGCACTTCCCGCACATCGTCAACGCGCAGCAGCTGCAGCTGCAGCAGCAGCACCGCGAGCGGGAGAGGGAGCGGGAGCAGCGGGAGCGGGAGCGGGAAAGGGAGCAGCTGCAGCACCAGAAGGCCCACAACGGCGGGATGCCGATGCTCACTCGTTATCCGCCTGCCGTCATGTAAGTAGACGCTTATATCTGATCAGTTATATAACTTATATTCGGGCAAAATATAGGTGCTCGATTTAGGGAACTTTGGCTGTAGAAGCATTCTTATCTTAGTTAGTTAGTCATAAATATTTAACTTCGTGAATACGATTAGCAATCATTCTCACTACAAAAAATACCTTTATATGTATGTGTAAGTTCGGACTTATACTTTATTTTATTTAATCAATTATTGCTAATATAATTAGCAGCATTTACTATCAAAAATATTTCCTAATACACATGAATGGTTATCACGATTATCGGTACAACGTGGTCTTTATCTTTTGTGTTCTTGGCACGACCAATTTGGACACGGTTAGTTATTTCATAAAAATAGAAAAAAAAGTTGGCTTAAAAGAAAACTAAAATTGCAAAGAGTTAATTTAATGACAAACTTCCGATTCAGATTGAAATTAGAATAGTTGGGGGCTGTGCTAATTCACTTTTTGCCACTTTTATTAAAAATTAAAAATTACTACTGATGCAGTTCAATACAGAATTTACCTACAAACTCATTTAAAATCGGAAATAGATTAAAAAAGTTATGGACTTAGAAGTGCATGGTTTTGTCCTCTTTTAAGCAAACTCAATTTTCAGAAAATTGGAAAGGGAAAGGGCATAAACCCTCAATAAAATCGACCCAAAAATACACATTTATCTAATGATGCAGTTTGTTAGGGAATTAAACTACAAACTCGGAGAAGCATTGTACTTTGGAATCGGATAAATATTGAAAGATGTACCTACGTTAAGAAAGTCTGGGATTTCTCAATTTTCTTTAAACCAGTTGGTTGATTAGAATAACTTGTTAATTCTATTTTTTGGATAACTTGAAATACTGATTGCAAAATAATTATTTATTGTAGGCATGCCCTGCCCGTCAACCTGTCCCTGCGCTCGATGCCCCACATGAACAGCAACGAGAGGTGAGTGATCTCAGAGCGACTCAGCCATCGTTTTGACCTTGTTGACCTTTTGCTTTGACCTTTGTCCTCCGCAGCAACGGCAGCTCCAGCAGCAACACGGCAGCTCCAGTGCCCGTTCCCGGCTCTTCGGCAGCCGGATCGGCAGCCACGCCCACCGGCAAGAAGCCACGCAAGCCGAACGTCTTCATCGATGACGAGAAGTACGCCATGGCCAAGCTGCTGGTGGCGCAGAACTCCTCCACCATGGAGATAGCCAGGGCCCTCAACGTGTCCCAAATGACGGCCTGGAAGGTGCGCGATGCCATTCTCAAGGGAGTGCCGCTCTCCTACCGCAACAAGCGCTCCGACGGCCGCCACTCGGAGGAGTTCAGCGCCAAGGAGCAGCAGCAACACCACCAGCAGCAGCAGCAGCAACAGCAGCAGCAGCAACACCAGCAACAGAAGGAGCAGCAGCAACGCCAGCAGGAGATGCAGCGCCAGCAGCAACAGCAGTTGGAGCAAATGGAGCTGATCAAACAGCAGCGCCAGCAACAGGAGTTGCTGCTCCAACAGCAGCAGCAGCAGCAGCAACAACAGCAGCAGCAACAGCAGCAGCAGCAGCGTCACCACGCAACAGCGGACACATCACACTATCAGCAGCAGCAGCAGCAGCAGCAGCCTAAGATGTTGCATCCACGCCGCCGCTTGAAGGCAGCGGAAAGGGAGCTGCGCGACAAGGAGATCACGCGGGAAATACTCGAGCTGATCAAGGAGGACAGCAACATTCAGTACTGGAAGGTGTCGGCCCGTCTGGCCGAGAAGGGCATCAATATATCGCCGTCGTCCGTCTGCCAGAAGCTCAAGTCGATGGGCATCCACCGGCGTTGGAAGCCGGGCGACAAGCCGCCCATGCTGGCCATCAGCCAGCTGAAGGCGGCCACTGTGGCAGCTGCAGCAGCGGCAGCCAGTTTGGCCGGCGTTGGCGGAGTAGTCGGCGGAGTTGTCGGCGGAGGAGGAGGAGGCGCCGGACTGGCCAGCAGCAGCTTTGGTTTAACCGACGACAGCTTCGAGCAGCAGCAGTTTGACATGGGTGGGCCCCACTTTCTCAGTGCCTTCACGCGCTAAGCAAACGACCAGAAGTCCTCCCCATCTAGAACTAGAGTTAAATATTACACATGCATACTACACGTGCACAGAAAAGTAGAGCAGAGCGTAAGCTGAAGGGATTTTCCGGCATTTTGTCTGGAAACTGAAAGTGTTAAGCTACCAAGCGCCCTTTTTTTTATGAGCATAACCAAATTGTTTCATCAAATTATTGAAAACTGTAGAACAGTATTACATTAGGCAAAATTAAATATGTATTTACTCAAGTTTTTAAAATTTGTACGAACCGATTTCTGTGTAATCAAGAAATTACATTTTTTAAAGGAGATTTGTGTACTTTGGAAATCCCATCCTATGCAAGGATTGCTTTATTTTTTTTATTGAATATTCTTGAATTGTTATTTAACGCCAGCAGTTTCCACGACGAAATACCACGCTTATGTCCACGATTAAGATTTTTAGGTTTTTATTTTCGAGCCACCCTAATCCACATGCATAGACCAGCACAGGAACAACTTGTATTTTTTATATAGTATTTGAAAGGGAGAGCGCGCTTGAAATGTATTTGTATTTGTAATCAATATGAGAACGCATATATTGTATGACTCTGTATTAGATTTATATATCCAATATACATATGTATATGCAAAGCATTCCTAGAATGTCACACACAAGAAACACGCCCAAAAACACGTTCATTCCAAGCGAGGAAATCATTTCCTTTCTATTATTTCAGCAGCTTCCTTTTCCTCTTCCTTCATCCACACACACACACACAGACACGCATATACACTACACCAACACACACACACACACACACAAAACTAGCTGATAATTTATAATAATTTTATTTACATATTTATTGATCGCATGTCCTTGTGTGTGTGTGTGCTTTTTTAGCTGAGAAATGTATTTAAAGGTCTTCACCATTTATAATTTATTTATTTTACTCACGCACACATACACACACACACATAAGCAGTTATTAAGTACTGAACTTTAATTTAGTTAAATTAACGCATCAAACGATAAAATAACAATCAGAACAAAGCAACCGGAAGCAGAACAAACAGAGCAGCTAGAGAGAGTAATTAAAGCTAGCGACATAAGTGCAATTATAAACAAAACTAAACCTAAAAACAGAAGAATGTGAAATACTAATATGTGAATGAGAAGGAAGATGCGAAAGTGAGAGATGGGAGATGGAGAGGGAAGATATTCAATATCCAATTTGTCGCCCAAACACCACTAAGGTTTTGTAGAAAATTCCTTTTTTTAAACTTGATCAGGAAACCCCTGAGAACCCAAACCTTTTTCTTTTTCATGCATTTAAACTTGACGAAATTTCAAATAGTTCATCTGAATGAAAAGAAAACAAGGAAACTATAACAAATCTAGCTAATTTTGAAGTTGTTAAGACCCAGCTTATACTGGGTGTAAAATTATAAAATAAGTTTAGTCCAATTAAAACAAATCTATTGTATTTCAAAAACATTGTTTACATTTCCAAAGATATACCAAAATTTTGTTCGGCTGTAACCAGGCAGAAAACACACAAAATCTATAAAAGGACTCATCCTTGGAGCCTTTGCAGTGGTGGCAAGCCATTAGTTCAATAACTCCCGAAAAGGTACAAATTGAAGGACTACATTTCACCCCGTTTCTCCTTTCTTTCTCCTGTTTGAATTGCATAAAGACAGTTACTCCGAATCCGAATCCGAGTCCGAATCCATCCTCCAACCAATCCCCATTTCAAGTACGAAAGTAATGAAAACGAAACAAACGATCAATGTTGAAAACTTGGTAGCCAATTGTTAGTTGAAAACGAGATAAAAACCACTAAAGAACAAATCAAAAAAAAAAAAAAAAAAAAAAGAGAAAGAAAAGAAATGAAGACACCTGAAGCTGAGGACTCTGAACTGTATTTATTTACAGCCAATTTTAGGAAGGTATATTTTATTTTTTTTGTTGTGGATTAAATTGCATTTGTCCGCTATTTACTTTGTATAGCTTTTAAGGCTAGAAGTTAGAGCAAAAGAGATAGCAAGAGTGAGTGAGTGAGAGCGGGAGAGCGTTAGCGAAGGTTAAGATAGTATTTTTTTATATTTGTGTACAATCTGTAATTGTAACTGCTTTTTATCAATCAATCGATGAATGATTCCCTCCCTTTACCAAACCACACACATGCAAACACACACATACTTGCAAAGTATTTCTATATTCATTACATAAATATATTATCTATTTAAAATATATGTAACATTACAATGCGTACGAAACTAAATTGTAGCTATTTTTTTCTGTTTTTTTTTTTTATATATATATATATATATATATATATCATATTTATTAGCCGCAGCTTACAAAGTAGATTTTAAAAATAATTACAATTTTTTGTATGCAACGCAAAGAATGATGTCTATGAAATATAATTTAATAAACATGTATTTTAAAGCGTGTAGTTGTAAGAATCCATTGCAAGCAGCATCAACAAATAGAACTGACGTGCCTATGTAGCGATTAAATCTGACTAAACACTAAACACTAAACACCCACACACGAAACCACGGAACACCCGACACACTAGAGACAAGCCGATGTAATGCATTAAATAACCATTCCAAAATGTCATATAAAGGAAAAGAAACAAAAACAACAAAAAAACAAACAACATTATATATGAGTACATAAATGTAGCAGAATATATATATATATGAAACATGCTCTATATATATGTATATTTTTTATTAAATATTCCATTTCAAGACGGTGTTGTTTTATTTTTCTCTTGGGAGTTCCACATAGCAAGTGTTTACGGCTACTCACTTCCGTTTTCTCTAAGTGCAAGTGTCTTGAACACAATCGCAAGCTCGACTTCGTGTTAAAAACTGGTTCCTAAAAGAAGACAACAATTTGAAGAATGGTTGAGCGAGTGCAGAGCAGAGCTTTCTACCTGAACATATTTTCTTTCGACATCTTTTCGGAGATATATTATCTGGATATATATGTCTGTACATAAAACAAAGATTCTTTATGTGCAATTTAAATTTTTAACATTTGAACGATTAAAATAAATGATTTTTGCCCAATTTTTGCATTGTTGGAAATTCATCTATTTGTTGTGAAAAATGGCAAATTTTCAACAATTTTAGGTGTCAATGCCACTGGGTTAAGAATATTAATACGAATTCAACGATGTACGCCATTCCACATTTGGAAGACTACTTCCTGAAATATTGCAAAAAAACTGGGGTTTTTTTAAGCAATTTTATGTAGTTTTGGGCAAAACGAATATTTTTCAATGGTAATTTGTATGTTATTTGGGAAAAAAAATTTTAATTCAGATAATGTAAATATAATGTTAATTTAATGTTAAAAAAAATGGTATTTTATTATAATGTTAATGTAATGTTAACTTTATGTTAATTAAATTAATATGGCCACGTCAGCGACAATGATAATTTTAAATTTTTAACGTTTTCTTGCACTTGCAATTCCCAAGTGGTTCTGGCTGATTCGTAGTGGGATACCCCTTGATTTTGGTCAAAATCTTAGTTCTCCGGGATGACCGGCAGTTTCTCTGAGAAACTCCCTCCGGTCTCTGGAAGTGTGTGTGTGTGTGCGTGTGTGTTGGTGACGTGGTTCCAGAGTGGGAGAGAGACTCCGGCCGACTCCTCCCACTGGAGTCCACTCCCGGATGCAGTGCATCATGGGTCGACTCCTCCTACTGGAGTCCACTCCCGGATGCAGTGCATCATGGGTCGACTCCGCCTACTGGAGTCCACTCCCGGATGCAGTGCATCATGGGTCGACTCCGCCTACTGGAGTGGAGGATGCACTGCATCATGACCTGACTTGGCATGAACTTGAACGTGCCCGATACTTTCCTGCATGGAGTGGACTCCAGGATGCAGTGCTTCCAAACCTGAAGAGGTGAGTAGCAGTTTTTTTTAAATTAAGTGATGACGTGGCCTTTTGTAAATGTAGTGCAATAATAATAATAATAATTTAATTAAATATTTATTTTATTTTCATTTCAGGTTTTTGGTTGTGTATTTGACTGGTTGCAGAAAATAATTGTTGACACCATCTTACTTGCAACTTGAGAATGGGAATCAGGATGCAGTGCACCAAGGTTATTACGCAGTGAGTACATCCATTAGACAATAAATAATTAAGTTATTTATTTTAAGAAACCAAAAATATTTTTAAAAAGAAAGTAAAAGCAACAGATAAAGATCTGAGAGTATTCAATAACATGAAAGAAATTTAAAAGTTGTATACTATCAAATATTGAACTTGAAGTATATGAAAATCAAACACAGTTAATAATTTAAAACAAGTAGGGACATATAATATTAATATACAGCTGTGTTCATAATAATAGCAGTGCAATAGCAACGAAGTAAAACAACGGTAATTTTAGCATATTCCTTTTCGTTAGTTGATCGCTTGATCAATTTTTTTGTAAAATGGAATATAGAGATAGGAAAACTAAAAAGTTTCATTAGATTTGCTTTTTATTTTCGTTTTTTGGACATTCTTGTGCAAAATCACAAGTTTTTGGCTGTTCATAATAATAGCAGTTTTTCATTTTAATCCACAAAAAGTGCCGAAAACATTAAAAATGTTGCAAAAAGTGAGACTGCTTGAGTTTATTAATATAATTTAAATGAAAATACACAATAACCATGCAAAAATTTTAATTTTAGTGGGTAGAGGACAACACTGTTCAGAGGAAGAGAGGAATTTGATAGTTCAGCTTAGAAAGCAGGAAAAAACCTATAAAAAAATCCAAGATATGGTAAATTGTTCTACCAAAATGGTATCCAATGCCATTTAAATATGATTGGAAGGCCAAAACACGTGGGCCCAAACGAAAAACAACCGATATTAAGGACCGACGAATAGTGTGCTTCAGCAAAGCGAATCCTCTTGCATCTTCTAGGGATGTAAAAGTGGAGCTGAAGTTGGGGATCAGCGACGTCACCATTCGCCTTCGATTAGTAAATGGAAATTTAAATGCGCGAAGCCCCCGAAAGGTGCCATTACTTGGTAAAAGGCATATCCAAGCTCGATTGGAGTTTGCCAAAAGCCATTTGAACTGGCCAGTGACGAAATGGCGCAATATTCTTTGGACAGATGAGTCCAAACTGGTCTTGTTTGGTGGGACAGGCTCCAGACAGTATGTCCGACGACCCCCAAACACTGAGTACCACCCAAACCACACTCTTAAGACCGTTAACCAAGGTGGCCTTAAAATATTGGTATGGGCTTGTTTTTCGTACAGCGGCGTGGGTCGCATACATATGATCTATGGGATCATGGACCAACACGTCTATGTGGACATACTAAAAAATGTTATGCTTCCTTATGCACAGTAGGATATGCCCTTAAAATGGTCTTTCCAGCAGGATAACGACCCAAAATATACCAGCAAATTGGCTAAGAGCTGGTTTATTTAACAAAACATTGATGTAATGTCGTGGCCAGCACAGTCCCCGGATTTAAATCCGATGAAAAATTTATGGGTGGACATCAAGCGATATGTGGCAAAGAAATCCCCGACTTTAAAGTCGCAGCTTTGACAATTTGTACCGGACGCGTGGGCGCAGATTCCCCCCAAAGCGCTGCCAGGACTTGGTGGACTCCATGCCACGTAGGTGTGAAGCTTAATAGCCAAAAAGGTTTTACGACAAAATATTAGTTAATATTTATCATTAAAGTTATTTGTATTAAATTATTTTTAAGATTTGTTGAATTTTTTAATTTTTTTTTGGTAACACTGCTATTATTATGAACAGCACATTTTGTCGTTATTATTTTGTTATTATCTATATTTTCCAAAAAAATGGAGTTATTAAACTGAAACAAATGTTAACATAATTAAAATTAAATACATTATGTTGATGTAAACCAAATTTGTCCCAATTTAGTGTTTATACTATGATTTTTCGATCTTAAACATTTACGTCATCAGCACTGCTATTATTATGAACACAGCTGTATATAGTAAGGATAGTTGTAAGAATGCTGTTACCGGAGATATATGCTGATACCACCAAAATGGACTGGAGAACAGGCTGCAAGATCAAGGATTAATGGCGAGGTCTTCTATTGAACTTCACTCCAGGATGCAGTGCATCAACTCATTGTGGTATGTATTTTTTAAATTAATTAAAATAAAATAATTAAATTTAATTGTATAAAATAATTTAACTAATATTCTTTGAAATCTCTATTTTAATTACAGGTGATGACTGTAGTGTTCTACTTGGGGTGAACTTTAAGATGCAGTGAATCAATAACCCAAAGAGGTAAATACCTTTTCTACTAACAAATTAATACTAACCATTACTATTTTAAACAAGTTAACAATTTAATTATTTAATTTTTTGTTTCTTATTTAATTTCAGGGTAAAGTGTAAATGTTACGGATAAGGTGGTTGCAGTGATTATCCTATTGAACTCCACTCCAGGATGCAGTGCATCAACTCATTGGGGTATGTATTTTTTAAATAATTAATTTGTATTAAATAATTGAACTATTATTTTGAAATCCTTCTTTTCATTACAGGTGATGACTATACTTTTCTACTTGGAGTGAACTTCAAGATGCAGTGAATCAATAACCCAAAGAGGTAAATACCCTTTTTACTAACAAATCAATACTAACTCTTACTGTAACAAAGGCTTTGTAACAAATTACTTATTTTATTTTATGTTTCTTATTTAATTTCAGGTTAAAGTGTAAAGTGTAAATTTTGCGTATAAAGTGGTTGCAGTTATGATCTTACTTCAAGAAGGCAAAAGATTGCAGTGCACAAAGGCTTTTCGCAGTGAGTACATGAATTAGACAGTAAATAATTAAGTTATTTATTTTAAGATGACAAATACGATTTAAGGTAGGTTAGCTTTTTTGACAAAGAAATCCAGAGCAAAAGTTAAAGATCTAAAAGTATTCAAGAACATGAAAGAAATTCAAAAAGTACACTTTATCAAATACATAAAAATCAAACACATTCCATAATTTCAAACAAGTAGGGCCAAATTATATTAAAATATTTAGTAAGAATAGTTGTAAGAATGCGGGCATTTATGGAATGCTGATACAACCTAAATGGACTGGAGAACAGGCTGCAAAATCAAGGATTAATGGCGAGATCTTCTATTGAACTTCACTCCAGGATGCAGTGCATCAACTCATTGGGGTATGTATTTTTTTAAATAATTAGTTTGTATTAAATAATTTAACTAATATTTTGATATCCTTCTTTCCATTTTTAAATAATTAATTTGTATTAAATAATTTAACTAATATTTTGAAATCCTTCTTTTCATTACAGGTGATGACTATACCTTCCTACTTGGAGTGAACTTCAAGATGCAGTGAATCAATAACCCAAAGAGGTAAGTACCTTTTTTTTACTAAAAAATTAATTCTAACTGTTGCTATATTATTTGTAACAATTTATTTATTCAATTTTTTGTTTCTTATTTAATTTCAGGGTGAAGTGTAAGTGTTGCGGATAAAGTGGTTGCAGTGATTCTCCTATTGAACTCCACTCCAGGATGCAGTGCATCAACTCGTTGTGGTGTGTATTATTATAATAATTAATTTGTGTAAAATAATTTAACTAATATTTTGAAATCCTTCTTTTCGTTACAGGTGATGACTATACTTTTCTACTTGGAGTGAACTTCAAGATGCAGTGAATCAATAACCCAAAAAGGTAAATACCTTCTTTGCTAACAAATTAATACTGACCATTACTATTTTTAACAAATTACTTATTTTATTTTTTGTTTCTTATTTAATTTCAGGGTAAAGTGTAAAGTGTAAATGTTGCGGATAAAGTTGTTGCAGTTATTATCTTACTTCAAGAAGACGAAGATTGCAGTGCACCAAGGATTTTTCGCAGTGAGTACATCAATTAGACAGTAAATAATTAAATTATTTATTTTAAGATCAAAACTACGATTTAAGGTAGGCTAGCTTTTTAAAAAAGAAATCAAGAACGGCAGTTAAAAATCTGAAAGTATTCAAGAACATGATAGAAAATCCAAAGAAAATGTTATCAAATAATGAACTTGAAGTACATGAGAATCAAATTAAAAATTAATTTAAAACAACTAGGGACATATTACATTATTATCACTGCGTTGCAAACTTCTGATTGAAATAAAATTGCCCTCTGCAAGGGTATAAAAATAAGTAATAAAAACATGACGCAAATCAAGATTGCTAATCTATTTTTAGGGATCCTCTTTTATTAGATTTCCACTTGGCCACTTGTCAGCGGTGCACGTGTTAATACGCCTCGGATATATAATATATATAATATACGACTATTTGTACGATATAATACAATCCCCCGGAGGGGCATAAATCGACTTCGGTTGGTTATTTTTATTTGTCGGCGAGTTGCTTTGAGTGCTTAATCCAAGAGACACGCCAGACCACTTCTGTTTAGCTCAGTTAGACAAATACGTGGGCACTGCTGTTGAGTCTGGGCAATGGATTTATTTAATTGGTGCTAATTCTGGCCTGCTGGCCGGCTCCACGTCCTCGTCAATATTTTTCATTCGTTGGGCAAACAAACATTGGCCAGGTCGCGTGTTCTACTTGGAATCCGCAGATGTGCGACTGATTGAACTGATCTTGAATGGGATCGATATCGGCAAAGATGGGATGAGTTTCGAAACGAAGATCCTTAAATAAAAAACGAATTGCTTGTGGTTTGTTCTTTTTATTGGGGGTTTTCTTGTATATATGTAGCGTAACTTGTAGTAATGTAACTAATTTTACAAATAATCTTTCACTTCCTGTGCTTTGGTCCTACATGACGAAAAAAAAAACAAAAAAAAGTAGTATAGATATGTGTATATGTTATAGAAAATGGTTTTCGATATATGTTTAATATATAGATAAAGTTATATACGTATGTGTTTTACATTGGATGCATTAATAATAGCAATAATAACAACAATAACGGACAGCAGGACGGGTCCAATACGATCTCTCGAGCCCTCGAATCGTTCGTGTTTTCTTCCATGGCTCGATTACATAGCTTTACCGTTAGTCGGACCCTCTGCTGCTGCTTCAGCCGGCGCCGGCGCTTGCCAAATATATATTACTTTCTACCGCTACTACACAAAATACATATCGTACATATCGATCAATGCACATCGATCGTACCGTACGCCGATTGCAATCGATCCTACCTGCTATATCTTCTCGCTGGCTTGGTGTTTCTTTGTTCTTTGCTCTTTGCTTGCTTCGTTCTTGGTTCGTTCTTCTAAATTCCGAATAGATTGACAGACATTTTTAGGGGTGGATTAAAGGGGGGGCGATTAAAATTAGAGACACAAAGAAATCCGCTATCGCTATCGTTAAATAACTACTGACGATACAAATAATCGTGTATTGCAGCACACACATACCATATATACACAGATAAGCCCGATCCTCTGGCGGGAAGGGGAGCTACTTGTGGGGTTTTCTGTTAACTATTGCCGATTGGTGAAGGAGGGGAGGTATCCTGACCCCAGGCACCCAGCTCACAATCCCTGCGGTCCTGTTGGTAGTCCCAACTGAACAGCGGGAACAGCGAGACTGCAGTCTCTGGGACAGATATTTGATTCTCTTGGCTGGATGGTGGGTGTAGTGTTAACGGGGGGCGGGGGGCTTAGTTGAGCTCCTTCCGCGTCGTGTTGGGCAGCAGCAGGCACATGAGACCGCCGCCGATGAGCAGGGTCGAGACGATGAACGAGGGCATCGGACAGTAGCGATCGAGCAGCTGGGCAATCACGATGTTGCCAATGATGCCGCCCAGACGAGCGGCCACCATGGAGATGGCCACACCGGTGGCCCTTAGGTTGGTGGGGAATACTTCGGTGATGAGGCAGTCGAGCGCCGCATTGGCGGCCGAAATGGCGCCACTAAACACGGCCGAGACGACCAGGTTCTGAACGGAGCTGCGCACAAAGTACATGAGCGCCGAGCAGATGCCGGCGGTCATTGTGCCGGCGATGAGGAAGAACTTGCGGCCGAGCATGTCCATGCCGAGGATGGCCAGCAGGTTGGCCGGCAGGGCGGAGGCCAGCGAGATGAGCGACTCCATGAACACCGACTGGGGGATGGCCGAGGAGCATTCTTCGGTGCCGTTGCCGCTCAGCGGCTTGGCCACGTACTCCATGACGGTGCACACCTCGACCGACTGGTTGGGGTAGGCCTTCTCGTACTCCTCGAAGCGGTTGAAGAGCTCCGGGAACCACATCAACAGGCCGTAGTAGCCAATGTGGAATGTAAAGTTGATCGTGATCGAGACGATGGTGAAGCGCAGGATGGGCGACTTGAACAGCGCCCGACTGTGATCGACCATTCCGCTGATCATGCGGCTGTACTTGTTCTTCACGCCGCTGTTGCTCTCCAGCAGCTTCTCGTCGACCTCCAGGTCGTAGACCATGTACTCGTCCGGCCGACGCTTCGTGTTCGTCACGAAGATGCCGCGGAAGATGGCCAAAGCGCGATCCTTCTTGCCGCGCGACAGCAGGAACTTCGGCGACTCCGGCAGGTAGAAGAGCAGGAAGCCCACGAGGAACGACGGCAGCGAGCAGACGAGCAGGAAGATCCGCCACGAGTTGTACGTGAAGTACGGCGTGATGAACCCAATCGTCTGCGGGATGATCAGCCAGGCCAGGCTGGCCACGAACAGGTTGCCGAACGTCCAGAAGGCCGCCATGAAGCTCAGCATGGAGCCGCGCTTGGCCTTCGGCTGGAACTCGGCGAAGTACGACCAGATCACAGGACCACTGCCGCCCAGCCTGAAAGTGGAGGGGGAATGCAAAACAATTACCAAATGATCCGCAATCGAGTTACCCTAGTCAAGTTTTCAATCATCAGTGCGTATGCGCAATTTTTTCATGCGACACATTGCGTATACGTAATGTTATGTCTCTCCAAATGGCATTGCGTATACGTATGTTTCTTTCTTGAATGTGCCTGAATAGCTCAAAAAAGCTCAAATGCAGAAGTACATTACGAATTCTTTGGGGACTTGTACACAAAACTGTGCGCGTATACGCAATATGTTCATAAGGCACATTGCGTATACGTAGTGTTGTGTTCCCCCAAATGTCATTGCGTATACGTATGTGTTTTTCTTGAATGTGATCCAATACATTTCGAATCCTTTGGGGATTCGTACACAAAACTGTGCGCGTATGCGCATTATTTTAATGCGACACATTGCGTATACGTAATGTTATGTTTCTCCGAATGTCATTGCGTATACGTATGTTTCTTTCTTGAATGTGCCGAAATAGCTAGGCAAGCGCAAATGCAGAAATACATTACATTACGGATCCTTTTGGGATTCGTACACAAAACTGTATCATCACTTAGCACCGAAAACATTGCAAAATTGCGAAATAATTGTTGTTCGACGGTTCGACGGTTCGAGGAGGGTAATTAGCAAGCCATTGGCAAAATCAGTGTTCAATGCGGCTGAGCTTGAGGGGAAACCGGTGACTAAGCGTCAATGTAACCCAAAAGTCAGAGGGCCAAGGCCTGAGCACAGATTTTCCATTTGCTTGCGGTGCTTCTGGTGAATTTTGTTCGTTTCTACGTTACATTTTGGGGCAATGCGATCGGACTGGCGGATTCGAGCCTTTAATTAGCATTGAGAGTCACGAACCTGCGGCTCAAATATTTTGTTGTTATTTATATCGGAGGTAATTGAATTAACACCTTGCCCCGGGTCCGGGCCCGTGTGTCACTCGATCGACGATTCGCTATCACAGCCCGATCGCAGAGCGATCGAAGCATATCAAAACAACATCAAATCAACTTGGTACGTGAGATTCGAGACTGTTGTCCTCTTCATTACAAGAAGATCTCAGGGGGGCTCTGATGGATTGATGCTAGCTAGATAGGTTCTAGAGATTTGCCAGTACTTACGCTGCTCCGTTGAGGAAGCGGAAGAGCATGAAGAAGGTGTACGACTGCGAGAAGGACGAGGCGACGATGCAGAAGGCGTTCATGAACGAGATGACGATGAGGACCTTCTTGCGGCCGAAGCTGTCGGCGATGCTGCCCCAGAAGTACGCGCCCACCATCATGCCGATGAAGATGATCGAGTTGAGCCAGCCCTTCGTTTCCGTGTTCAGATCAAGATCGCACTCCGCCGACGGCAGGATGAACGACATCGAGATGACGTCCATCTCCTCGGAGGTGCTGACCAGTCCGCAGATGGCCAGCAGTATGTAGTGGAACTTGCCATAGCCGCACAGCTCGATGGCCCGCTCGAAGTTGGCCACTATCGGAGTGGTGGGCTCCGGCAGCGGTCCGGACTTCTTCCGCCCCTTGCCCTTCTTGCCGGGGGGTCCATGACCTCCGTGACCCCCGTCGGCGGCGTCCCGCTCTACGTCCTGCTGCTTGCCATTGCCATTGCCGCTTCCGTTGCCATTGCCATTGCCATGGCTATCGGGCTCGTAGCCGCGATTGTCCGCCGCGAACTGATACTGCGGCTGCTTGGCTCCAGAGCCCAAGGAGTACGGCTGGATGATCGCTCGGTTGTCGATGTGCGAGTTCGCGTTCGCGTTCGCGTTTCCGGTGGCTGGGGCGTTAACCTGGCCAGTGGGATGGTTGCTTGCTTGGTTGCTTGCTGCGCTCTGGTTGTAGTTCGGTTGTAGTCCAGCTTCTACATTATAGGCTGTAGAGGGTAAACATCGTACAGGTTAGTTCAAAAGTAATCGCCAGTAGTCATCGAGTGGTTTTAGAACAGTTATATCAATTAATCAAGTATCAAGTTCTTGTACTTACATTCGCTTTTGCCCTTTGCGGAATCACCTTCTACCATTCTATAGTTCAGGGGTTTTTTGGCTTCTTGTGCGCGTAGCAAAAAGGAAATTGGGATCACTTGAGGGGCTTTTTTTGGTTGGCTTTTAGGCTCTAAGCTTCGCTTAGATGGGTACAGTTGTGTCTGCCTAGCTTAGTGGTCTGCAATGAGAGAAGGAGAGAGAGAGAGAGAGAGGGAGTAAGTTATCGATTAGTTAACCATCGGAGATCGATTGATTCGTTTCGACATCGGTGAAGTGGGAAGTGGGTTAATTTAACGCAATTGGGCGGCAATTGAGCGGAATGAATGAACGATCTGTTCGTCGCGCACAAACAACATCGTAATTGATTAATAAAAAATTATGCCCGAAATAGTCGCGAGCACAGAAATTAACCGAAAGTGCCGAAGGGGGAGAAAAAACCTCCATTTGGGGTGACATTTTTATTAATATATAATTGGGCGAACTGAGTTCGTTGAGTATTCAAATGACACTGATGGAGCTTACACATATTTACACATACTCTATGTATATTACGAGTGTTTCTGGCAATGAAGTGTTTTTACCAACCCTTTTTCACATCCTCAAATAAAGCTATAATCATTGTGCTTCCAAATGAAGCGTTTTACAGCCGTAAAGTCAGCTAATCAGTTTACGGCACCCAATAACTCCATTTAGGTAATGGGCTACTAAATGAAAAACGGCGTCAAATCGAAGACAGAAAGAGCGTCTTCTGATTGAGTAGCTATTACTTAAGAGATTTCCGATATTCTTCGCCTTTTCTCCCCTACAGATTCGAATTAAGTTCGTGATTTATCGCTCAATCTTTCACTTTATTCATAAGGCTGAGGCAACAACAACCGCGAATGTACATCAGAAGCAAATCATTCGCGATCGTATTCGTATTCGCATTCGAATTCGCATTGAACCTGAACCTGAACCTGCCGTACGCATGTGCACTGAAGGAGAACAGGAACCAAAAGCGCAACGGCAGGTGGTGCACTGCGAGAAAATGCTGGACAAATGGTACAGTCTTTCAACTATCTTGGTTGAGTAAATGTAATGCTAGTCCCCATCCCGCAGAATATTCCTGGTTACCCACGATTGTTTACCAAACCTATCGGTTTCCCTGGAGTGCATCCCGTTTTGTGTTTTAGTGTAGAAGCGGGTTTGGCAGCACTTGTGGGTGGCTGGCTGTGTTCCATTGCCACCGCGTTCCGTTCCGCACTCTCTCTTTCGCAACACGATAATCGCCAGCAATTAGACATGTTTTAATATAAATATAAATATATGCTGATTTTTGCCCTGGACGTCGAGTAAACGCCTACGCTTCCGCAAGTCGGAGCCACATGGCCCTTCACCTGGCCTTCGTACCAGTCCCAGATCCACTCCCGATCTTACTCCCGTTCCGATTTCGTTTTCCCCGTCGCCGTGGTACAGTCCTGCCTCAACTACTAGGAACAGCCGGGAGCGGAATGGGTTTGGGCATGCATAATTAATGCCGTAGACCGTTCGCTCCCAACTTGGTAAGGCCACCACAATTCTCATAGACTTGAGAAAGTTCTACGCGCAGAAGCCCGACTGTAGATCGGGTAACTCTGGCGTGTTTTGCATTAGCGCTATAAAACGCACTCGTTTCCAGTTTAGCTGTTTAACAAGTCGCATTATACGTATAATGATTGTCTTTTTCAAGCGCAACTAAAGCTAAAGCTAAAGCTAAAGCAGTGCAACTGGAAAAACTGCGTGTGAATGGAATACCCCGGACTTGTCTTGGTCCCACAGCTTTATAGTCGGGGTACCTCAATGTCATCCGATTCCGTGTCGAGTGCATGTGTCGGATGCCCAATGGAAGGCGCTGCTGCACCACGGCTCATGGGGAACGGGGATTGGTCAGTGGAGAATGGGGATTGTGGGGACCGTTTATGGGGTGCTGTGCTTTGTTTTCTGCGCCTTTGCATATCTCTAACTAATTATCGCATTAAACCGATACCCGGCTCTAGACTTCGGGGCACTTCGGCCAGATGATATCGGAAATAGTGAGGCTCGCAGTCTGAATGAACCCATAAAACTTCAGATTTGAACAAAACATTTGTGAGAACTTAACCACTCAATCGATTACCAAACCAGTGCGAAAAATGACTCAGATAAATTGTTTGGGTTCTCTCTAATATGAATACGAAAGTAATATATTTACAAGTGCGGTGTTTTTAAGGGAAATATTACAAGTTCGAGGGTCTCCTAGTTTCTGAACTTTTCTATTCTAAACAACGGAATGAAAAATCCTCAATTTGGCCCATCATTTATAATTTACGTTTCCCAACAGTGGTTCTCATTTTAGTCGGAGTTTTCGAAGCAAGTAACTTAAGTAACTTAAGTAACTCAACTTATTATAATATAACTTAAGTAACTTTACTGTTCAGTGGCTTCTCTTTAACTATATTATTTCTGTTCGTGCTCTGAATAGAATTAAGACTTGCAAATTGACAGTCTGCTAATTTGCCAACACTTTGTTTTTGTCGATTTGCATTCCATTACCTGTTGGCTGCTTTTGGGGATAGCACTCGCTTTTGGACCTGGAGATCTTTGAATCGGTTTGCACCTGTACCGGGAGGCTTACTGCTTGTTAAATTTGTTCTTTGAGTTCGGACAGAAAAATATGTTTTTTGCACCGTTAAATATTTATTTTTACTGCTCGCGGTTACGCCCTGTATTTTTCACTGCTCGGTGTTTGTTTATTTTTTAATTTTCTTTGTACGATGATGTTGTTTTTACGCGTTGTTTGCGGATTAAATTTGTGCAAATTGCTCGTCAGCTCAGCGTGGACTGTTTGTGTTTCTGCTTGTAGTGGATCTTGGCGTTGGTGGTACGCGGAGTTCTCGAATTGGTTTGGCAATCGTTGCAAGCTGGTGGAAACATTAAAACCGTTGGCTGGCGCACAATGGGCGAACGGCAGAGGGCATCGAAGTGGTCAGAAATCACCGACGAAATGTGTATTTTTTTTTGCGGAAAATAACTTTTATCTTCTTTGGGATGCTTTAGCACGAGCGGTAAGCGGTTAGCGGTTCGTCGTTCGGCGGTACTGTAAGCGATCTGTGGATCAACGTTCGTGCACTTGGAGCGGTGGAAAGTATCTGAGCGGCGCTCGGCGCGCGCTTAAATACACAGAAGTCGCATTCGCGGAACGGGCGGCAATGGAACGTGCTTTATCAGCCACTTGGCAGCACCGCACCACCCCCTCTTACCACTTCGTTCCGTTTGCCGACGTTCCGCCTCGCGCGCGCGCGCACTAATTCAAATTCAATGACGATCATCGCCAAGTGCGAGCCGAAATTGCAAATCAATTGAATGATAACACCGAAGAGGGCAATCGAAGCAGAGGAGATGGGCAGATGGAGGGGGAGTGGCCCCTACTCAAATATTAATATAAATAAAAGTATTTTAAAGGGTTTCATCTGCCTTCTACTTTCCAAACAAAATGATTTTACTTCATCTCAAAATATACAAAGGATGAGTACAAGTAGGAATAACAAAAGTTAATTAAAATATTTTGCTGTATTTCGAATGTTACTCATACTTGTCCCTTATGCTTTATTTGCTTCTATAAATAGACAAACCGATTACTGGCCTGGACGACGGCCAAAAAGTCTCAAAACTGAAAATGTCCGATAAATCTAGTTAATGACCTTCAATATTCACGAGTTGTCAGCAAAAAGCCGCATCGTTGCTTTTCAATTTTACTTTTAAATAACAATGACTGTGCGACGGAAGGATGACCCTAAGATACAAAGACAGCAGGTGGCAGCAGGTAGATAGTGTCTTGATCTACCTTGATCCCTGCGAGTCAAGTTCATTATAATGATCAACGATCGCATAACGAAACTGGCAGATCGATCGGATCGAACTCGGATGACAAAACTCGGGGAGAATCCGAAATTGGACTTGGGATCCCTTTCGGCGAACAATTAACGGCAACAGGCATCGGCTTAAGTGATCAAAAGAATTACACTTGAGTCTTAATAGCGGCATTATCATTGTTGTTGACACTGCTTACTGCTACATATAGCGTATATGGAGCGTACTCGCACATTGAGCATGTGTGCCCGGATTATACGTACTATATTGCTGTCACGGCGATTACTGCACTGATACTACCACTCGATCCGATCGGTCGCAGCGAGCAATGATCGTGTAAGCTGGCCATGTGACTTGGAGCCTTAAAAAATCAAGAAAAAGTGCCTTCGAAAAAGCTGAATAGAGAGAGAAATGAACGAGCTGAACGAACGGAACGCTGATCTTCAAGCGTTCGAAAAGCGATGCAATTAGAAGAGCTCATTTATCATTATATCATGCGAAATAACGCCATAAAGTCGATCATCGTTGTCTAATTGCTTAATTGTCTGCCGCATTTCGGTGGGAGTTGTTGGATCCCAGTGAATCACCATCGTTCCGGGGGTGGCTTATGCCAGTCCCAAGATCGCGAACACAGCAAACCCCCAGCAAAGCCAAGCGAAACCCGAGATGGTCGCTCAATGGTCGCTCAATGGTCGCTCGATGGTCGAGACGTGACTCCCTCCAGAGTCAAATGCAGATTAGGGCCTTGCATAATGGGCGATTAGTGAGTCGTAACTTGACGCTAATTTCTGGTTGCTTCGTTTGGCTAATTATCGCACCTCTGACCCACAGAAGAGCCGCACAAAAACAAGATTGGATGTCAGCGGGCTGGCTACGTGTTCTTTGTTCTCCGTTCTCTGTTCGTTGTTCGGTTCTCGTTTTCGCCTTCTATTGCTAACTGTTTGTTTGAGCCGCCCACAATTAATTTAATTGGACATTGTTGTCACGAAACGAACACGGCTAATTGGGAATTATGCTAGATGAGGGACAGCTGGATCGCCAACAATCACCGCCAGTGGAGCAGGAGAGCCCTACTACACTGCTTCGCGACTTACAGTTATAAGTTCTAGGATTGCAGTGCAACCAGTGGTTGCAAACTCTGCTGAGGCTTCGAGTGGTTGCCGAACTCGCTAAGTTCAATTTGGGGCGTATGTGGCCATGGCTGAGTTTAATCTACAAACAATAACAGGGCCAATGAACACAGATACTCCTGTTCCTACATCTGCCTATATGCCTATATGTCTTGTTCTATATGCACATTTATCTGTTCATATACCATATGTACTGCGACTGCGACTGCGACTGCTGTCTTTTGTTGCCGCACGTTAATCAAACTGCGTGTGCTCGAAACTCGTTCGAATCGGTTTTTTATTTCCCCACCGAGAGCATATTTCGCCATCCCCAATACCCATCCTCATTCCCATCTTCATCTTCAGCTTCAATTAAAAGCAGAAAGCAGCATTTGTGCTCTTCTTGCGATCTTGCGATCGTTGCACAAACATTTCAATTAATTGACCACTTTCAATTGAAGACAATGTGCGAAACGAAAACAAAAGTCGCCAAGAGAGCGTGAAAACAGCGAATACGTATACAAAATACAAAGTATTCGGAATTTCGAAGTGGCCACCCAATAAACAACCGATCGTATTGGATCCGTTCGGATTCGATTGCTCTACCCGTTAGTTCAAAACAAATAAATATGACTAACGCTGGAGATGTTTTTTTTGTTTTGCGGGAGAGTGCTGCCATGGGCCACAGTGAACCCTCTCGGAAAGCGACCCGCTGGCCCAGCAACAAGCGCCTGAAGCTATTCTCGATCCGAGTGATTCAGAGGACAAAGTAATTATCGGGATGTTATGAAATTTGTCTGGTACGGTGAGTGATTTTTGGTTCCGTAGAAATGCCGGAAGAATTCCCAAACCCTAGAGATATATACATAAAACAGTATATATATTATTATAATAATATAATAATAATTATATATATTGTATTATTATTATTATTGGAAGTAACGTTATGTGTTATACAATCTCAAGAGATATCCTAAAGAACTCTAACCTGAAAGTAAGCTTTTCCCCAAAGAGACATTGCAGAAGCAGAAGAAGTGGGAATCGAGAAGAATTGTAAAGAAGGAGGATTGTTATAAGGATTACCAAATAATCGGTTACAGGTGTTGCCTGTCTTCCGAGTTTTTGCTGCCTGCTTGGTATTCACTTCACTGCCAACAAAATAAGCGTTAATGTCGCGCTTTCTTGCTTTAGTTTGCATAATTAATTTATGCATATTTGTTATTTTCAGCTGTTGCACCGTATTTAAGGCGGCAACAAAAAAAACACCATTAACAAAAAACAAAATTAAATACAAAACAAAAAGATTGGGATAAAGAATGTGGAATAATGCCCCTGGGCGGGGAATAATAATTTGTATGAACGCCACCCTGAATCTTATTTACGAGCAACAGGAAGACTTGCGCCGCCGCTGAGTCACCTTCCCCCGTTCCGAGTTTTATCCTTGGGCCAGGGATCCGAGGCATAGAGCATCGGATGAGGTGAGATGAGATGAGGGGCAGTGTTTGCTGCCCGGGGGAATACGCACCTACTAATGCTGTCCTTGTCGACGGTGTCGACGGTTTCGAATGATTCTTCGGTGGTGGCGGTGGGAGATTCGAGATGCGAGATGCGAGATTCGAACGCACGGCGGTTGGTCGAGAATCGGGATATATAGATCACTGGTTGGAGGAGCTCCACGCGGCTCCAAGAGCGATTGGACAATGCGTTCCAAGTGGCGTCGGCCTGGCGTTTTTATAAGCGCCAGTCAGCCGCCTTCCTGCGCTCTCCTCGCCGCGCCCAGTGACGATCTGCCGCCGCCCCTCCGCTGCCACGCCTCTCCTCTCGGGAGATTGCTCACCGCTCACCGCTCGCCGCTCACCGCACATCTCGCAATCTCTGTGTGTGTCTGCCACTCTCGGGGGCACTCGGTTCTTAACTTGTGTACACTCAGCTGCTGCTTCTTCTGCTGATTCCGCGGATTCGGCTTCTGTTTCTGTTTCTGTTTCTCCTCGCTTGATGCTCCTTCTTTCCCCCCTTCCCACCCCCTCTCTCTCCCCCTCCGACGAACTCTTTTGGCCGCTCTTGACGTCTTATCGCCAGCGGATCGGATCGGGATCGGGATCGGAGCAGAATGAAAATTAAATAAATAAATATGAGATGCTGGCTGCCCCATCTGCGATGCTTATCACCATCGCCAGCGGCTCTCAGCGGCTCTTATCTGGCCGCTCGTAATCCCCAATCCCCAATCCGCAATCCGCAATCCGCTCGCGCAACAATGTCTGCCGGCGCACAAAAACAAGAAGACTGCAATCTTTATGGCCCGCTGCGAATGCAATGCTCTTCCTCTATGGTTAACCTTAGGGCTTGAATAACTATCCCATTTCATATCCTATAAACCCAAGTGCACAAGTGCACAAGTGGTAAAGGGTTTTGGGAAGACCTACAAATACATTTTTAGGAAACAGCTAAAATACATCCCATGCTGCTGAATTGGTTGGGAAGTGATTTTGCTCAGAACGTACCGCTTAGTCATGCAGCTCTACGAGCAGCCCGAGAATGATTTCGAAACGGGTGTGAACCAGTTGAGCGATCGGTGCGGACCAGCTAGGAATCGATGTGCACTAGTCTTCCATAAGGCCACAGAGTTCTACACGCCGAACGGCTCAGAAAACCCTAAAAATCAATCACCTACAATATCGCTGCAGGGTCCCAGAACCACAATTCAATTCGAGAATATCCAGACAGAAATATCCTACAGAAATAGCTCTACGAATACGTACACTATATGTCCAATATACAATAATATTATAATATATATGTGAGAAGTGTGCGTGCGAATTCGGAGGCTCTCGCGTTTTTTGTCGCCTCGCATGTGTCGGACGTATTTGCGTGTTGGTGTCCCGTCCCCAGAAGCCCCCTCCGCCCTTCCTGCCCTCCAGTGCCTCCTCCAATACCGATTCGGCAGCCAACGCGATCTACGTAATTGTTCGGGTTCATAAAAAACATTGGTCTTTTTGTGTGTGCAAAGGTTTTTTCCGCGGCCCACAGCCATGAAAACGAATCGAGCAGCAATCGAGTGAAAGATCTGCAAACCGACTGTTAGAACGGTTCCATATCGTATATATAAGATGTTTGGGGATAATTGCTGAAGAATTTTTATTGGTTCTGGTACA